TTGCATCCTTTTCATAACTCTACAGGAAAAGGCTAATTATATCGGTTAACATAGTTTCACGGATGTGCATGTGAAACAGGAACTTTTTGAGTCTGGCCATGCCACGCATTTTCCGCTGGGACTTTCGATAAGCACCACAAAACACCTACGCTCTTCTGCCAAAATATGCAACTGAAAGGGGTGTAATATCAGTGTATTATGTAGGCATCCGGCAGCTTTGAAACCATATGGAACTGATCCAGTTCCTCTCATGGCGCTTACATCCCGGGGGTACATGATCAAGAAATTTTTCTTCGGGGAGGCTCCACCCGAGGTCTAACCCCCTACCCTTTTTTGGATACCGTTTTTGAGAGAAAAGCCACCCCTTTGAATATACCTTCTTTGGGGCACGAGGTTCCCCTTTCACATACCTAGCTTAGAACTTTTCAGTCTTTTTAACTGCTGAAAATGCACTGTATTTAAAATATGAATAAATCACAAAACCAGAACGTTTTGTCGACTTTTTCATAGCCACAAAATGCATCTTTCAGACCGTAATGATTTGCTACCCTTTCATATACAGTAGAACCAAGGTAACTCGAACTCTAAAGGGAACGAAAAACAGTTCGATTTAGCGGGGAATTCGAGTTATCGGGATAAATTTCAGTTAAATTATGATCAAGGGTAAGGAAATTTAGTTCTAGTTAGCGGGGAATTCAAGTTACCCGAGTTTGAGTTATCGAGGTTCTACTGTACTTCAACTTGTGAAATCCCTCCCTTTTCATATAACGGAAGCCTGAAAATTTAGGTACCCCTTTCAGGCAGAGTCTCCCCGTACAGGCAATTTTGGTGAGTCCCCCGCGTCTAAATAAACACATTCTGTGCTCCATATATATGAATGAATGCTTTTAAGACATCTTTTCGATTTCGTGTTTGAAACTTGCCTGCATAGCTGGGGATATTTAACGTGACGCGAGTGACTGCTTCGCGGAGGTTCTCTCGGCACTTAGTGGCTCAGCTACCGAAAAACACGTTCCACTGGTTCTGATTGGCGTTTTGGAGTGTTTTTTCCGTGTCAAGGGTTTAGCTTTTGTTCACTATACATGTTACAGAGATGGTAAAAAAAACACTTCTATCTCATCATGTGAAAGCAATTCAATCAGGAGGATAAAGGGGGAGAGAGAGCCAAGAACCGACAGGGAAAAAAGTACTCTGTTTGAATTAAGTTGAGAGTGGATCTTCACTTAATCGTCTCCTTTTCATTCTAATTCGAAGCCGGATTTTTGTTACGGAATACTTTTGCTTTAAAAACTGAAATTATCTCAGGTAAACTTTTTCGCTTTCTCTCATAGTTGGATTACCACAGGCAACAGCAAAATCGCGTCCACTAAAAGATAACCAAAAAGAAGGAAGATCAAAGATCGGAAGATTCCTTGCAGGGGGTTCTCAATTTTACTTGGCATGGCAGTGCAACGCCATGATTTGAGAGCCCGGGGGTTACTCGGGCCTATGCGGGGAGGCTCCGCCAGAAACTCTTCAGGTATATGAAAGGGTAGGGATTTCACTATAGCTGACGTATATGAAACGGTAGGAAAATCTGTCATTTCTGTCTGTAAAAAAGGCCCAAAAGGGCTTGCAGATGCATTTTATGGCTTTGAAAGAGATTGCTTTTGTGATTTATTTTAAAAACAGTGCATTTACAGCAGTGAAAAGGGATACAAAGTCCTACACTAGGTATGTGCAGAAGCCGATTACTATCGCCTCCTGGTATGTAAAAGCGGCATCATTTGTAGAAAGTATACGAAAGTAGTACCCTCTCTGTCAAAAATGCTATAGGCGGCCATATTGGTGTCCCAAAACAATGAAACGGCGGCCATGGTGTCCCAAGCCAGTCCCCTAGGAGTTGAACTCTTTTCTTATGTGAACACTTTCTTTTGTTCCAATAAATTTGCATAGATGCTGGCCACGTGTGTGAAAACACTCTATATAAAAGGGTAAGGGGTTTGACCTTCGGGCGGAAACTCCCTTTATAAAACTTTCATGAGTACCCCCCGCCCCCCTTCTCCCCGCTCTGTTAAACGTTGACATTTTAGAAATTGGTTGATTGCCAGCCAAGGGCGTTGATTATCTGAAATGTGACAGCTCTTAACACTTTAAACACTTCTAACGTCCGCTGTTACATATCGTTTAAAAAAAGAACAGGAGCTTATGCTGTTTGACTGCAAAAAATAGAAAACTTTCCTTTAAAAAACTGAAACCAAAAAAGATACATTTATACTGGAAATGATCTCCTGTTTTAGCCTCTCCTAGTAAATATAGAGAATCTTTTAAAATAATCAGACAAGGCAGTGAATGTAAAGAACACACGGGAGACCGTGTCTTTACGTCGTATTTGATGCTTCTAAAGCTATCTGAAACCTTAAAATAGTTTTTGATTGCGTGTTTCCTAAAGTTATGGTAAACTGATTAAACGGATTTACCACTAAAGCTCAGATTAGCTACTATCTTGTGTCACGGCAATTTAATTAATCCTCGCGATCTTGGTACGTCGAGAAATCCAACACCACGCAGCGTTAGGGGGCATTGCGCATTCTGGCTAAAAGCATTGTTTTTCGTTTATTTCCACACCCAGCCAAGATATCGTTGATCTTCATTCAATCAAAAATTGACGCCATTAGTTGGAGTCGTTAATTCATTAGTTTTTTTTTTACAATTTTTGGATGATTTTTTTATTGTTGTTAATGTATAAAATTAGGTGGGGTTATCGTTTAAAATTTTGGAAAATTGGAAAATATTGAATTTGGAGTTTTAAAAATTAAAATATGAAGTGAATAATTAGTAGACAGAGACTAGATAGTCCACCACAATAACGTGGTACAGGTGCGTCTGAGCCCATTAGCGAACTAACCAGTTTTATGAGTAAAACTTTTCTACCCTAATTTATTTCCTTCCCAAATCAACGTCATTTCCCTCAAAACACAAGAACAAAGTGCCCCCCTCCTAACTCAGAGCTCAGATGAAGCGGAAAATCCATGGAAATGTTCCCAGTTTTCAGTTTCAGTTTTTGGTTTCCTGGCTGGTGACGTATCATGAGAATGTAAATATATTATTGTCGAGAACTTAAACGCTGCAAGTACACAATAAAAACTGTTAACAGGTGGGAGAAACAAGAGCAGTTAAATTTTATCATCCCCAAGTGATTTATAAACAGGTTAACACCAATTTAACAGTAGTTGGCCATAAACACAGACGCTTATTTTTTTTTAAATATAAATAAACGCAAATTTGAATAATTTTTAAAGGAAAAGGAAGTTTTCTGGGCCATATTTTTCAGATGAGTCGCCCACTTGTCTAGTTGTCCGATCCTCCCACACTTAAGGCCGGCTACTGAAAACTGAAAGTGAACTTCGTTTTTGTCATTTTTTGTATGTGTAGTCTGGTAAAAATAACTTGATCGTTTTTGTGGCCGGCCGGGTAACGCTGAAAATATAATTAGTTATAGAAGTATATAACTGAGTAATAAACAAAGCGTTTCCCCTCCGTCCACAAAATTATTGTTTTTGTGAAATAGACCATTGATTGCTTGATTATTCAGGTTTTACACTAAAATAACGTTTTTGATTTCTTCTTTTCTTCTTCTCATTCAAATATTAGTTATTTCTTTAAACTTTAAAATTATGTCTGTCTTCGAAAAGTGTATATAGAAGAATTCAAGATAAGATTTCGCTGTAGAGGGCAAAATTGATCATTGTCAGTAACGTACTTTTCTCCTACGCACATTATTATGAAAGCATCAAAGGCCTCGTGGGTCGTGCGTTTTGTGTCACGTGACTATATTGCCTCCGCGATGACATCATCGTTTTTATTGTGATTGGTTCAGTCGGCTCCAGCTCTATATGAAAAAGCCAAAGATAGCTTCGAGCATTGTCGAAACAAGTAGCATGTCTACTAACGTAAGAGTTGCGGAGGTTTACGCTAATTTGCCGCTCTTGACTTCGCTAAAGATGTAATGAGAAGGTGTTACATGTTCCAAAGAAGAATTCAGTGCTCTGCAGGCAAGTGCTGAGCTCGTTTATGGCGACGAATTGGCATAAATATACGGACACGTTCGAAGGAAGTTGAGTCGTACATAGGTGAGGAATTGAATGACCTTTCACAGTTGTAAGCTCTTTGGGATTTGTGCAGACAAAAAGTTTAATTTTTTTCGCTGTGCGCACAACAAAGGCAGCTTGCTTTAACTTGTGCAGAATTTTCGCAGTTCAACAGCTGGTTTTAACGGCGAAAGTGAGTGTTGGCTTTTTACTGTTAAGTGCAATGGTGTTGTTGATGTTTGGGCTTTGTTTATAACTTCTTATTCGAAAGGAAGACTTTCGAAGGCGACTTTCGAAGGCTTGGGGGGGTTCTGCAAAACGTTTGGTGTGTTTCTTCGAGCCTGTAAGTGTGAAAATGGTTTTATTGCAGTCTCGGCAGAATGAAGCGATAAAAGAAAATTTGAGGAAAAGTTTTACGTCAAATAACCCGACTTCCTGCTCGAAGCAACGAGACTACACTTTGCTGCAGGAGATTCAATTTCCTTCCTCTGTTTTATTTTTTCGCGCTAGCTTTCTTATACTAAAAAAAATTATTTTCCTCTTCGTAGCATATGAAGAAAAACAACGAAGAATTGTTTATCATTCTGCCGACTGGTGTCGGATTGTCTTGAAAAGTTCTTTTGCTTGAGGGACATATGCAAATTCGCCTAGAATTGTACCTTTCGAACAGTATTCTTTGAAGGGCATTCAGCAGCGGCGATACAGTGCTCATTTATAATTGATGAATATAAGCTCGTCTACAAAACATCAAAGCACGTGCTTTGTCCAGTTTGTGCACTGAAAGATATCTTGGGAAAATTATTTTCCCCAATTTGCTTTCATGTAAGTGTACAAAGGCACTGCTGAATTATTTGCACGTGTGCGAGCATCGTTGTACTGAAAACTAATCAAATCTTTGGTCGATTTCAGGTTTTATCCTTAGCAAGCGATATGAAACCAGCCCAGCACACGCTTTTTCGAGATCAAGTGAGCACACTTGTGGAGTGGTTTGCAAACTGGAATGAATGTGAACAGACAATTGCGTTATACACTCTGCTCAAACGAATTTCCACCATTCAGGCACGATTTCTGTCTTTGATATTGGAGCACACGTTTCGCGACGATTCCCGTGAAGTTCAAATGATGCAATGGCGCGCAAACGACAAAGGTAAACTGTATGGCTCACGTGGGGGCGTTTTTTGTTTTGTTTACTACGACTTAGTTTGTACAATTGTAGCGTAATATTCCTGGGATAATTTACTCGATGACGAAAAGTCTGTCAAAGGCGCGAAAGAAATCACCCTTTACCATTAACACGCTATCGTGAAATTCAATGTCTTTCTTTTCGATCGCCTCTTGAATGCAACTAAATTAAATACGCAAACACTTTTTGCATGTATTTCTCACGTATTTCATTTTATACAACAGTGGCTATTTTCAAAATTTCCGGTTCAGTTTGGAACGAAAAAGGGCAGTTTTCTTTTCCGCGGTCAACTCTAAACAATAACTCATCAAGTTGTTTTCTTTCCTTGTTCATCCTAAAAAAGTAAACGCAATAATTTTTTGTTAGGCTTTTGATGGACTGCTGCTAAATATAACGTTTACAACATAAGGTAAGAATTATTCCACTTTCAAAATAATAAAACTGAAAAGAAGAAAAAAACACAAAAAAGGTTAGACGAAATAATAATGAAAAAGTCAAATCAACAGAGCTCAAAACAATAGCAAAAAGTACGGCATATTTGTCACCATGTATTCACTAAATTACCTGAGAATGTGATAATTTTCTAAGATACTAGAACGGATTAAATTAAGGCATCAGTCAACTTCAGTTGTGACGATCCCCCACCCCTCAAGGCACCTGCAGAACATTTGCATGCCTTTTTAGTCTCGGGAGGGAAGGGGGGAGGGGGTGGGGGTGGAAAAGCAAATTTAGAACAGTCCAGGGTTTAGGGGTTTGCTTTGCCTAGACCCTGGGGCTTTTCACACATCCATGGTTTCTGACTCAAAAACCAAACATGGACTACCGTAAAATTCTGAAAATAAGCCCCTCCATGTATAAGCTGCTCCAAATATAAGCCCCCCAAACCGGTGACGCAAAAAAACCCTCCATTAAATCTTCCCTCCAGGGGGGGCTTTACTTTGAAAATTTCCCTCAAACACAAAGTACAACAAAAAAACCCGGTAAATTTACTTCCAACTATAAGGCTAGCCCAATCAATTTTGAAATGCAAATTTCTCTCTGTAGATAAGCCCCTCAAAAAGGGCCTTTGAAAAATATAAGCCCCGGGGCTTATTTTCGGAATTTTACGGTATTATATTGGATAGGACCACTGAATATTGACTTGTCTGTCAAGGACCTGGATAAACTTGTTTGGATTCTTTGAAGTTATGATTTCTCGATTTTATGCATTTCCTTGTTTCTTATCGAGCCTCAACTTTAAGCAATCACTGTGTATAGCGAAAACTGGCTAAGTGTTGATTGGAGACAAGCCTGGGGAAGGAGCCTTTGTCATATTCCTTCTTCTACACCACAGGGATTTGGCAGCTCAAGTGGCTCCGCTTGACTATTAAAAACAAATAAGTGGCTCCATCCCTGGGAATTTGACATCCATCAAAAAAATATTAGAAATGCCTGTGGGTCACCCTGGGGTAAAAATGCAGCTGGAATTTACTAATGTATTGATATAAAAATGAATATTTGTGTAAAATACAGTTTTAAGTCCCTATAGCAGGATTGCAAATAATATTTGCCTTCCAGGAAGGACACAAGTGTGACAAACTTGTAATTATTTTCCGACAAACCAAAATAGCTGTTGAGCATTCATTTCATTGATTTTTAATTTCTGTTCAGAGTCGGAGTCTGAGTTGTAAGCAGAGTTGTAAGAGTGATTATGACCCAGTGAAAATAAAAAATCGGCGTCGTAAGTGAAGTCATAAGCGCGACAGAATCAGAGTCAGAAGAATCAGAATGTTTCTGTTTCTTCCGACTCCTGCTTAAGACTCTGTCGTTAAATTCCAGTTATGATCTAGTGAACACCAGATTGTCGGAGTCAGAAGCACAAGCGAAAGGATAAACCAGTCACAATGCTGGTTCCCATGCTTTGCGATTGGTTTAGTCTTCCCCTTCTGCTTCTGACTCCAACAATCTGGTTTTCACTAGATCATAACTGGAATGTGAGCGATGGAGTCATAAGTGGAGTCAGAATGCTGTTTTCACTAGATCGTAAGCTCTACGCCTCTGATTACTACTCCGACTCTGTGGCTAGTGAAAACCAGCCTCTAGCTTCACAATGATGGTCATTAACGTTTGATTTGTCTGGTCTGACATCATGTCCGACTGGAGGTAGGACTTTGTCCGATGACCAACTGTAATTTTAATCTTATGTCTCAAGTCTAAATGCCTTTCATTTACATGTATTGTAAAGAAAGCCATGTCTCTGTCAGCATTCTACATTTCTGCTGGTGGTTATCTTCTCTGTCACAAATTAAATCCATCTTTGTGACATTTTATTATCATTTCACTTGCACTGTGTCTCTGTTTTGAAGTTGGCGGGGTCCTCCCTGTAATGCCTACACAGAGAGTCTCCACCCAAAAGAGGTACCTTTGTCAGGCATCAGATACATAAAAGGGTAGGGAATTCACTGGTTGAAGTATATAAAAAGGGTTGGGTAATGTCATTTCAGTCTGTAGAAGTACCTAAAAGCGAAGAAAACTTGCTGGTTTGATGATTTAAGACAGTGCATTTACAGCAGTTAAAAGGGATGTAGCATTCTAAATTTGTGGAAGGGGTAACTTGCTTTTGCCTGTCTAAAATCTTATGTAATGGAGCCTTGTTGAGTGCCTCCTCCACCATGTCACTTGTCAAAAATTGTGGTCTAAACAATATCAGGGCTTCATGTAGGTGAAGGGCTTTGTTCATTCAATTTGGAGAGGATATGATGTGTTTTAGTTACAGGGGTGGAGGGTGGAGTACAATTTGTTCAAGAAAACTAAAGGTTTCTTTGTTGTTTTTTTTCAATATTTCAAATTTGAAGGTAGGGACGGGGGGGGTACATTAATGAGTCTTTATACAGAGAGTCAAAAGATTAAGTTGCTGTATTGCTTGAATGCTGTTTCCTATTTTAAGGAGAAGTATTGCTACTGACCTAAAAAGCCATCTAAACAGAATAATCTGGAATGATATTGTTCTTAAATAAGTTAATTGAATTGAGGGATTGGATTTGAATAGTGTATAGTATATACCGTTCGTAGTTATAAATTTTTACTTTTTCTTGTCTTGGCCTTCAGAGTGATGCTATTGTTAAAATGAGTTGGAAAAAAGGGGAAAATAGCTGGTTGTGGAATTTATCCACAGAATCAAACTGCAAGATCTACAGCTTATATTGAGTGCAAATTATTTTTATTCAGTGAACAAATGATATTAATTTACATTACCATTGTGTCTGCTGAAAGAAGATCTTGAATAGTGGTTTTGTTTTGAAAAGATAAGTTTGATTTAATAGTTTAAACAGTGCTCTTTGTAGTCTGGTTTTAAAACAGGTTCTGGTTAGGGATTTGTCATAAATACCTGAAATTTACAGTGTGTCATAAACTTTGAATATTATATATTCTTTGTGAACCTGCATTTAAGTATAAACACCTTTGAAAGTTTGAAATCTTATCAATATTGTGCGCCAGGTATAGCCTTCTGGAATATTCCATAGTAGCGCGGTAACTTTAATTTCTTCGTCAGTGAACTTGGTAATTGTTAATCTGCCTAAACATCAGACAAAAACATAACAATGGAGCTTAGTTGAATATAACACAAGTTAATAGACTAATTTATGCACAGTTAGTTGTTAGTCATACCTGCTAGTTAAATGCCTGTCTGGTTTTTTGTTGTCCATTTTTGAATAATGCATCATGTGCATTCAATCTCTCCATTTAATTGTTTAATTTTGTCTTGTTATTTTGGCCAAGACCATGTGCACATGGCTGAATTCTTCTGTGAAGGGTTTAATGAAAAATGTGTAAATATTTATTCTGACCACGTGGTAAAAGTACTTGAAGTTATTTCTTTAATAGATGTCATGTTTTCATTCATTTGATTTTCAACAATATCGAAGTTTTGTAACATTTTGTTTAGAAATGTGTTTAAGTTAAAATTGCAGTTACAGTAAGTAGTAAGTAGGTATTTGTAATTTATTTGAAGTTTCAAATAATGTCACATTGTATTTCAGGGGGTAAGCAAGTAATAAAATTTGCCAATATGAGTAATCATGGTCAAGTTAAAAATGAGACCGTGATTTAATAGTCGTGCAAAATATTAAGGTTAAGATTTGATAAGATTTACGACACCATTGTTTGCTGTGAGGATATCTATGGTTGCTACTGCATCCAAAATGTAACAGTGATCACTTCCTCCCATAATTTGCCATTAGATGTAAATGTTTAGGTTAAATGTTCTTCATTTTCTGTTGTCTGGAATAAACAAACTCCACTATGATTTACAAATTTTTTTTCACCTGTTTGCCCCCTGAAATACCACATGACATTGCTTTTACCCCATTGATCCTTAAGCAAGGGCAAAGATGGCAGGTGTCCTAAATAAACTCTATTAAAAGCCAAACTGAAAGCTGAGGAAGGAAAACAAAGCTGCTGTTGCAAATTGCACACCATTTAATTAAAGATTATTTAAAAAATTATTTTTTATGATCTTAGAATAGGTTTATGTTTGGGTATTTATAGAACAGATAGATGACTTTTTACCAGAAATATTGTCACTGCACCTATCTCTTGGTTTTTGCTTTGTACATTTGCATCAGTCAAGACAAATGTTTTCCTTTCAGAGGGTACAAATTGCTGAATTAAGAAACCTTTTAATTCTCTAAGTACTGGTAGTTTAGTGAACACTGTCCCACTCCGAAGACCAGTGAAAAGTAAGCTTAGCCCTAATCATTACTATTTATGACTATGAATAATTTTGGTGAGGAGACAACAAGAATTGATGAGATTCGTTTGACAAATAATTAGGGGTAGCAGACAAAGGAAACTGAAAATTAAAAAATATAGATATATATATATATATATATATATATATATATATATACTGGGTTGAAACAGACAAAGATTTGGTAAATTCTTTCACAGAAAATTAAAAATATAGATATATATATATATATATTTCAATATATATATAAAATATTGCTGGATATTCTGAAACACATTTCCGCTTAAATAAAAGGCAAGAAGGTTAGCATGTGATACTGGTTAAGAAAAAAGTCAACATGAAGTTGTCTGGGATTTGTGATTAATTTTCATTATTAATCATGTGCTAAAGAAAAATTTGTCTGGATTTGTGATTAAGGCGTGAGAAATTATTGTCTTTGATGCATGAGATCAATGTGTTAAGTTCACATATATGAGACTTGTGCATATAATGCGTGAGAGTTGGCCGTTATATCAATTTTTGTTGGTAGTAAAGCATAAGGGACATCTGATTATTGAGTAAATTGATAACTTTTTTAATGATTTATTAACCACACAAAAATACATGAGATAATAAAATAAAATAACTAATTTACAGCTCCAATAGCTAACAATAACAACAACAAAAAAACACTAACAATACAAAATAAATAAATAAATAACTATAGTTCTTACAACAATTCCTACTAATCACTAAGGTCACTAAGATGACAATGACACTATATCACATCTATAGTTTCTTAGTACTTAAATTGATAATTTTCTAAGTTGACCAATGTTATTACATCTCTTTGCAGAGTTCTTAAGCAGTCTGTTACGCGAAAGCAAAGATTTTGCTGTTAAACAGCTTTTGATGCATCTGCCATTACTCAACCCACGGAATGATGAGGCAAGATACCAATATCTTCAGTTACTCTCAAAGATTCTTCACCATACAGTAGAACACTCCATTCACCAAGAAGAATGTCGACAGCTCTTGTCACTCTCAGTAGTTCATCCTGCTTTCCCTCCTGAGGAAAGGACAACACTTCACAGCTGGCTGAGCCAACTCGACAAGAGTCTTGGTGTTCAAGAGAGACTTCATGTTACCAATTCTTGTATATCAGAAAACTCTGATGTGTTACCCAACACTGGCTGTGAGAATCTTGTGAGGCAGAACTACATGCGTAACAGGATGAATGGCTGGCGAAATCAGCAACTTGTTCATGTGGACTCTGGACTTGGTGGTTCGTTTGAATCACCTCCAGTTCCATCACCTCATCTTTCAGTTTCATCCTCTATGAGGAAAAGCAGGTCAAATTCACTCACCCCTCCACCCCCTGTTGATGTTCAAGACTCCATTATAGAGGATTATGTGGAAACCAATAATATTGAAATACGTCCGGGCAGGTCCCAGTCTTTTCCGGTGGATCCTCACAGATTAAATCACTCACTGTCACCTCAGTCATCGCTTGAAAGTGAATTTGATGAAAATGGATGTCGGCAGAGAGGAGGCAGTTTTAATGAAGATGCACGTCCTGGCATGAAAGGTTAGATTGACTTGGTCGGTACCAAACTTTGATTTCTTGCAACTCTACCCTTCCCAAATGTACCACTATGAATGAGTTTGGTAGTATCTTGACTCTTTTATGAACTACTTGCTTATTTCACTGGTTCTTTGTTGATCTCATCTACAGACCACCTCAAACAAAATGACTCTGTGGGTGCAGTCACTGCTGGGTACTCCTTGGTAATTTATGTCTTCATTTGTAAGTGCTTGAAAGAATTAAAACTCTTTCTTCTGAATTTCAGATGTTGGATCATGGTTGAAGAATCTAAGATTGCACAAGTATGGTAGTCTGTTTTCTCAACTCTCTTATGAAGAAATGCTTGGACTCAATGAAGAATACTTGGAAAGCAAGGTAATTTGTCATTTCAGGTAGTGTTCAAAGTGGCAAAGGTTTTCTTCTGATATCACCTTAAGGGGCTATTTACATGGCATGAGGAGGATCCTTGCACCAGGAAGATCTTAGAAAGTGGAACAACTTTTTGTTGGGTTTACATGAAGAAATTTCAGTCTGTGTGGTTATCAAGTAGAGAAGGAATAAAACTTGGCATGTGACAAAAACAAACATGGAATTTGGGGCCCTTCTGCTCTCTTTACTTGCGTTAGTAACTACCTTTCAGCAGCAACTGGCAGTTCATCAGCTCTTGGGAACGCTAAACGAAATTGTCAGCCTTTATTTAGTGATTACCCACTGAACGACCCAGTGCCATTTTTGTCTGGTTTGTCCCCAGTTCTAGGATATTCCTAGCAAAATCTGTTTACATGGGGATAGGACCTTTCGTTTTCTAGAATCTTCCTACCTCTCACTCAGCCAGGAAGATCCTACCGCTAGGGACATGAACAACCCTTTGCATGTACAGTTAACTCTCGCCTTGCGGACACCCTGTTATAACGAGTACCCCGATAATATGGACAGCAGCTACATCCCAGGCAAAAATAAATTATAGATGTTTGACTGAAAAACAACTCCCACTTCTATGGGCTCTGGCTAATGAGGACACTGACTCAAGGTCCCTACAGTGTCTGCTCTAAAGGGAGTTGACTGTAAACTGAATACCTAAAACATGGTGCTAGGATGATTCACCTTCCGGGTTCTTTCCTCCTTAATAATTATAAACAGTCCCTAAATAAACAAGCAGTTTTAAAAAGCAGTGGAGTGGCATAGCTAAAAAAAATTAGAACTATCCCTCTCTACATGTAAAATGGTGCTTGGATCATTTTGGTCCAGAAAATTGGAGATTAACACTAACCTTTAAAACTACCCTCAAAATTTAATTATGTTCATATTTTTGTCTTGAAACGTTAAGGAACTTTTGAATACAAATGAATTTGGGGAATAATCCAGCAAACTCAAAACGAAGGAGAAAGGAAGGAAGACTTCAGTTGACAGCAGGACTTAAAAAAGAAAAATGATGGAAAAAGCAATTGCAGCCACTGCTGTATTGTTTGCAGTAAAAACTGCTTAAGGTTGTCAGTATTTTTTACTGGAATTTTATTTTTTTTTTAACAGGGCGTAACCAAAGGAGCTAGGAACAAGATTCTGTTGAGTATTAAAAAACTCTCAGAAAGAGGAGAATCATTGTCACGTCTGGAAAAGGTAACATGATTTTCACAGGATTAATTGAAGTCCATGGTAACAGGCAGTTTCAAAATTTAGTGTTAGCAGCAAGTTTTGTGCACACATCTTTGAATGAGCATGTTGTTACGGTAAATCCTCTCTTAATTACACCCCCTCTCTCAAATAAGCTCCCTCCTCTCTAATAAGCCTCCCTTTTCAGGGGAAGAAAGTAAATAGCAAATTTTGGATTCACTATTAATATTAGCTGGCACAGTGTCAAATTACCGTAAATCCTCTATTGAACTTCCAGGTGGTTTTGAGGGGGGGCTTAATAGAGATGGGGGGGGGGTTATTTTAAAATTTAGCAAAGATGGTGGTATCAAGTCTCCATAAAGAACTACAATGCAAAGTGGAAAGGCTCAAGTGCAATATTGTTTTGTTGCTGTTCCTTTTTTTTCCAGGAAGTGCTTCAACCTGGTAAACTACAAGGAGTATTGAGTGGACTGAAAGAAATATTAATCACACCGATAAAACCATTTAACCCTTCTTCTCCGGAGGCGGCACTCCATGTGCCTTACCCACCAACACTGACAGCCGATCAACCGGCTCCAAATGTTCCCCCGCACCCTGACGATTTAGCTTCTAGAATAACAAGAGTTTTGGGTAAAGGTGAGTGGGTTATCAATGTTAGAGTTGAGCCACACTGGCCCTGCGAGCAAGCTCTCCATTCCGAGTTTTAAGCGACAAGCAGTTTTTAACACATGGAGTTGTTGATGCAATAACGATGTCAAAAACTGTGATCACTAGCATAGTTATCTTTCCCCCATGGTTCTAATAGGTAATCAAATGGTAGTCATTTTTACTCGTGAACACACTTTATACTTATTCATTAAAGCTTTGTTTTTTGTTGTTATCTCATTGATCAGCTTGCACCCAGATTCTTGTGTCAAGAGCAGATGAGGAACACTGTAATGCTTACCTTCTGCTTCTTGATAGAGTTCTTATGCTAGAGGTAATGCTACTGACAAGGATTTGAATTTTTCTATCCTAAACCATGCTTCATACATTATTGTTTACTCTTGCCTCTGTTGCTGTTTTTCCCAAATTTTTAGTTTGAGGTCTTAAAATTTGAAGGTAATTTTGTACTTTGCAATGTAATGACTCAGATATTGTGATACAGCTCAACTTTTTAACAGCAAATACTGAGGAGGTGCTTCTAACAAAAAAGAAAAGAAGACAGTTACATTAAAAATGTTTTAGTGAAGAATGAGGGTACTTTTATGGATTAATTTTTTGTGTTTCCTGTCAATGCAAGCAACTATTATTTGACTATTAAAATATTCCGGTAAATAAAACATGACCCAAAGAGTATGAAATGGGACATAAGAATCTTGAAATCTGGTTTCTCTGCCAGGCATTTACACTTTCCCAGAAAGGAAGAATTCAGTCATGGAAACAAGAGTGTCAGAGACTGGTAAGACAACGCCGACCATCACATGAAAACCGACAAAGGGGGTAAGATCCAGTGGTTATGTGTTACTGAATTTGTTGCTTGTTGTATTGTTGGTTATTGGGTGAATTAGCATAATGATGGCGGCGTGATGTGTCTGTTTGCATGTCCATTTCAAATTTGAAATCCACAGTGAGAACTATAAAAAGCGATTAAATGCCAACTGAAAAGTATGACTTTTTACACTGACCTTTCATGATGTAGGTAATTTGTTTTTCTTTTCGGCTGTTGTGATATGTTGTAATCTACTTGGTAATCTTTTGTAATAGACAGTGCAAAATACAGAAAATCTGAAATCTGAATCTGGATGACTTGTGGTGTTGTGTAATTAAATAGGTTGCCTCTGGAGATGTTTTATCGAGTCAGTCACGTGTGGTATTGTTGATTGAGTTACATTTGTTGTTGTGTGATGGAGAAGCTTACCTGTGGTATAGTTGTTGGGTTACCTCCAGTGTAGCCTGCAAAAACAGTCATCTCCCCCTACTTCTTACCGCTAAGGATGTTTAGTAAGGAGGGACGTCTGCCCCTTCACCAACAGAAATTCCATGCTGATGACGTAAAATCTGTCCACAATCTCGTCAGGAGCTCTGAGTGGTCGACGTAGTAGTTATATTGTTTTAGCTATTCTTTACAAACAACAGTCAAATAACAAACTGTCACAAGGTCAGATGTAAATGCGATGAATTTACTACAAAACGGGCAATATTTGTGAAATACATCCACTTTAGAAGAAGAATTTGAGTTTCGCTGGAGCCATAATCTACCAGTAGAAACATAAAATCGATAAAATTGTACAATCGGACTGAAAGGACTACTAGCTTAATTATGAAGACATTTATTTTTGTCATCAGTATGGAATTTCTCTCACTGAAGCACAGACATCCCTCCTGGGGAAATGCTCCTAGCATGGAGGAGCAAGGGGAGATGGCTGTTTTTGCAGGCTACCTCCAGTGTTGTGTTGTTGAGTTGCTCACTTAAAAACACTAATTGCTTTTAAGTGAATCAGTGGAGTTTTTGTCATTGTATCTAAATATTGTTGCTATTATTCTTGGTGTAGGTGGTACAACATGGGACATAATTCAGGGGACTCCATTGGAGGGAACATAGGACCTTCTGCAGGATCAGGGGGCATAAATAAACGCCATAGAGGCTCACCTCGTAATGCTGCAAAGAATTCTGCTGGTCAGCTTCGAAGTAGCAACAGTGCCGAGACACAAATGCACTCTAAACCACGGCTGGTAAGCTGAATCAATGTTCACCTTTATTTTTTTTGGTCAATTTTTATTAGAATTGACGTTTTTTTTTCTTGAGTGAGGAAGAGAAAAACCTTTGAAGTCGACACAGCCCACACTTCTGCAATAGTCAATCTTGTTCGCCCCTTTCAAGCGCTCGCACTTGAGGTTGATTGTGAGCTCATTGAGTACGAGCATCCGTTATTAATAAACTGCTGAAAATAACCGAGCCAATATGCCATGCATTAGCCTGTGAATAGGCTCTCTGTTTGAAGGGGAATAAGGTGGAATAGCGGTCCAAATGTTTGTCACCAGGCTCTCACCCTCTCCCTTCCCTCTCCTCGCAATTTTTTCATGCTTTCCCCAAACAGAGAGCCTGTTCACAGGCTAGACACGCATGCTCAACAGAGATCTTACTTGATTCATACAGATTCTCTTTCTCAAGTGTGCTAAAATAGAGCGAGCAAAAGAAAGACTTTGCTGGTAGAGTGCATTTTGAGTTACTAATTGATGTTGCTTTTCCGTTAGGTAAGAGCACATGCTGTTGTTGGAAGAACAAAGTCACTTCCTGTTAAACCAACCCAACAGACAAGTGTTGTCTTACCACAGCAGCGTATGTAGATCTTCTTTATATTAGGAAGCTTAAGTACCCGTAACAGAGATAACTTTGTCACTCATCTTCTAAATGGCTCTATCAAGGTTCAGAAAAAGAAAGAAAAATTTTTATCTTGTGGTCGAGTCCCCTATAAAATGTGAATTAGAAAATTTCACATCATAGTAGTGTAGTGGTGGCAAAGAAATGTACACCAAAAAGTGTTATGAAAAGTTGTTGGTTTGCTAATCCAAAATTTGTTTTGTCATGACAAAGAACCTGCTTTTGCAAGGGGCAAATATTTTGCAGCCAAATCAGTCTAGCAACAAATAACAAATAACAAATATAACACATAACTTAACTGCAAGTTTTTGGTTCGTGGTATTTAGTAGCCTGCCTCGCAGACGTAATATTTTAACCCAAGATCCTTGTTTTGGGTCCTCAATAGATTTATCAAATAACCAAAGTGTCTCGAATTTCTGTTCATCTTGATTGGCAAATCGACATTGTCTTTTTTAACCGGCCAATCATGGCATGTACTCAAATCCTGGTACATAGGTGGGGGCCTATAGAACAAGGATTTTGACACTGTTTGGCAGACAGACTCAGCCAGAGGTTTGTTTTGTCGGTGATGCAGGCTAGATATTTAGCAACTAGTATCTATCAGTAATGTCATAATTATAATATTATTATTTAAACTAACTTAGTTGTTTTCTCTTTAGTTTCAGCTGACATAGAGACCATTGATGATGGCCTGGAGTCTCTCTGTCTCAGCGTTACAGAGCATGCACTTTCTGGTTAGTGGTTTGGTAAATTTAATGACTGGTAATAGAAAACATACATAATAATTATTGTTGTTACAATTCCATGTTCATCTTACTAGAGCCCTGTTCTCTCTGCGTTTTCCCTTTCACCCCCTCCCCCACCGTTTTCTCTCTTACTTCATCAACTACAAACAGAAAACACAGCAAAAACGGCCTGCCACACAGGCCACCTATAATTTTTCAAGCATAATTTTCATCACAAGTGACAACACTTTGAAACTGTTAAAAGAAAAGTGATACAGTGGAACCTTGAATATTATCAAGGTTTCACTGTAGCTTTAGGTTTTTTACTTTGTGCAAAAACTGAAAGAGTTACCCTATCGAAATAAAGGTTTCTATCTGTCTATGTAAAAATCATCCAATTATAGCCAGTGTTAATTTACATGTAAAATTGTTCTAATGTAGAGATAATTCATCGTTTTGCAGATTCAATGGAGCGTTCATTTGAGTACAAATAGTCTGCAAAACCTTGGGATAAAAGACCAAGTTGCTTTAAGAACAAGATATTGTAACCATTGTTGAATTCAGTTATAACCAACCATAGGATTGTTGTCAAATATTTTGCAGCCAAGGGGTAATAAAGTTATATAAATGGGCCATAATTATTGCATCTTACAAACCTCATAGAGGGTAAATATTGTTTTATAGAAAGTTACATCAAAGCTCGCATGGTGGTAGCAAAAAGCCAAAAAAAATTTGTGGACAAGTTTAATTATGAATAATTATTATTGTGTTGATAATAGTCTTAGTTTTGGTGCAAGACTACTCCAGTTGATAGAATTGTAGAGTAGTTTATTTAAGCAGACAGTATTATGTTTAAATTAATGTTTTTTGTGTTTTGTACATGCATCGCAGTCAAATATTTTTACAAGACTTGCATTCTTTCTTGATTTGCCTTGGTTGAATTATCTTGTTGTTGTCTATAAGGTTCTTTTGTTTTGTTACCGGTACTCACCTAAGATAATTTTGAAATGTCATGATCTCCAACATGACCTCACTGGCAATTTTTTGTGCGACACAACGTTTGCAGCGTTGGTTAGACAGTTACACTCCTGCTGTTTATGAAATGTTCTAATGTGTTTGTTAAACTTGTACATAAGTTCTTCATTCAGTACTCTGACTTTCTATGGAGGTACTGAAATTTATTTTTTTGCATCTTTTTTCATTACGTTTTCACAGTTGCATTACCTTGTTCCATGCAGTTTAAAGTCAAAAAAAGAATATTGTTAATAATAAATTATTATTGTTATTTTAAGACAAGAGAAAGGCTTGCATAGTTATTTTCATTATGATTGTGATTGGTGGCTTAAACAGTTTCTGAACTCATTTGTTAGTGTGTAAATAGACTGTCAGCCCAGATGGGAGGGCAGTATAAACTAAGCCTCTGTTTTTGTAAGGATTTTTGTGTTGTTAATTTAAATCATTATTTTTTCAGTCATCATAGCTTTTTCACCAAGTTTTGAAAATCCCAAAAAATAAAGAATTCACTCTCAAGCTATGTTATAATATTATAGCTGGAAATTTTTTCCCAACACGCATGCTCTCATTGGTTACTTCAAGGTCACATGATGTCTAATGATAAAACTGTTTCCCACAGGCAACATTGCAAAATCTATGACGTCAGAGGGTAACAGTGCGCTATTATCTGCAAATGTTGACCAACTACCCCCGTTACAGCGAGGTGTAATGACTTTCCAGCTTTGAAACTATTTCCAGCTATATAACAGCTCTGACTCGGGAAACAAAATTAATTGTTTCCCGAGGGACCAGTCATTAAGAGTTTATTATTATACACACAACTGCACTACCAAAGCTTTCACTTGGGTTGGGTACCGATATCAAGGTGATGCAATGGGAAGTAGATTTCAGGGAGGGGATCCAGTATTTAAAAAGTCTGGGACACAAATTGATGCAAATAAGGTCTACTTTGTTATTGTCTGGACTCGTTCCTTTTTAATAAACTTTCATCTCTGGCTATAAATTTTTGTACCACAAAAGCTACCGGTACTTTTCTCTTAAACTTGAACAACTTTTGTTGTGTCTTTTCTGTGTGAAAAGAAAGTTACAAGTACCAGGTTAACTGCCAAAATTGAACTTTCTATTTGATAAATTAAACAGGTTATTTATGCTTTTATCTATTTCTTTGATCTTGTGCCAAAATAGAACCTAATTTTGTGTTGTCCAATCTTTAATGTGGTTATTTATTCTTACAGTTGTAATTGTTTACTTCTGAAACTTTCAAGCAACACTGCATTGTTGTAATTAGTTAGAACTTTGAAAATACAATCAAAGTGATCATCAGTAACTAGTAAGTTTCTTAGCGAAAACCATGCTATGGATTTGTTGCCACAATCATCCAAGAATCACTTTGGCCTTCCAACAGTTTTTGTCATAATTTTATCACTCACTAGAATTAAGCAGTTGATGTAGAACTAACAACCTTCAGACCACTTTCAGCTTTCAGTGTGTAGTTCTAATAATAAGAAACTTGTGAAAAGACTTATAATCGGCTCATTTCCATTATATTATATTATTTCTGTTTTGGAGCTTAGTAAGGTAACACATTTTCCCCCTGTAGGCAGTTTATAAATCAGTAACACATTTACTTATAACTCTAATGTACTTGTTATTTATTTAAGAGTTTGAATTCTTTGAAGTATATATTCATAACAGTATTATTATTATTAATGAACACAGAAAGCAATGTTATCTTGAGAATTAAGATTTTTATCAAAGGCGGCCCATTGAGTCGTCTTTTCTTGGACTCCTTTTGCAATCTAGGTGTTGACTTGAATGTCATGCTTACCTGATTGTACAAACCAATAGCAATATTGTCGTTGTGTGATGCGCCGGTGATTATTTCATACAGGTTATTGCTTTTATACAAAGCATGTAAAGTTTGAAACTGTACAAGGCTTTTCTAAGGTGCGCAATAACAACGGCAGATTTTGCTAACACTGGTGGAAGTTATCTAGACCAAAAATGCTGGCATTTTAAAAAAGACCTTTCATTTTTTAGTCAAACTAATGCTGGTCATAAATTACTGTAATGAAAGAACAAATCGCATAATCAAGTGTATCCAGTTTAGCAATTTGATTTGACCCACCGTCAAAATGCATGCCTGAAACTCTGCCAAGCTGTTAAGTTAAGGAGAAAAAATTTTGAATGAGCATTATAATAATTATTGGATTTTAGCAGAAAATAACATTACTAGGAAACACATAAAGCACTTTGGGGAACTAAATTTTTTGTCTTAAAAAATTAATATCAGAAGCACAACCAACCCTTCTTGGATTGTATACACGACAGCCCACTTTCACATAGAATTTTTACAGAGACTGTCTAAATCCTTGTTAAGTTGCTTAAACTTAGTGCTGGTGGAAGTAATGCACATTGGTTGGACTAATCAAAGTCTTTATGTAATAACCTCTATGTGCTCTAGACAACAGCAGTTATGTCCAAGTTTACATTGTATGCTTGCAACCGGCCCCTGTAGAACAAACTCTGACTTTTCATAACATGCAATATTTTGGTAATGTAATTTCTTAGTTAATGGCAACAGTCAAGTTTGCAAAAATATTTATTAATTTTTTGTAAAGTTTTGTGAACATGCTCCGTTTTTCTTTTCTAGCAGTTCAATATCTCATAGAAATTCAGCGACATAAGTGTGGATTTTGTTACATTCATGACTGCTGCTTATTTAAGAGCTAAGGAGACAATTGTGTTGAGATCAGTCACCAGAAAGTTCTTACTCTGAGATAGGTTTTGCAATTTTCACTAAATGTCAAAATTCCTGTTTTTGTTAATTAAACCCTATTTATTTTTTCTATGAAAGTGAAATTTGATTAGATTTCACCCTCGCAAATGGGCATTGCAAACGTGCGAAAACTCCATTGGAAAGATGAGTTGTGTTTACATTTTTGTCTGCCATTTTAACCTGAACTCAAAAAGCCAGCATAAGCCATTTGCATGGACAAGATCAAAGTTGTCCCAAAACCTTTTTCTCAGTGTTTGGTCAGTTGTTTGACCTTTATGTATTTTTAACTTAAAATAAGTCTAAATATTGAAAACCAGTTCCAAGACGAAATCTATTTCTTTAATCTGTTCATGGTTGTCTTATGCACATCCAAACTTACCTATACTGCACTATAAATGCCAATGTAATTTATTATTTAAAACAATGTTAAGCCTTCTAGTTATATTAATAATTTTCAAAATCGTTCAGGAAGTAACAGATTGAAACTCAAGTTCTCCATGTTCTTAACCTTGCTGTGCGAGTGTTGGGAGTGGAATTCTACTATAGTCATGATAAAAATCTTGCGTTACTTCCATTTAGTTAGTAGTTTAAGTGAATTCAGATTTCTATAAAAGTTACAAAGTTAGTAAGATTGTTAAGACCCTTTCCTTCCAAACAATCAAGTATTTTTTTTGCTGAAGCTTTCAAGAACACTTTTCCGAAGGCTTTTTAAAAAGGGTTTGACTGTGTTGTGATTGCCTGGTAGGAAAGGGTCTACTTATAACTTAGAGACCCTATGGGTCATATTTTATGACAATGTGAACAGTCAAAACTATTGTACTTAGTAGGGCACACCAGTCAATAGGAATCAATATTATGGCCGCCTCCCATGCTTCAGAAATCTTCCCACCCTCTCCGATGCCTCTTCCACTTTGAGCGCATTCAAAAATAATGGTTTGGTTTTATCAAACCATTTCAGGCATAAGAATCAAACAGTCTGCCCTGTGCATTCAGAAGAGCAACTCCTTGAAACCAGCAAGAATCTTTTCGTAGGGCCCTTGAGTTGATAAGCTGTAACTGTCCCATTTGTCTTAACCCTTTAAACCCTAATATCAAAACTCAAATTCTCATTTGTTATCCCTATACGTTTTCAATAGAAGTAGTAGGGAGAATTTGTTGAAGTATCAATTAGATTCATCTTCTCTGATCATATCCTCAATTCTCATGACCATTGTTTTATAAAGAAGTGATATTAAAAGGAGAAATTTGATGGTGATCACTCTTAGGGTTTAAAGGGTTAACAAGGTGTGTCCTGTAGGTATGCTGGTTATGACCTCTGTTATAACTGCTTAAAAGGAGACATCTCCAGTGACTGTTGTATACAAATACGTTCACTTTAGTATGCGTTTTGACTGGTGTTGACTTGTTGGTAATTTGTGATTAACTTGAAAGATGCAGTGCCGTGGAAAAGAAAATGTTATATAAGATAGTACTACGTACAATTATTGTTAACTTTTTGCAGTAACTGCAATAAACTGTTGTTAAATGAAACCTGTTGTGTTATTGTGTTCAATCAGAGGGGCTAATGCAAGTAAGTACAACTGAACCTCACTTAAGCTGCTACCCTCAATTAAACCACCAGTGATTGAAGGTCCAAAATAGTTATTATTGCATAGGTAACAGAGCTGCAGGGTAAAGGGAATGGGATGGGTGTATGAGGAGAGAGGTCAACCTGCTCCCTGGGGGGGGGGGGGACTCCCACATAAAAGTGACGGGGGATGCTCATCATCTCCTTAGGGGTGTTAATTGCAGATTTTGGTCTCACTTTGGGTCTTTTGGGATGGAAAGTCACTACATTTTCCCTTTCAGGTATTGCTTAGGGCTCTTCGCAAAGAATTTACAAAAAATACCACAACACTGACCACACAAAAATTTCCTTTAGGGATCAGTTTAAGTTTGAGCCACACCCACACTGGTCTCACTTAGGGGTTTAATTTCAATTTTTCCACAAGCATCCCCATCACTATTACATTATGGTAATCCCACCAGGCTCATTTCTCATGCAGTTGCTGATCAAGGAGTGTGTTATCAGGCCTCAGCAGATAATATCGTTCTTGATCTGTATAATTTTTCAGATCACTATGACAACCGAATCCAATAATTCCTAAATGAGATTATTAAAAAACTGAATGATTGGATAATGTAATTCTAGAGCTCTGATTGCCTTAGCCATCGTTGTTTATGAGCCATTATACTGTGCTCTCCAAATAATTTATGGTAACTGTACACGTCTGCTCAAAATTAAAAACAAGCTGAAAATCGATTGTTTTTACAAAAATTAATAAAGGCGGGAAGAATGCTCGAGTTATTCCACTTGCCCTTGATGGATATGAGATGATTATAGCCAACTTATATCCAATGCGCACTCGTGGAATAATTGTGAATTATAGCTTGAATTTTAGCAGTCTCCTTAACAACTCAAGGTGATGGCTGAAATTCACACTAATGTGGCCTTAATATAATCTGAAGAATAATTCTTCAGATCTTAAGATTCAAAACAGTTTATATTTTAAAGAGATGCATACCTTGATAGACGTTAAGTTCCCATTTTCATTTGTCTGTTCCTCTGTAAATTCAGGATATTATAAAGAGATGTTTAGTCTTACTGATGTTCTTCAAATGGCAGTTGTCATGCCTCAAGTTGTACTTTGTGCTGCTCTTATGTTATGTCAGCAGTAGTTGGCTAATTCTTTGCAAAATGTGTGACATTTTCAACAACCTTGTCACTAGGGCTTCTTGACTGGTATCCCTTTTTCTTGTGAATCCTGGACCATTGATGTCATTTTACTGGATATCACAAACGTATACCAAATTTGGTCAACGCTAGATGGTTATGAAGGATTAGTAATGGCAATAGGACTGAGTGGAGTACAATTCAGGGAGTAATTGGGCGAGTAAAGCGCGAGGCTGATTTGAAATTGCGAGCCCGATTACCACTGAATTTTACAACACAAAGTCCTATTTCCACTCAGTCTTGGAATATTTATTAATGCAAGAGAAAGATTCCAAATCATCTGAATAAAAGTCATTGGACCACTTAGTTTCATCCATATTTCTTTTCCAGTTGAAGATGGACAGCTTAGTACCTGATCACCATTTTTTAATTGATTTTGATTGGGTATCATGTGCTATGTAGTTAAATTTAATTGGCTAGTGGTATTTGCCAATTGATTTTCATTGGTTTTTTAACTGTCCGATTACAAGCTCCTCGTTATCAGACAAGTCAAATCGGACAGTTTTGGAGTTACAACAGCAAAATTAAGCTATAGACATCTGCTGTTAAGAACCAATCAAATTCAAACATTTTGTTACTGACACAATTAGTAATGGTAACAGGACTGAGTGGAGTCCAGTTCTGTCTGTAATCATAAGAGTGATAACAAAATCAGACGACCGCGTTACGGGAGTCCAAGCAGGAGTCTGAGTATGATTACAGACTGAATTGGACGACACACAGTCCTGTTACCAGTTAATCATAACTTTAACAAAATTTGTGGTGTCTCTTTTTAAAATCAAAACACAAGAAATTCCAAGATTTTTTTCGCTAGCAATGAAAAAAAAAAGACATTTAAGTGCACGCATGATGGTGCATACTGTCCTATTAAACTGTACCTTTTAAGGCTGAAATCAGAACAGCTGATAAGCAAACAGATTTGAGAATTTTGTTATAGTTATGATTAGCAGGGGAATTTGAGCCAATTGGTACTAACTGGAGTAATGGAGTAACATTTTTTAATGAATAATAATTGAAAATAATGGACTGTTAACAGTTAATTATGTTATGTATTACTCGGGCCCGCCTGCTGTAATTGGCCACAGCTGTTACGGTGTCCCTGTCAACGTTCTTTCTATAATTTGTTTGTTTGTTTGTCTTTTTTGGCGAAGCTAATAAAATAAAATAAAATAAATTTGACCAAGAAGTTTAAATGCTTTTATTCCAGTGCTGACTCTTGAGTGGTCACTTATGGGAACTGTTGCTAACAAAAACTTTTCTTTACAGAGTTTGAGTCACAGTTTAAAAAGGGTTTCACAATGCTGGTTTTAACTAGAGCTGGTCCCTAAAAAGAACAGTTGCAAGGAGAATATCAACAATGTTATTAGCATTGATTTTCACCAGTACATGGCCCCTAGGGGACTTGATGTCAATAATAATTTTTGAAATTTTCCCTCGTGAGGGGGTGGCTTGCTATTTGTGATATTCCCGCTTCTCATTGACAAGCATTTGTTTAGAAAAATAGAGGATCTGTCAACAGTGGAGTGTAATAATAAGTATGACATGAGGACACAATATTATTCTACTCCAACTTGAAGTAATTTCTGGACTAGCTTGCAGAAAGTACACCTCTTAATATTTCTCCAAGAGACATTCCCCTTAGTTCAGAGCTAGTACCAGACTCAGCATCGTCAATAAATGGTTCATCCTGCACTATGAAGTATGACTGGATAAGTGCTCGGCACATGGGACAGTAGCTTAACTGCTGACAACACAGTCCACACGCACATGCATGTCTACAGGGAAGAAAGGCACGGGTGACTGGAAGTGTTAGGCAAATGATACACACAGCATTTGTTAACTGATTTGATGAAATAGTTGAATTTTCAACTCCAGCTGATGAAGTTGCTGTTCTTTGAGTTGATGATGACGACTGCATTTCTATTAGGTCATCACTCTCTGCAACGAACAATTTCTGTGAAAACAAAATGAACAAACCACTAAGGTTACCTGTTACTTTCAAATTAATGAAGTAACATAATTAACACGGGACACAGCTGGCAAAAATCAGTAGTTCAGTTCAGTTCAGTTCAGTTTATTCTTCCCTCAATATTTTGACTAATGCTAGGTTACAGACTTTGATTGATGTTTACAGGAAAATGTTGCTATAAAATTACTGTAAAATTCTGAAAATAAGCCCCTCCATGTATAAGCCCCTCCAAATATAAGCCCCCCAAACCAGTGATGTGAAAACCTCCCTGTTAAATCGCCCCTCCAAAGATACTTGCCCTCAAATACAAAGAAAAACAAAGCAAAAACAGTAAATTTACTTTCCAGTATTATGCATCAGTCAACTCCACCTGCGCACAGCCCAGGCAGTGCAAAATTTGCAAATGCTCCACCCCCGGGACTGACAAGGCGGGCAAATGCCCGTTAGGTTTTCTGCTGGAATTGAATGATGCATAATTTCCCTCCTTAGATAAGCCCCTCAAAAGATTTGAAAAATATAATGTTTATTTTCAAAATGGTAATGGTTTGATTAACCAGAAAGAACCAATAAAATTTCTACTTGAATAAATAAATAAATAAATAAAAAAGCATAACTTAAACAAGAAAAGCAAAAGAATAAATGAATGAATAAATAATAACATGATAAAAGAAAAGGAAAGAACAATTAATAAGCGGTTCCAAATGCTAGCCTGCGACTAATGCCCTTAGGCCATCTTGGACATTGAAACTGACAGAGAGTTGAAGCAAGTCAAAAATTGATTCCAGGCTATCCAGATACCAGTTTTTGTACTTAAATCACAATCATGGTGAGCTAAGCCATAAATTTTACTAGGTAGCCTGTAGAATGCATCCTTTATAAAAAGAAGAAAATAAAATTATTGAAGTTTGTCATTCTCGGAACTTAAAGGGTCAAAACAGTTTCTGTGGCGTTAAGCACTAGAAATGTTGACACCCCCCCTGGAATGGATGCCAGTCAATCACAGGGTTACCCCCACCCTCGCAGTATCTTGCTCAGTTGGCAACCATTTACAGTCAAACCTCCCATAAGCAACCACCCAAAATGCAAAGACTATCTTTTGTCTGATAACCATTTAAAGGTTTGACTGTATACATGCACTGGCATGAAGAGAGACAAAGTGGAGAAAGTTTCTTTTCTTAGGAAACTGCCAACGAAATGGCAAGACTTGAACTGGGAACTGCAGATCTGAAGTTCAAGGTGGTTACCACTTGACCACCATCCATCCATTTCTCCAGTTACATGCATCCATCAATGTGCAGTGCTAGATTTGTTTCCAGCATCAAAAAGTACCACTATAAACTTACAAAAATTTGACACTTGCATGACTAGAAAGTTAGTTAAGTATTGGAGCAAAGATTATACCTTCATACTATATATGTTTCCTTCCGCAGTCTGAACAAATTGCATCACTATGTTGCTGGTAAGTTTACCAGCTGAAACATTGGATAATTGAACTGCTGTCATAAGAGCCACCTATGTAGAAATAATAAAATACATAATAATTATGCCTCCAGTATCACAAGAAATACAAGGAAGAAGGAAGGACCTGAGAGAAAAAGGGAAAACTAAATACTGTGGCACTTGCTACTGGGGTCAATTTAATAAAATGTTAACAAGTGTAATTTACAAGACATGTAGCTATTGTTTTTGGACCATAAAACAATAGCTACACTTGTAAATTACTCCCATAAAAGTTTTATCAAATTGACCCCTGGTCAGAGGTACCATCAGCAATAATATTAAAAGATAACATCAGCAATAATATTAAATTAATATTAATGACATTGATAACATGTCTTTCAAAATATAATTTTATACACCTCATTCGCCAAAATGATGGCTATATTAAAAGGCCATTTCTTAGTTCCAAAAACTCTCACTTTTGAAATGAGGCCAAGAGCTCAAGCAAAACCTTTCTTGTGAAAATGAGATTCACTTGCACGAGAAAAAAACATCATCTTCAAATCAATGGCTTTGTGTTTAGGCTCGCTTCAAACCAGTGGCTTGGAGCAGTTCAGAAATGGCCTTGGCTACTACAAAGTAATGTTTCTTTTGTATTCATGTCACTTAGCCCTCATTCACCCCGGTTCATTGCCTTGATTGCATCTAGAGTATTCTAAAGAACTTTAATCTTCAAATGAAGCATTGAGAGCCAGTTATCATGAAGACAAAAGAATAACTTTATTTGCCACCATTTTGGAATAAGGTGAATGACTATATTGCTATTTAAAGTTCCTGGTGAATGATCTGGGAGGGAGGCCTGGCCATGCTGTTATTTTTCTAACAAAATAAATCCTATAGCTGAGAAAAATCAGCATCAGTAAAACTGTGAAGAACCATGGAAGTGGCCACATTTTCTTTGCTTGACCCCCTTTGTACATTTAGGGAAAGTACGACAATCAAAGTTTCTTCTTAAGATTATGTGTTTAACTTTGTTTCTTTGTCAATGTCGCATGAATAATTTTCCTTCATTTTGAAATGTTATGCTCTCTTTCACATTAATTTCCGTTATTCAAAAGTTTTCCATATAAATTTGTATTAATTTATGTTGCATTTATTTCCAATACCCTCATTCCATGGAGAATTAATTTCCAATAATAAGGTGACTGTTAGCAACCCAAAGAAAATTATGATACACATTAGAATTTCTGCGTCACTCAAGTTACTATTTTTTTTCTCCCTTTTGTGTGAGGCAATAACAATGGTTTGTGCTTGAAATGGTCATGAATACTTATGCAAGAGCTTTTCAGTGATGCAAATCAATAACTGGAAAAGATATGAAGTCAGTAATGTTTTATGATATTATGATCAGATGCAGAGATATTTCAACAGAGTTCTATCCGGGTAGTTTTAGAGCATTTGAAGCACAAACCAGTTATTGCCTTTTTAAAAAGAAAGGAATGTCACACAATCATGACCAAACAGGGTGCTTGCAATGGTCATGTGAACTAAACAAAAGTCATCTCAACAATCTTTTTTTGGGGGGGAGGGGGAGGGGTGCTAACAGTTTAATGATTTCGGTTGGCTACCCCATTTCCACACTATTGCTACATATGGTAACTTTCTACACTGAATCACTTACAATATCTGCAAGTTGTTGTGGTCCCTGTTCATCATTCGGACACATCTCTACAGTCACTATAAGCGAATATGTTGAGTTACTGCCTTCTGAAGGGTGACTTGATAGTGATGCAATTTTTAGATCAGTTGGAGGCACAGCTATTATTGTATGATCAACACCTGAGTCATAGCTGAAGTTATTCAGTTAAGAACAAAATGTTCCTAGCCAAACATTCGTTCAACTTTACACTATCTATACTATTCCTCCTCCTACTACTGCCTCCTAGTGGAAGTTTTTTTTTTATGAAGAGAGGGTGAAAAATCAAACACCATGAAAGGATTGAGCCTTGGTTTCCTTTAATAATTACTAATTTTCAGGTTTTGTCAACAAAGTTGGAGGATACCTAATTTTGGGATATCTCAGTAGGTTGGTACTTGGGTGTCCTGTATAGTATTGGAGTGTTCAGTGTCGCATGCCAAGATATTTTAGCTGAGTTATTTTACAATGTGAAGGCTCTCTAGAAAAGATTTCAAAATCATATAATAATGATTCTTGCATTCTGCCACTTGATCAGTTCCATCATTGAGATCCAAACTACAGTCACAAACCATACCCTGTCCGATTGGCCTGTAGCAACTTGGACTTAATCATAAATAGGACAGTGCAATGGGGCAGTAGGCATTGTGCCTTAATACTTATAAGCTTTCTTTCTTTCTTTCTATCTATGATGTTATTTTAATAAGGTCCGGTTCAGATGCCGAACTTTTCACGAGCCAGATTAATTTGAATTATTAATAAAATTGCTTAGCTGAATTGATTCAGAAGCTGATCTCAGTTCCAGCTACAACAAAATTCAAAAGGAGAAAAATGCTCATTTCAGTCAAACAGCCTGCAAAATACATAATAATTTATGCATTAGGTTTGTGACATGAAAAGTTCAGCATCTGATCTGGACCTAAAACATAACAACCATTGTTGTGTTTTCTGCAAATTTAGTTTTAGTGACATTTCATTATATTATTGGTGTTAAACCAAGAATGTTATTTCTTCCTTTTATCTGTAATCATAATTGTGATCAAAAAAATTAATTTTCATTTAAAATTAATGGCTGAATTGCAGATCCACTTAGTCCTAGATTGCTTTTCTGCGTTACTCTGCGCTTTTATTTGCTTATATAGTTGCACCAATGGAATTGGATTTCAAGCTGAGTTTTAACTTAAGGATACAATTCTGATGTTCCTCGCTCTTTGTATGAGCCTTTAAGGAAGTGCTCCAGTGGAAGAGCAGTCATTATTGGTACGTCATCCAAATCCAAGTCATCATCACCATTCTCAGCATCATCAAAACCACTTGTTTGCTGTTCAGGGTGTGAATGACCAAGGACAGAATCTATGACATCCTTTGTTACTTCCCAATACAGAGTCAAATAGCATGGTGAAGTTGTACTCAGAAGAAATTCTATAACACCTATAATAAATATCAGACCAATATCGCTCATTATGAATCTCTGCTGTCTTTCTTCAAATAATATACTATTTGAAGAAAATCAATAATACTTGAATGATTGTCATAAACAATAAACTTTTAAGTCTAAATTTCCCAATAAGGTCTCAAGTCTCAGAGGTTTATTTTGTTTGTTTTCATTAATTTGCTTTCTTTGTTCTAGCTCTTCTATAGGTTTTTCATAATAACTATTTTGAGAAACAAAAATTTAACTTTGTTTCAATTTCTCTTCCTCTATCTCAATAGTACATCACAGAAAATTTAAATAGTAATATCTTGTCAAGGATTACCTTTTACCTGAATCAGCAGTGGAAGTCGAATGGAGAGACTTCAATTTTAAAACAAAGGGATTTTTCACCTCGATCATTTGCTTTGAGGGAATTTCTCTTCGTGGAAGATTCAAATTAAACATGGCCTCTCTTTCCATGACGCCAAGACTAACAATAAACCGAGCTAAAAGGAGAAAGCATCCCACTATAATGAGAGCGGAGAATAAACTTAACCAGTCCGCCATTTTGATCGCCGGCGCCGAGTTCGAGTACACTATAGGAATCATATATGCAGTACCTACCAAAACAGGCGCCACGTTGTGTAATACGAAGCTACTTGAAGAGTCTCTGAACGTGACCGCTCGTCGGGAAAATGGCCGATAGTTCTAGCCCCAAAATTGCCAGAAGGTTGGGATCCGTTATAAAGTTGAAGCCAGAATTGTATGAAAAATATAAGGAGCTTCACGCCGCTGTATGGCCAGATGTAAGCTATTTGTAATTGTAAGTTCACAAAAATCTCCAGTCTTAATAATTAACAAGGTGACGATTTGTTTTTTTCAGGTGCTTAAGAGAATTTATGACAGCAATATACGAAACTATACAATTTACTACGACAAATACCATCACTTGCTGTTTTCTCATATGGAATACGTAGGTAAGTGTTTGAAATTATCAGTCAATCAATCAATCAACCAATCAATGAATAGATAATTTAAATCAGTCAATCAATCAATCAATCGATTAATTAATCAATCAATCAGTCAGCTCATGTTTCTGTCACCCAACTATTCAATCAGTACTTGTATCCACATCCTTAAACTCTGATGTTCAGACAAGGTTTAAGTCCTTAAAGTAAAGACCACATGACTTGTTGTCTGTAAGTGTGTATTTAACACTCAAGTAAGGTAATGGCTCAGTTAATTCCAAGCATGCCCATCCCCCCGGGCATTTGTCATCTTTTAGGTTGTGGTGGTGGGGATTTGTCAGAAAACCTCTACCTGGGGTGGGGTATTTGTCAATTGTTCTAGAAGTTGTTAACGTTGTTCCTTTTTCAATATTTCACTAAAAATATACCTATTTTAGATAGCTTTATAAAGAATATTTTTAATACTTATGTTTTAAAAAGGTATATGTGGTTTTTGCTCTGTTGCTTCCCTACCCAACAGTATTTTTTCCATCTGTCTAAGAAATTGCCTCTCGCCATTGTGATCAGCGCGCAAATGGAGAAAAAACAATCAATGTTTTGTTTGTTAATCATTTGAAAATAAGAAAGTTGTTATTAAAATTCCAACTTATAGTTCTGTCATTGAGGTTAATCAGTTCAATTTGGTCTTTTTTGCAATAATTATAACTAGCGGCTTGGAGTGATTTGCATAGGGTGCTTCACAATGACAAATGGGCGACAAATGCTCGTGGGGAAGGGCAGCGGGGGTGTGGATGGTCACTCTTGGAATTGACTGAGCTTTAAAAGGTAAGGTAATGGTGCACACAGGCCAAAGGCCCAAATGGCCAGTGGTTATCGTGGTTTCCTTAGCATGAAGCATGCCTAGGAGCATTGCTACTTCCCCCTGGACGGGATGCTAGTCCATTGAGGGTTACCCCTCAGTAGTTTGTCGCTAGTATCCATTTTTACACGTGGGTGTAGTGTGACAAACAATGTGACGGGCGACGCTTGAACCCCAGACCTCCAGATCCGGAGTTGGAGGTGTTAACCGCTCAACCACTCACCCCTCTACTTAAGTAAGTGAGTGTGATAGTGGAAATGTTGAAAATCTTGAAAATCTCTGCATGACAGTAAAAACATTCAATTATACTTTCATTTTATTGGTCAATCATTCAGACAATCAATCAACCAATTTTTCAATCAATCAGTCAACTATTAATCACAATACAGTCAAACCTCCTGTAAGTGACCACTCAAAATGCTGCAGCTGGTGACATATGGGAGGTGGTCACTTGCAACACTTGAAAAACAAGGGGTCTCTTAAGGCTAGTATCTCTGATGAATTACACATACAATATCACACATAAAAAACTTATTAACATAAAAACACAAACTGGTGGTAATAGTAAACATCTAATTTATGAAACTATGGGAAAAAATTAAACATCCACTAGTGGCTCTCCTAAAAGAATCAGGAAGCAAGTTCCAATATCTCGCTGCAGCATATCTAACTAAGACCATTATGTAGTTGTTTTGGGTTTTGACAAGACTAGCACATTCGTACCTCTTAAGCCATAGTCAGATGTTCTAAACTGAAACTCTTTAAGTATGATAGTTGGTAAAGTTGATGCATTTGTGATGATCCTTTATCTTAGGAGATGACCTTGACAAAGATATGGCAGCTATAGGAAATGACCCTGTGACCAGGGAGTGGTGGAAGGTTTGCGAACCTTGTCAGGAGTCGTTAGAATGGACAGGTCCCCCACCAAGTGAGGGTGGACAGGGTGGTAACTGGTGGGCACCCATCGAAGAAGTGTTCCACGATGGCCATCCTGCAACACAGTATAAAGAAAACTAGCCATAATAAGTGACACTAATCTTTAGTTATTAAATGAAATAAAAATAACAATAGTAAAAGTAGACAGTAAAAGTAGCCTTAGTCACTTATTTCACAGTAAAGCTGTCATAAGGGCTGTAACTTTTAACACCTGTTATGGCTGAGCTCACTTGATGTTGAGGGTGACAAGTGAAAAGCTAAAGGCGGCACTATAAATTTTTGTGACATGTTACGGGTTAATCTTGGGACAGCCCTGCACAGGGAAACCAGTGGTGGTACCAGCTCTGGTACCACCCCCAGGCTTTTCATGCAGAGATGTAATTTGTGACTCAAAATTCAAACATAGTTATTAAAGATGAAGTATTTTACTAAAAACTTACGGATTGGTAGATTGGCTCATCCTTCAAGGATTGGAAAATTTTTTTCCATTGTACGTACATGTAAGTGTTTCTTCATTGCTTATGAAGCCAGAACTTGTATAGTGAGATTGGGAGAAATCAGAACATGAATCAATGTAGTTCTGGTTTAGAGACAGCAGACCTATGTAAATGTTGATTAACTCTTACAAACGAACTATTTCAAATAAGGTAAACAAAATAAAGATCAAGTAGTGATCTTGTCTGCAAAGTCTTTATTAACATTATGAAGTACGTGCTATTACAAATAACTAAAGGCCAGAGAGGTAAATGTACAGAAATGAAAAAAATTAAAAAAATTAAGGAAGCATAGCAGACTTGCCAACCCCTAAAGACAAAAAATGTGATACTCTGAACCTGGAGGAGGGAAAAGTATTGAGAAATGGGTAAAAAATCGTGACATGCCCCAAATTTCCTATTGGAAGGACTCTCAGTGGCTGTTGGAAGTCACATATCACAGAGGCGGGGCAGATCCAGGATTTTTCCTAGGAGGGGGTGCACCACTTAAAGGAACTACCATTTTTATGGTGTTTAACATAAATTCTTCAACCTCATCTCTTGTTTTACTTCAACACCAATAAACCACAAAGTTGTTGTTTTTTGCTGAATACCAGTTCTATTAGAAAGCTGCAGGTCAAACTTGCACACTCCCCAGATCCTGCCTGTATCACCCTAAAGCAACATCATGATCAAAAGGTTAGGTTTTGTTTTTTCTGTGTTTTCGTTGGTTGAGAGAAACAGCTTTTGGAAGAATGCATGAATCAAATCATTTTGATATCTATTGGAAATGAACCCTGCAACTCCAAAATGTCTTGGAGGTTGACTTTTCAAGAAAGTGTGAGAAATCATTTGCCAACTCGTAAGAGCGTGAGATGGGTTGTGAAATCGTGAGACTCACGACAAAGCCATGAGACTTGACAAGTCTGGCATATTGTCGCTACTCTACTGAGCAATGAGTGGAAACTTCTGCAGGGTTAGTTGGGAGCAATTAATTTTGTGCTGCTACTCGTGAGATTTTACATAATATTGGCTTTGAGGAGGCAAAAGAAGTTATCCCAAATATCGGTAATTTTGTGTCTTTTTTACAACAACATAAAGTAAATATTGAACCCCTTTCCATTAATATGCCTTTTTTCTATTCATAAACTTATATTCTCTTATTTCTAACTTTCTTTTCCAATTCTACTCTTTCAGGACACACTTACCCTCCTCAAAACAAAACAAACAACAAACAATTTTCAGTGTGTTTTCAGCAAAGGCACAAGGATTTTTTCTTCTTTATCTTTTTGGTATTCTGGCTTAGATGTTTTATTGTTACATTAATCCTCCACCTCCCCCTTTTTTTCTTTTATCTATCGTTTATTTTATTGCTTTAGTTTGGATTGTAGTGCAAGCCAGCCCACAACCTGTAATTTATTGCTCTGTTAGTCTGATGGTAAATATTGTAATTAATTAGTAAGTAGTTTTTTTTTTTTCAAGTCTTTTTCTTTCTCTTTTTTGTTAATATAAATCATAGTTAATTGAGTGGAATGGTTATGAAACCCGTCAGGCTCCTTTGTTATATGTTTTTGTGGACCTGAAAGTGCACAACGTTCAAAAGAATTCCTATCATTTTGATTGTATTGACCAATAAAAACGTTGCATTAATTTATTCCGTAACAATTTGCCAACAGAAAACAAAGGATTGTGCACTTTCACGGTGCTTTGAACATAAACTGCAGCACTGTTGTTTTTATCATTGATGTTTGCCGTTTTTCATAACCAGTCTCCTCTAATAACTATGTATAAATGTATGTTCTGTAGGTGTATTATAATAAGTGAGAGTGTCACTACTCTACTCTGCAATGAATGGAAAATGCTGCAGGGTTAGTCAGGAGCAATACTGGGGCGTGGCATTTGGCCCCTCTTTCCTTCCCACTGCCTAGCATTAATGGAAGGCTCCTGGCACCCAGAAATTTACTATCTAAGACAATGCCTAGGGGTCTGGAAGGGGGCATGGGCGCAGCATATGCATAAAGGAAAGCTGAATAAATTAATCCCATTTGGATTGTGGTTGGTTCCCTATGCCACAATAATTTTTTTAGAGCCAACATAGATGTTCTCAGCTAGCGCAAGGTGAAAAAAAAATACATTTTTGTCGTGCATACTGGAACTCACAACAGAGCTCAATTTTAATTTGGAGGCAAGAAGGAGATCGACGAACTCCTAACCCTTCCCCGCCCCCCGACATCCCCCTCCGCCCCTCACCCCTAGAAAGAGGCTTCTTGCTGGTCAGCGGTGTCTCAGTGAGAGACAAAAAATGGCGGGTCGTGTTGTTGATGTGTTGGATGTTTGTCCTCAACTTGTGCCTCAAGACAGGACAAAACGATTCTATGACGGTTTTATCACAGTTTGTGTAAGTTACTATTGTGTCAATAAGTGAAGAAAGAATGTTTTGCGAGAAAAAGAATGCAAGGTTGTGTTGAAGTCTTTGTAAATAATCTTGTACGATCCTCGCAGAAAAAGAACTTCCGAATTTGCATCCAAATTCCGGACCACAAGTCCATGGAAAATGCCAGGTAGGATTAATGTTAAATGTTTCTAGTCTTCTCGGAAATGATGGAAACTGTAAGCGCCGTCTCAAAGTATTTTCATAGGTCCAAGTCCACTCTGATGGCTTGGACGCGACGGACGCCCCGCGTATCAGATCGTTTCGCCCCAGGGCCTGCACTCCAGATTTCAAGTGACGGGGATGATCGAATGGGAACAAAAATCAAAACCAAAATAAATCCCTGGGCCAACTTAACCCCCCCAAAATCCCTGGTCCAAATTTCCGAGCCTTAAAAACTGCAGCCGCAAACCAAGTGTGGTTTTACTTTACTCGCATAACTATGCGGCCGGGATATGGGGGCACTTCTACGAATCTTCAGATTGTTCTGAATAACCAAAATATCCCCACTTAAATCAATCCATCTCAAAAAAATACTTGCCAAATTTTCCTATCCCAAAAAATCCCAGAATCAAAAATTTCAAACGTTGAAAAAGTCCCTCGACAGGAGCCCATCCACTTGTGGAATCCAAGCTTACCTAAAATAACATGTCTGATAAGCAGTTTTACTGTGTCGTGGAGTGTTCTATGTCATCGGGCAAATTGTCTGGGGGGGGGGGACTCCCAAATGAAAGAGGCAGGAGGCCTCCTTAGTTCGGGGTGGGAGGCAATGTATATCCCTAGTCTGAATTTCAAAACCTGTCATATTGGAGAAGGAAGTAAAATCCCTAGGTATTTTATATTTTGCTTCATCGCTGTTGCAGTTTCAACTCATCTTGTGTCATTTGTGGCTATTTTAATCTGTCTTTTGTCAACATTTCAAGGCCATGTCCCTTGTTAAAAAAAATTGCCTTATAGCAGGTTAGTCCCTTGTCAGAATTGGGTCATAACAGAGCCTCAGATAGGGATGCCCGTCATCTTGCTTGGAGGAGTAAATTGCACGTTGTGGTCTTAACTAAGAGTGTTTAAGATGGAAAGAACATATTTTGGGCTGCAATTTTCTGGGTCACTACAGCTCTTTATTGGGTCCAGGAATTCATTGGTTACCTGTTTTAAGTATAGCCTGTTTTGGGGGATTTGGAACACACTTCCTTTTTAAGACAAAAGTTAAAAACTTTTCTCTTTGACAAATTTATTTAGAGCAATTTATAATTCTTTACAGGGTTTGCACACACCTTGAAAGTCCTTGAAAAGTCCTTGAATTTTAAAATAAAAATTCAAGGCCTTGGAAGTCCTTGAAAATTGCAGTAGGTGCTGGAACGTCCTTGAATTTTGGTGCTAACTTTATCTAACCCAGTAAAGACAGAAAGACCTTCAGGATAAAATTACCCATGTTGTGGAAGAACTTAAAAAGACATAGACTTAAGGCTCTTTTTTGCACTAAATGGAGTCCTTGGATAATGGGAAATGAGTCTTTGAAAAGTCCTTGAATCTTTTGTTCAAAAAAGGGTATGAACCCTGTCTTTAGTATATAAGTTTTTTTTATTTTAGACGTAATTTTTGTGAAACACCTTGAATAACTGTTACTAGTGGATGCATTGGACAGCTATGTAAAAGCATTATTATCATAAGTATCATTGTCATCATCATCATCATCATTATTATTGTTATTATTACCATTACTATTATGATTAAGTCTGATAATATGATTTTAAGTGTCATTGTACTTTTCGTTTGTTTTTTGATTGGATAGAGTGTCCCCCCAGGGATGTAACAATCTGTGACAGTAACCGTTAGTGTTTGTTTTTCCCGGGTAGTGGGACTGGGTAGAAGGGTGCTTCCCTTGGGACATGAGTCCCATCCGTGCCCATCCCAGTTGGACAGGTCTGCTGCCAGCGGGGCTGAATTGAATATTCAGTTGAAAAAATAATTAAACGAATGAAACTTTTTAATGGTTGGCATTTTTTACTGTTGTGATTAAATTTTGTTGCAAATTGTTTCTTCAGAATTGAGTGTGGATGGAAGCTGAGGCACCTGCTGAGGGGATATGAAGGGGTAATAAAACAGGTATAACTTGCTAGAACAAAATAATATTCATGACTAAAAGCTAGTAGTTCTCATGTCTGTGGTGTTGCTTATATTTTATGAAAAAGACAACGTTATTAGAGAGATTCAGAATCATAATGAGGAGAAATTGGAGAATACAACATTAGATTTGTTTTGATGAAATAATTCTGGTATAAACCGACTTTTGTCTTTCTTAGCACCTTCACATGCTACATGAGTCTAGTGTATAGTACTCTGTAAAACAACATGTGGGTTTTGCGTGACATTAATTTGACTTAAGTCACTCCAGGTGGAAATGACAAGGTTTATGAACTTTGTATGAGTTTTTCTCTTTGATCCTTTCTTTACAGAGGCTAGCACAAAGTAGGGATTTGCCATCATTTCTAGTGGAACTCAAGAGTATTCTGGTATGTGGTCCACTAATGTCATTCTCTTCCATAACAAAAGTTATGGGGAAGTCAAGTCAGCCCTTGTTTTTTAACTAGTTATCCAGAATGTTAATTTAAGTAGTATCAATGTTATTTGAAGCTTATGTGTCCCTCTGCCATTAGAGATAACTAAAAGGACAACCTTTATTACCTAAATCCTACTAAATAATGTGTTAGACATGCTAATAATATATGAAAATTAATGTTAATCTTTTCCTCCCGTTTTCTGCAGTGACAAATTTTCTAGTACCACACCACACCACTGATGGAAGCGTATTTACCAGGGTACCCTTGAGGTGGATAAACATTTCATCAAGGGTGGGGGAGGGGGTTACAGTTTTCAAACACGTCTTTGGTTTTTCTATTTTCAATCGTTAGGAGAAGCTCCTGAAATGTCAGAGGTCAGAAAAAGTTGGCTCTGGACCAAAGTTTTACACACATTTGGTGACAGAGCTAGAAGCCATTGGTTGGGACAAGTGAGTACAAATTGAAATTAGTTATGTTTTTTTGTTCAGTGTTGTTATACTGGAATTCTGTTACTTTAAGCAGAGCACCTTTGTTGTTGCTGTGGCTCTTAAAAGAAGACGTAGTGGTGTGAACATGAGCCACATGGTTACAACAGTGTATTATTGGCTCTCTTACGTGTTAACTATTCCTGACAGCATGTCAGATAATAATTATCTTGAGTTAGTCCTCAATGAAAAGCATCAAACTCAACAAACAGACACAATCTATTTTCTTTGCTTAGATTGGCTTTTGTCGATCCATCTTTTGAAGTTTTGAAATTTGCTGCCAGGTAGGTAATGTAATTTCCTCTGCAGTGGATTTTGCCATAAGTGGAATTTGTATTCCTTATGATATTGAGACTGAGTCTATTAAGATGCTGTTGGTGTTAATAAACTGAAAATTATTTTAATTATATCAGTAGAGTGGTGTGCCAATCATTGATTTGAGTAAAAGAGATGCAATGATTGATTTTGAAAAGTGTTCAATTAATTACCTTAGAGAAATTAAAAAAATTATTGTTGACAAACAAGACTCCTAAAATTTCTCTTGTCTATTTTAATAAATTATGGATTTGTATTGCAGGTGTAATCCATTGATAAGTCTATGTTTTTTTATCATGCTCTAGAACAAGGTACAATGGCCCTGTTAAACTATTTGAATTCCAATGATCAATTATGTAATGGCAGCTGATTTCCATCACTACCAGCTCTAAACAGCTTGCATTGAGAGCGGACTCAGCATTTTGGTGGTACATCTCACTAATTTATTACAGTGCTATGTGTTAGTTAATATTAGAACAGTTTAGCCCAGCAACACTTTGGAACAAACATGCTTTTATTTAGTTTGTCTTTGCTGTTGTTGTATCATAGTAACCAGCAATGTATCATTATTCTTACAGAGATAGCAGAGATAGAGAGCATTTTATCACTGTGCATCTCTCATCTCAGGTAATGCGATAATCTTTATACTCCCAGCACACTAAAAAAATAATATTTTTCACAAGACTTTATTGTGTGGACACTCAAACTGGAACACTTGGAAGAAGATTGTTGAATCACAATGTTTTCTGACAACAAAGGATTCACAAGTTTTTTTGCAAATGGACCAATAAAATTCAAGGTTTAACTAGGCAACTGTTGAAAACTTTAAGCCATTTGAACTTACCTAACCACTCAGGAAACAGTCCTCAAATTTATGAATGTTTTTGGTCTGTTTGCAAAAGCACTCGAGAATCCTTTGTTTTGACAAAAGGCTGTGATTGGCCAATCTTCTTCCATGTGTCCCAGTTTGAGTGTCTGCACTGTAACCCATAATATTGTTACCTTGAAAATAATGTTATTGTGGAATACAGAGAATCAAAGTTATGCATGTGACTAATGTAGGCTCCCATTTTTGTTTCCTCTCTTTCTACAAAGTTATGCCTGTTTGTGGTTTACAAATCTGTCCATCTCTCCAGGCTCTTTACTCATTTGGACATTAAAATAATATTTAATAATATTTTATTCTGACTTTTATCTCTTATTTCTCCAAAATGCTTTCTTCTAGTTCTACGTGAACTAAACTTCTCTATGTCTAGTAACTGTTGTGTTCGCTCTAGATTTCTATCATCATTTTTTAACAACATTAAACTTCTCAATAGCTGTAATTAATGAGAAAATAATATTAGTTTTAAACCACAGGCCATGCATCAGAATAATTATTATGCAGAAACAAAATTTTAAGTCTTGACACCAATAATATTGCTGTTGTGAATTTTTTTAGCATCCTCAAGTAGCACCAACTTGTACTACAGAACTACCAGGGCAGCACTTCAACTTTTCTTGGAATTCACAGGTAACTATCTGCAGGAGTAATTAACAGTGCTTTAATTTTACTTTACTTTAATTTTACTTTAATTTAAAGTAGGAGGGAAATGACAAGTATAATAAGAGGGTTGACGTGTGATTAGGCCCAAATTTAGCGTGTGACACATGAATATGATCATATGAACATGATCCGTGAAACCACTTATAGATATGAAGCATGATTTATCTTGTAAGATATCTGGAACTCGTGAATTATTTGTCTCATTTTGTGACAATCAACAGGATCACAGGACGATAATATTAATAGATTGAACAGTGCCGACAGTTGCATTCTTTGAGTTCCATTTTTGTTCTGGTTAATAATTACCAATAAAACTAGAACCTAAAAACCACATGCGGTCAGTGTAATCATTGACATCTTTCAATATGACAATCATCGAAGTCTGATCGATGATGACTGTGGTTTCGGTTTCTCTGTAGCCTCTTTGATTAAGGGGCTGGAGAGGTTGATGACTAAATTCGTGACTGGTGAAAACTGGTTTATAAAGAATGTGGTAAGTGAAATTTGCCAAAATTTGCACGTGACACGGGACCATGACCTCCCCGCTGCCCTCCTTGCTACCCTAAATTAAAGTAGCTGAGGTTCTTTTCCTTTTTTGGTTTAGTTCATCCATTGTTCTTTTCCTCTCCTATGAAAGTAATTAGGCCTCAGTTTCAAATATTCTATCTTATTTAATATCAGTTACTTTAACATTATAATTCTGATTCTCAGGTTCTCTTTTGGAGATAATCATCATTATTTTCTCATTTCCAGTGAACCAAAATCCTGAGAAAAAGCCAGGATTTATAATACTTTTTCTGTTTTTATTTTCCCCTGAGTACGCAACCAGTTTAAGTGAAGAAAACTTCCAATCATTTTGACAAGTAATATTAATTTGGCCTTGTGTTATTCAGTGTGTTCATTAAGCATTGGAGATTGGAGAATTCTCAGTTTACTAGGCTAAATAATCCAGCTAGCGTTTGGTAGCCTATGACTACTTTTTATAAAATACTCTCCTGTAATGTTACACCTTTCTCCTGCTACTAGAATTCTTAACAAAACCCTTGGTTATTTCCTTTTCTTTTGTTAGAGCCATCCTCTTGAACAGTTATATCAACAATTCCAACAGGTAATTTAGCCCAGGCTGATTATATTCTAATTAAATAGTTCGATGATGTTAGGCTGGAAATATTCTAATCCTCAATGATATTCTCAGATTAGATTACCAGTTATTGTACATTACAAATTTTCCATACACGAAATTATAATCTTTTTTAAATTCTCAGCATTGGGTTTATACTTAAATATAATTTATTTAAAAAAATGCAAATTTTAGCCTCAATTAAAAAAAACTTATACAAAAAGAGAGTGTATCTCAGCGATTTTATGCCACGAATTTCTTGATAGCCACAGTATCTTCAATTTTCATGTGTGCAGGCTATAATAATACATCAGTTTACTTTTTTTAAATCAAAAGGTACTTTGTCAGTTTGAGGATTTTTGGGACATGTTAGATGAAATAGACTGTAACACATGGATCCTAGAACCTGATCACCCATCACGATCCTGCACAAATAGAAGAATTGCTCTTGGTAAGTCCTAGAAAGGAACAAGTACCAATAATACAAATAATAGTATTTTTGATATGTTTGTCAACTTCTCTGTGTTGTACAATCCATGTAACTAAACCTGCTGCTCCAGGTCTGTATGGAGATACATGTGTGTTATAGACAATTTTATACCTTGGCTATTATTTTTGAAATCCTGTTATCACTTGCTTAGTTGTTGGTTGTTTCCCTTGCCCTGAGATGTTTTTCTCTGTCCCCTCTCCTCCAAAACCCACCTTTCCAAATTTCAACATGATCTGGAATGCACGGACATGTCAAAAAAAGTTCTTTAGAGCTCCTAAGTGCCTTGTTGGCGAACAAATTACATTTTGACAGGCGTTGTCTTGTTAAAATAATTTTGTTGTTTTTAACGTTGATTTTGTCTTTAACCTTTTTTAAAACGTAATAACTTGCTTATCACCTAGTATCAAGAAAACACATTATGGCCCTGACTATAGGCCTGTATAATGTTGTGGTACAGCATTGCCAGTACCCTGCGTGCAGAGGTTTCTTTCTGGCATGGCTTTCAGCATTTGAAAAGTCTTTTGCATGGGTTGTCAGTTGGTTTACCTGACTGACATCGACGTGATGGACTTTGTTAGAGTGATTCTGGTCAAAAGGCCTTGGGACTGGCTCATGTGCCACTCCACACAGTCAAGTAATCTATTAGTTTTCTTTTTCCATTTTTAGGCAACAATGCTTCCATTCAAATAGATCTGAATCCTTCAAACCCCAGACTTCTACCAGAGTGCAGATTTTTAGGAGCTGACAATGGTATGTGTATTTGAAGAATGATTCATAAATTTTTAGATTCCTTCTATAAACTCAGAGCCAGGGCTGTCACTTAGGGCTGAAGGCTGGGGATTTCTCCCGGCTTCTATGATTGAGCATTCTATGAACATGTTCATAGTAACAAAGGGAAAATAGATTGAACCAGGAGCACCCAATAACTGTTTTCGATGAAATATATGTTCAGAGAAGTGAATATTGCTTAGAATTTTCTATTACTTGAGGATGGTTATGTTCCACTCATGTGCAATTTTCAAAGCTTATCTAATAAATTCCCTACTATTTTCTGAAGTTTAATTTTCACAGTTCACTTCCCAAGTTAGGCTATTTTTCGTAGAGAAAAGGAAAGTAACGTAAAATTTTTGGACTCAAAAATGCAGTGGAGAGAGAATTCAGAAAATGTCTCGCTTTCTTGGTATGTCAAATCTCATCTAAAATTGGCCGAAAAAAAATACTGAAGCCCTTGTAACTTCGAAAAGACACAAGTTCCCTTAGGATGACCTAAGAGATACAAATTTTATAGGGCTGCTCAGATTGCATTGCTAGACATCTGAAAGTACTCTGGATAGCCTAAGTGTTATGAATGTATTTATAGGAGGAAACCGTTGTTGGGTGCCCCTGTTGAACTAAAAGAATGTCCAATCTGTTCAATTACCCATCTATATTTTATTGCATAGGTATACCCACCAACTTGAAATCTTAGTGACAACCCTGCTCAAAGCATAATCTTTTTGTCAGAGTCTCTAAGGAAATAAACTATTAGTTTTCAGTTACTTAATGATATAGCTTCTACCATTTACTATTCAGAACAAAGCTTGAGTTAAAATTGACTGTGAATTGAATTTTTTTGCAGTTATTTTACCTTTGCGAGAACATCTGAATGCAAACATTCAGTCCTGGTAAGTACTATACTGTGAAAAATACAAGTTGTAGCTATCTTTAATATCTTTTAATAATAAATTATTTTTAACATTTATGTGTTTTAAATTAGGAATCCACAGCTATCTGTTCTGGCAAACCTGGAGAGTTTACTGGGACAGAAATTTCCCTCCCCCTCAACAACAAAGAAGGAGGTAGTTGGACATGTTTTCTGATGTCACTGTTGAAAAAATGTTTAAAATAAAAATTAATGTTATTTTATAAACAATTACATAACACTTTTTTTTGAAGGATTTCAGCATGGAGTGTGGTATATGTTATGCATATCGCCTTAATGATCTGATACCAGACAAAGCCTGCGACGATTCACGGTGTGGACAGCCCTTCCACAGTTTGTGTCTGTATGAGGTGAGAAGATGGTTTTTCATGCAATTAACCAGAGCATGCCAGCTGCATGAAAACTAATGTCAGATGTAACTTCACATGTGAAAAAAAACATGTTAACAAACAATTATCACTGTTGCAGTGAGAGTTGTGTTAAATCATACCTTTTGCAGAAAAAGAATGTTAAAGGGAAATGGTTTGGTATTTCATTAGTGTTTTATAATAAAGAGAGCATAACATGGGTGCTAGGAGCTGTATGTAAAAGATTTCTCTTAGAGTGCTGAAAAATGTTAATTTCATGAGTGAGTGCAGCAAACAAGTGAAATAATTACGTAAAATCCTCTGTTTCTTGTGTGTAATGAAGAATGTGTGTATTATTGATGCAAACCATTTGTTAATCAAATCGTTTATGTATTTCATGAAATGTAAGTTGTGCACTGTTGTTCATTGTTTTTTCTTGCAGTGGCTGAGAGCTTTGCCTTCTAGCCGGCAGAGTTTCAACATGGTGTTTGGAGAGTGTCCATACTGCAGCAAAGTGAGACATATTGATTCTCTTAAATACTATTTGTATGAAATGTTCAGTGCTCAGTGTTGCTCAAGGCAAGCAAGACATACGTAATCTGCAGGTTAAGAAATTAATTGGTAGGTCAATGGTATTGCATGGCCAACTGTTGGTCAGAATAAAGTTTGTTGTGTTTAACCTGAGTTTATAGGGTTTTCACAGTCTTGAAAAGTCCTTGAATTCTAGGGAGTCCTTGAAAAGTCCTTGGATTTTCCTAAACTTTAAAGAGTGAGCACGGAAAGTGTTTTTCAATGCTTTTTGTTGTCCAAGACAGAAGTTATAAATCATAGCTCAGAGAAGTTCAAGGTGATTTACATATAGCGTTTTTTGTTTTATGCAAGAATTAACTACGGTATTAATTTAAGACAAGTGAAATGAAAAAGTGTAGAGAAGTTGGTGGAGCAAACAGTTCAAGCCTTTAAAGTCCTATTAGAATGGACTGGGAATATGCATATTTGTGCAATCTGTATGTGACGTTACATTCCTGGTAGGTTGTCCTTGAAAATCAAATGTGGTCCTTGAAAAGTCTTTGAAAAGTCCTTAAAAAATGGTTGCAATTTTTTTTGTGGACCCTGGTTTACTATTCTTGTTTGGGCTTTACCAATATATCAACAAGTCATATGCATTTGCATAAGTTAAAACCCATCAATGGCTTTTATGAATTTAAAGTTGCATTTGCAAATTCACTATATATTACTTGTCATTTTTAAGTCATTCTTTTAATTTTAATGTTTCTTGTATTTCAGCCCATTACAGTCAAAATGGTGACAGGAAAATGAGAAGATGACATACTGGAAAAATTATCTCAAAATACTATTTTTTTTAAATTTCACATTATTAAAAAAATATAAATTAATGTTGTATTACAATAAACATTTCAGTGTACTTATTTAAGAGAAAGAGTGTTTGAATTGACTAAATGTAGAATTGCTCTATGGAATATAATTATTGCCCAAGAGGTGAAGGGAATTTCACCATGTGCACTGTAAACTAAAAAAACCCATTAGAGGTATAGAGAAAGTACAAAGCACACTGTATTGAATAAAACTGTATTCAGAGTGGTTTAGTATTCTCACACTTGCATACAATTTAACATTTTTCATCAAACTAATGTACACTTGACAGTGTTTATGTACTGGAAATTACACATAATAGTGTTTGAAGTCAATTAATGTTATGTCACAAATCTACTTTCTGAGAGAAACCAAAAATAAATATTAACATTTTTTTAACATCTGGTAAATTAAAAGCAAGAAAACGAGACTTGAAGCAGAAATCAAAGATTGGCGAGTATAGTGAGAATGAATATTGACTGAATATATTAACCGACCCTTTTATCTCGTTAAAATATTTGAACTGTATTAAAATGTATAAATAAAAATATTAATTTTGATAAAAAATATTGATGTGGTCAGTCTGCTTATTAGCAAGCAAGTTAGGGAACTGGTGGTCAATGTATAAATGTAATATTGTGGACATTATGATATTCTCAATGACTCAGTTACAACTATATGTCAATTACTACCAGTTAATACCTTGTCCAGTGGTTTGCTAAATTAATCATTCAAAAAAGCAGACTTTCCACATCTTAGATTGCAGTAAGATTGATAGTTCAATTACTATCAATCAATTAACGCTACTAATTTTAATTTTTACACATTTTATTTACTGTCATGAATCAAAGAAGTCATGCACGTCATTAAGGTTCTGGTCTTGGTTGTCCGCTCTCTGCCCACTCTTCTTTATCTGAGGCTCAGCAAATTCTGTGTCATTAAGTGTTTGATTATTGTTATGATCATCCAGCTCACCGCTTCTACTTTCATGGCTCAGTGGTATGGAGATATCCCATGATTCATCTGTGAAGAATAAGTCACTTATGGGTTTAATAAACTTATAGTCAAGTCAGGACAAGCATCACTCCATAGATCCCATGTAAGACTTTATTATTGAAGAGTTGACTCCATTAGTAGTTGTAAATTTCAGATTCATCTCTGCATTCCTGCTTGTGTAATGAGCAATGAGTTCACACAAAATTTCTGCCAACTCAAGTTACTTAAATTTGATGTAAATGTCTTCAAAGCAATTTTATCCATTCAAAGAATTTTCAATCTGACCAAATACTGAGAAGTTGTAGCCAAAATTCACTACCTATGCAGGAGTGCAGATTTGAATTTGATACTAGTTGCAGCCATGACTAATAGATTCATTTTTTAAATAATCAATTGATCAATGAAATATATGGGGGTACTCTTGACCTGGTGTGGCTGTAAATTGTGATTGGTGATATTTATTTTTCTGTTAGCCATGATTGAGGCTTTTACATATTCAAATATTTATGTCATTCTTTTTGAGTGGATGACAGGAAAGAACATTTACTGTGCTTTTCAATAATGTCTGAAGTCAGATGCCTTTTTTACTTCTGTCAATCATTATTACCACCATTACTACTGTACTGAACCTTGAAATACAAAACAAACATAACATAATGGGTCTGTGAGTTTATAAGGGTTATATCTACCAGACATGCTCTTCCCCACTGTGTGCAATGGCTCACTCTTTCATGTTAGTATACTCCCACTCCTTTCCGCCTCTGGGCTCGCATCTTCCCAGAACTTATCTCAACCTGGGGCATTTAAGAGTGGGGGCTCCCGGTGAGAATTCTTAACCATCATAAATGCTTCTAATTCATAATACCTTCCTCATCAGCATTATATGTCTCATCAGGATCCACATCCAAGCCAACAACATCGTCACCATCCTTCATTTGTTTGGCTCTTAAGCGCACTTTCATGGCTTTCTCTTCCCTTTTCTTTTGTTTTGCTATTATTTCAGCCTGGGTTTTTTCTCTCTTTTTATCAGATGCAGCAAGCTTTTCCTCCAGCTATGTATTGATTAGAGATAAACAAAAAATTAGTCACAATCATAAATTTTGAAGGGTTTTTAATGTACTGTAACCAACAACAATAATGATTTAATGTATTGAAAAATTGTTAAGAAAAAATCAAAAACACCTTACCTCTGCTTTTTGTCTTTGGGCTTTGTCCATTTCCCTTGCTAGGAGAAGTTCTGATCGTCTTTTAGACATCAGTTTAACTTTCTTCTCAAGTTCCTAGAATCAAATAAAATGAAATTATCCTTTAGGAGAAACATGTCACAGTGACTCTTCATTTCTATTGCCATGGTAACTGATTGCTGTGGTTACTAATTATGGCATCAAAAGGTCAGTAATAGCATCACTGTCCCAGGGGTACTCTGTATTTCAAGTGATGGGGATGATCATATGGGGGCAAAAATCAAGACTAAAAAAATCCCAGGGGCTTCCAATAGAACTAAAAAAAAACCCCGGACCAAAAATTGACTCCCAAAAAAATCCCATGCTGAATTTCCAAGCCTTAAAATTTCCACAAAGCATTAAATGCAAATAAATTGAAGTGCTGCTTACACCCTGGGACACTTTGCAGACTATTGTTTGATAATAGTATATTAACCGGCTTTATGAAACAGACACAATGTAATGCATTACATAGAGGATATTACACAGTGGCGCGATATGCATTTTACAAACCATTAAATATTAAAACAGTTCTTGCAAAACAAGTTCGATAAACTCGTCATGGAAAATAAACCACTCGGTCCCAGATATCACAGAACCAGTAAAAGCACTCATGTCTATATAATAAAGACCATTAAATATTAAAACAGCTGCAAAACAAGTTTACGTTGTACTTTATTCACAGAACCACACAGCCGAGATACATGGGCACTTACCTTACCTCACACCAGCAGACCACTCTGACTAGTCTGGACTCAGGTCAGAGTGCAATAAACAAAGGGCAGTGAATAATTAAACAATCTTACCTTTTGTCTGTTTTGTTCAGCTGCAGCTTGTTTCTGTTGCAGAGCTTCTCTTGTCAATACTGGTGCGCTCTCAATTTTCTATAAAATTAATATAGCCAAAAGTAATTGAATAATAATTATTATACCTGAGAGAATATGTAAGTTTATACTTGGTGTAAATAATTTGTCACAAAAAAGAGAATTTACATTCTCACAGTGAGGCATGTAAAAATAAGTAACTTATATATATACAATAATATCATAAAACTGATAATATTAATTTTATTATTTTTGTTTCCTCTGATTTTTAACAGAGCTCACCTATATTAATTTCATAAATTACAAAAAACATCTGCCCACTTTATATGTGGGCCATCTTTGGGATATCAAAAACTTCCTGGCCATGGGCTTCAAGGGATTTTCTTTAGACCTGTCTAGATCTCCCTTTAGATCCAAGTGAGTCTCCTATGCAGACATAAGGAAGGACTGCAAGAGGAGCCAAAAGAACCTTGGGAGCCTAGACTAATAATTGTGAAATGACAGTTTGAGATTTTTAGGTGTAACTGTAACACATGGTACATAGGTATTTACCTGTAGTCTGCGGGGTGGTCTGTTAGTCAGTGGCACCAGCTTATTATCTGAGTCACTTCTTCCTAGTACAATATCAAATGCTACAGGTTTGGATATTGGCGGCAGTGGGGAAACATGGCTTACACATCCTGTAAAAGAAAATATTACAATCCCTTATGGAGAACATCTAGTGAATTGTTGGAATCTAAAATATAACGGGAACAGGATTCTTTGTTTGGGAATGCCCATTCCATTTAATGGAGATGCTTAATTCTCCCCCCACCTCTACACAAATATTGTATCCACTCCCATCCCACCCCCCCTCCCCGCCCTTACCTGCCCCGCCTACCACAAAAAATTTCAATTTTGCATTACACCATAGCATTGTGGATGTGAGGCAAAATTCAAAAAGAAAAGGAACATCCACAAAGTAATTAAGAAAAACCGACTTGTAGATTTTGTTCTAATTATTATTTCCACTGCATATGCTTAGGTATAGCAGTGTGGGGGATGGGGGAGGGGGGAGAGTTCTAGGCCAGGTATGTGCCACCTCGGTATCCAAATTAGGACCCCATTATCTGAGAAAGAGCCCATTTGAAGGTTTCCTAGAAAATGGACTCTTGTGAATGTTTACTAGGGACTGTAAAAATATGGCTCTAAAGGGGGGTCATAAGAAAAAATATTAGGTTCAAAGGTAGCCTGAGTATCAGACCTTCCTAAGGGATTACGCCTGATACTCAGGCTAGTTTAAAGGGAGGTCACTAAAACATTCCTTCAAATTTTGCAGTGATGGTATCTGTTATAATGCAAATAGCCTAGGAGAATGCCAAAAACCAGCATTCCTGACATTCAGAAAGATCAGATTTTCCTGAGGAAGTACTTAGAAGCAACTCTACCCCACTAAAATGCAAAAAGGCATAAAAGCATACAAAATTGAACGGTTCATTAGAAAAAAGCAACAAATTCAGTCAGTTTTTTTCCATCTTGTTCTTTTTCCTCTTTCTCTCTCTCTCTCTTTTTTTTTTTTTTAGGGGGGGATCATCTCAATTAATTTGGGACTCAAGGGGGAGCCCCCAAAAAAAAAATTCCTGTGAAGAGGAGGGTCATCATATACTACAGGAGCTACCTGTCAAATCCCACCAGCCCCCCTTCCCCATTAAAAATGAATGGTTCCCAGTCCCTAGGTCCTTACAAGTGCCCCTTTTTAAGGAAACCCTTCCTTTTTTAGTACCCTTAAATAATATTTTATTTCATTGCTGATCAACTATGATAAGGATTGGCCCCATTCCAGAAAACATCTCAAAATGCAGATGGCACAGACTCATAGTTATTTTGGGAGATATCCCCCTGTCCCCACCCATTACCCCTTCCTTGCAACTTTAGAACCATCTTACAGCTAGAATAGGTCTAGTCTCCCACTACTATACAGTCAACGCTTGCCTTGCAGGCACCCCGCTATAACAGACACCCCAATAATATGGGCAGCAGCTAAATCCCAGGCAAATTAAATTACAGATGTTTGATTGAGATAAACTCCTGCTATAGAGAGGAGAAGTGTGACATCATGTTACCATGGTAGCACTATTTCTGGATGATAACAAAATCAATGATGACGGTGATGGCAAGGAGAAAGGCGAAAAATACAATATTTATATCAACAAAAAACAACTTTGCACGTGCATCATTCAATTTTGTACATTTCTTTGCCGCCATTGCACCACTATGACATGAAACTTCCTAATTTCACAAGCCCGCTTTATAGAGAAGGTGAACACAACACAAAAATTATCGCTTTCTTTTTCTAAAACTTAGATAACAATAGATAAGGTCCCAAAGAAACTTTCGCCAAGATTTGTCACATTAAATGAAATTGAATAAGATCAGTAGAGTTTGAAATAGTGCGAATAGACTTTTAAGTGATTGTCATCCAAAAATTTTGCTACCATAGCAACGTGACGTAACGACTTCTCCTCTCTATTACAGACTCTTACTAATGAGGACACTAACTCAAGGCCCTTACGGTGTCTGCTATAAAGGGAGTTGCCTGTACAGGAGAAATAAATATCTATACAAAACTTTTGAAGAAAGAAATGTCTTATTCAATAACTAAATTTTGAGGTGATAAATAATTATATTAATTTTTGTCACGGCCAAGTTCTGCATAAACTCTTTTTTAAACACTCAATTGGGCATAAATTTGTATTTGTCCAAGCTGCCAAGATTAGAGGACTTTTGGAGATTTTTAGAATGCAAATGAAGCACATCTAAGTCCCGCATCAACATAACAATTAGTTGCTATTCAAATAATGTATTCATTTCTAAGCAAATAACCATATCGTGAGGAATGTGTTCAAAATAAACACATAAAAATGTTTGCACTAAGCTGTAAAATCAACCCAGTCTAATGAAAAAAGCGTAAACGTTGATTTAGACAAATCTCCATGTAAACAAAGTTTAAAATGTAATATGATCAAAATTGCTTGGAGAAAATGTACTGAGAGACATCATTTAAAGCAACGAAGATATTATTACACGCCAGGGGTCGAGTGAAATATATCGATTATTTGAACACTTACTTATTAAAGTTATAAGGAAAGCGTGGTAATCAAACCGATGCAAAAGTGGCAATAATTTTATTACAAAGGAGTGCATTTTATAAATAGGTTCCAAGTTTTTGAACTTTAATCCAGTTAAATATGACTCACCATTTTCAGCAGTAACTGTATTATCTGCTTGTTTGTCAAAAGATTGTTTATTGAAAACATCTTTGTTTTCCGGCGAATTCAGGTGAATTCCTCCGTTATGTACAGGTTTACTTTCTTCCACTGTTTTTGAAACTTTTACCTCTTTGTCGTTGCTCGATTTCGGACGGTGGTGTATGTTGCCATTTGCATGACCATTTGGTCTAACGTCGTGGTCGATCGTTTTCGCGCTCGTGTTCAGAGGCTTGGTATCTTCATCGCTTTGTGGTGTAACTTTTGAAGCACCACAGCCCATGACAAAAAGCTGCTCCTAGCAGCCTTTTATGTTTCTCGTTTGTAGTCCATTGCTGTTACATAAACGTGTTATCAACGTAACGTTACTTGGAGTACAAGGTTGTGCACGCGGTCAAATACTTCCAATTTAATTTCCCTTCCGGCGTAATACCCAATTTTAGAACGGTGTAAATTCCTCTCGTGCCTATGTTTCCAGTTTATAATCTCAAATTCTCATGGTTTATCTTGGCTTTCAAACTGTTTGCTGAAATGAGCCTGACAAGAGATTATATAAAATGCCCTTGTGTTTTATGAACCTCTACCCGGGAAGCCCACAGGTAAAAAGACCGATGTCTCGTTGCTATGCAACGATTGTAAACGTTCATTGTTCGCGCGCTCGTCGCCCGAAAAGTGCGTCAAAATCAAAACAACACGTGCCGATCGAATGAATTAAGACACTTTACCGGTTCTGTCTGCGTGAAAGATATATGACACAGACTGCTAAAAGGTCATGAAAATATGAAAGCTTTCTCACTATCAATTTTCAATAAAAATTTCTGCTTGTGTCATGGATTAAAAAAAATGTATTTGCGGGTTCTTTGATCGCACGTGGCCATACCCATTAAAAAGCACGTAAATGTACTCTCTAGAAAAATGTCTAGTGACAACGAGATAAATGATCAGTCTGTGTTCCGCTGGATCTAGAAAAGAACAAACAAACAGTATCCGAAGTGTAAACGGTTTAGCCTTATTGGTGCGCCAAAAAACTAACAAGTCAGCTTTCTAAGCTCCAGGCTATAACCTTTTTCCAGACAAAGCTAGACAAGTCTGAAACTTCAATTTGGAAACACAACGACTTGATCAAAGATATGTGCAAATTTAGGGAAAAAGAACATGTGCCCGGATTTCGACTTTTTATCTATCAGAAACTCTTTTCTCTATCAGAAACTCGAGCACGTAAACTATATAGACTTTCCAACCAGAAGATACAGTGCTGTAAAACCTGAAGCGTATAACCCTGAATGAGTTAGTTGTATGCTTTCGTGTATTGAAAACCCACAAACTAATTAACGTCCATGACAGTTCGGATAGAAACGAACCGTCCACCTGAAAGTTGTGAGAAGGAGGCTGTATGGCCTGCGTAGCAGGCGTTCGAAAGGGAAGGGGAAAGGAATTAGGGCGCGACGCCACGCGCGAAGGAGGAGGGAGGAGGGAAGGGTTAGGGTTTGGGGTTCCTTTCCTTTCTCCCTCGCGCGCCCAAATTCCCCCTTCCCCTCCCCCTTTTAACGCCTGCCACGCAGGCTAGGGACTGTATTAAGCCCTGTTCTTGTTCTTGTTGTTGTTGTTGTTTTTCAACCATTCACAAAGCGCCCACGAGACGAAGGAAGAAAGACTATTGTCTCTGTGCCCCGTCTCGGTGTCGCCCTTAAGTAATACAAAGGAATCACTTGACGACACTCCCCAAACGGTAGAATTCGGAAAATAACGGCTCCCTAAAGTGACGTTAAATTTGTACCTTCCAATTGACCCTCCAAAGTAACAGCCATCATGGCCAAAAAGACCACACAATATAAACAGTAAAACACCGTATTACATTCGATGAAACGTTTCAAGTGGTTCTTTCCCCCCCCTCCCCCCGGGGGGAGGGAATGGACGGACTTGGTGGTGTATACTGCATAGTTTGGTCTCACTTAGAATGTTCAGGAGGGACAGGTAATATTTTTTACCCAAACAGGTATGATTGCCAAAAGAAATGCCTGACCGTCATACTGTGTTGAAGATTGAACGTACAGGAAAGTTAAAATAGCGCCCATGAGCGACGCCCAAATTGGTCTCCTTTTGGAGTTAAATTTTAATTTTACGACGAACATTCTAATCTAGGCATGTCCCGTTTGGGCCATTTTACACTTCCAGCACTTTTGAGCACTTTCTTGACTTTTGAGCAGAATTTGAGCATTTTTCGCCTTTGGGCAACATTTAAGCACTTTTTTTTTTACAATTTTTCAGTGAACCGAGCAATTCTATTATGATGAGTTTGAATAATTCCACATTGTCGCCTGACTGTTGTCATGAACATGCACAATTATCCTTCTAACTGTGGGAACAGTCGTTTTTGACTTGTAGTTTCACTTCTACAGTCGACTCCCGATAACTCGAACCCTCGCTAACTCGAACCTCGTGCTAACTCGAACCAAAATCGATTTCCCCTGGATTTCCGTCATACATTCACTGTAATTTTACCCTCGGTAACTCGAACTCCCGCTAACTCGAACCAATTTTCGTTTCCCCTCAGGTCATTTTCTGTATAATTTTACCCTCGATAACTCGAACCATGTTTTGAGCTCTTAAAAAGTCGGGGAAACGTCGTCTACGGGCGTCCGAGACATTGAATTTTGGATTTCCTATTGACGTGTTGTAGGAGTATAGTTTACTAGTCAAGTGGAGGCTGATGTTGATTGTCACAGGCTAACGTGAAGCAGCTTTTCTTCTCAAAACAGTTAAACGCATGCTCTATTTAGGCTGTGTTTTGTTACGTTACGTTCTGATCTATAATCTAGAAGTATCATTTAATTCTACAATTAAATGTGATTAAAATGTTCACTGTGCAGTAAAAACTGTTTTTTTACCTTACTCTCGGCTATTTCTTTCGAACTCCCGATAACTCGAACCTTTTTTCGGTTTCCCTTGAAGGTTCGAGTTATCGTGAGTCGACTGTAGTTTGGTCACTTGTTAGAAAATAGAGGGTTACAGCTCTGATAAAACTAAGAAAATTGATGAACATCTGCTAGGAAGTAATTAAACGTTCTTTTACTTTCTTTGAAATATTTTTATTCAACGTTACCCTATGCAGTCGCTTAGAACCTTCATCTAATATTATAATAAAAACATAAAGTTTCAAGCGCTGGAATAAGTCAGTGTCAGTGAATGGGTTATGCCGCATTTTCAATAGTCCGTATACCTACATATCAATGCTTTTATATCTCCACTTTGTTCTTTCTCCATGTTACCGCCAAAGCCGGATGCGTGTCGGTTCTCTAATTGTTGAAGTTTAAATTATTATTTCGTAGAATCCTTGTATGCGGCGGTTTGTTGACCACGAATCTTGAACAACTACAGCGCATTTCGGAAATCTTTTTAGTTGTCGTCGCCGTTTTTTCTCGTTGTTCTTACAAGCACCGTAACATGACGAGGGTCAATCATTTTTGTCTTTCTCAGAACCTTCTTGGCTCAACGTGCTTGAAAAACGCTCAAGGCGTCTTCGCCTTATTTCAGAGTTCTCGTCATTCAACTCGGCGGAGTTGGTTTGTGAATTGTCTCTAGCTTCAGAAACCGAGGATTTTGATCCTGCAGGCCCAGCAACAGTCGAGGAGCCAGGTGAAACCTCTGCTCCCACACTAGACTCCAGTCCCGAGGGACCTGCCTCTGAAGATCCTGATCCCGAGGGTCCGGGGGTTTTAAGTCCAGAGGGCCCTCCTCCTGTCGCCCCTGAGAGTCCTGTTCCTGTGGTCTCTCCAGAGGGTCCTGCTGCTGTTGAGGGATTAGATACAGTGACAGGTGGCTGCCTGAAAGAGTGTGAATTGCAAATTATTAACTTCAGTTGTGAACATCTCTAATATGGTCAGTTTATTCATTCATATTTATTCGCCATAACGCCACATCATTACAATAAAGTTAAGGAATTTAACGAAGTAGATGGCGAGGAAACCTAAAAGAAACCACGGGGCTTATAAAGAATCAGGTTTCCTCAGAACTAAAAAAAAGCGAGTCTAATATGACAATATGGACCAGCAAAAGCAGTACAAGCTTTTACAAAAAAAGAAGTAACTTAAGCAGAAGGCAATATTAAGTCAATCCACACTGAGAGGAAATTCTTTAAGCTTTTTTTTAAAGTTGCATAGGAGAAAGATTTAGTTATACTTAGCATTCAGAGAGTTGTAAAGCTCTGGACCTTGAAAGTAAACAGAATACCGCATGGTACTGGTCCTGCATAGCGGTAAACGAAAAGATTGAGCTCTCCTTGTATGACCTTGTATTATAATTGCGTATTTGGTTGTTCGTTGAAAAAAAGTTATTGAATTTTGAAGGGAGTGTAGAATTCTTAAATGAAAACATAAAAACACCTAATATAAACATGTGGATATCTTGACATTTGATTTCAAGAGCTTTTGCTCCTTGAAGATCGGGTCAGTATGGGCATGCCATCGTACCTAGACTTGCTTACTATTCTTAGTGCGCGCTTCTGTAAAATAACTATCCTTTTAAGATTAGATTTGTAGGAACATCCCCAAGCTAGGTTGCAATAATACATATGTGGAAGGATCATTGAATTATACAAGGTTCGAAGAGAGTGAGGAGAGAGCAAAAACCTAGATTTATGAATAATGCCTATAGATTTAGACATTTTAGTGGCTATTAAGCTAGAAGAACACCCAGAAACATAGTTTCCGAGACATGAAGGATAGGCCGCTCGTTCATAACAACTTGAAATTCAAAGGACTGTTTTTTTTCCCCAAGGCTTAAAAACCATGAAATTGGTCTCAGTTCCCCACATACATGTATAGTGCCATTTAAGGATGGGTACTTCTTTAATTAGCTGCCTTCACTATAAGGTAGACCCTTTTCTAAATGGACACCGTTCAACGGTTGACACTTGTCCAAGATGGGCAATTCTTTAAAGCGAACTCATAAAAACTCTTAAAACTGGAGCACGTGTCTCTGAGACCACCCCAGCAGAAAGAAATTATGAAGAAAATAAAAAAAGGGAAAAGACTTAACCCAGACTTGAATCCAGGAGCAAAGGATGAGGGGCAACGGCTTTTACAAACTGATTTCAACTCGACTGACCATTTAAAAAAGAAACATTTCTTAAATGCTTTGAAATTCAACATGTGGTCAAACGAACCTATTAAATGGCCCTTGGAACGCATTTAACCGTGCCAGACTTACTGTAGGGAAAGCACCAACTGTAACTTCACTGTTATGTTTTGCACGGCTCTCTGGAAGAGCATTTTTATGAATGAGATTCCGTGTTTAAATAAAGATGATCGTGCTGTTATTGCAAAGCGCAGCAATAGCGGCAAAGATGCTGGTAGATGACAAAATAACAGCTTGGGTCCTGGGTGTTACATGTAAAATTTTGAAGAGAAAAACATAGTCTGTGAAACATTTGCTTCCTTGAAAAACGTTTGTTATCAATATTAAAATTTTGTGCTTGTTGTGACTTATTGTTTTTTTGCGAGCTGGTGATTGGTCCACAACCAACTTTCTCGGAGTGTATTGATATTTTCCTATAATCTGATTGGTCAGTTTTCTCTAAGTGGCCCTAGTCGCACTGTAAACACCGCTCAACATATAACTGGAGATTCCCCCGCCCTAAGCAATCCACATGTGATGTGAATTCCAACAAATTTATAACCTTCGTTTTATGAGGAAAAAATCTGGCATGATGTTGTTGATACTTAACACAAATGGGCATCCTGTGAGATCCCCTCTATTCATCATGTAGGTTTTTAAAATATTTCTAGAAAAGGGATGAGAGATTTTGCCAGGTCGTCCTGTATTGATTTACCTCTGTTCATTAATCATCTGTGTATATTGATTTAGCTGAACAATAGCTGCATCCAAGAGAGCATGAATTGTACGTAACATGTTAATCCTCGCCTCCACATTCTGCCTTTCCTGACCTTCAACAGCTACAAGTTGCTCTATATTCAGTGATGAGAAATCCATATTGACAGGAGAACTCAGACCACCTGAACGGAACAATAATAAAATACTTTAGCAGTTACAATTTGTGTAAAATTCTTTAAATACTACTTGGTCAAGCTATGATCAATAAAGAGTTAGTACTTGAATCTTGTGTACACCTCTGTTAACCCTAATACAAATACAGTCAACTCTCTCTTAACGGACACCTCTATAAGACGGACACCTCTGTAAAACGGACACCTAGAGTTGGTCCCTGCCTTTCTTTACTCCCCTTATTTGACTCTCTATAAGACGGACTTCTCTCTAAGACGGACACATAGTACTGGTCCCAAAGGTGTCCATCTTAGGGAGAGTTGACTGTAGACTGGGTTGATGAATCATTTGCCATGAATGATCTAATAGACACCTGGGGTGTTTATTCAATTTAAGTGGTCCAAGAAGGGGTGTTTATAACAGATAAGAGGCATTTAAAAGAGAAAGACAATTATTTTCATTTTGTAACAATCTGTACAAAACTAATGTACTTTCAGGGAAAACATCAATTGAATTTATAAATAGAAGAACACGCTGTCTTGAGATATAGATACCGGTATATTGTCTCTAATGTAGAATTAACTTTAAAGACAAACTCCTCAGCTAAATTAGTACTCATTATGATTTAAACCTCTACTGACTGTTTTATTTCGCACACATGATAAAATATTTGTGTCTGGTCTGTGCAGATTTTGCAATGGCTCAACTTCAGCTTGTCATTGTAACTGCCCATACAGATTTCCTACTCAAATTTTATCTAGTATGATAAGATTCTCGATGACTGTCAATCTATAACTATACTTTCAGTTAGTATGGATTATTGATTCGAGCTCAGATTTAAAGTTATCCCAACACACCTTTGCCACATGACAATAGTGTGGCATGATAACCCTGTAACATCCACATAGAGACTGTGATACATAAAGGTGTGCACAGTGGCACATGACTGAAAAAAATTCTTGTTTATGATAGTACTCACCTAACATGAAAGGTGGCATCATAAAGGGAGGAGGGAACATAAATGGAGGAGGGAAACCAAAGCCTGGCATCTGAAAAAGAAAAAAAAAAAACCATTAGGAAAACAGGAAAAGGGAGAAAAGAAAGCAAAAGACAAAGATCAAGCTTTCTTTCTTGAAATTTTGCATTATAAGCACTCCCAAACCAACGAAGCTGTATTTTTCCATCAGGAATAGTTTAACCCTTGTAGATCAGATCTACAGAAGTAGTGGGGAGATGTTGATAAAATATCCAGCAAATTCATTGTGTGTGATCACGTCCGTAATTCTCATGACCTCTCTGTTTTACAAAGCATTGATATTTCAAGGAGAAATTTGATGCTGATCACTCTTAGGGCTTAAAGGGTTAAGCAAGCAAAGTTCCTGAACTTTTTAAAATATTTGTAGTTGTGATTGTTTTTTGCCAAATGGGGATCAGAAAAATGGATTAAGTAGTCTCATATTGCACTTTTTCAGAAAAAAATTCCTGGGACCAAAGGGTGACTTACTAGGGAATAATATAGAATAAACATACATGTATTTGTATTCTGGAGTACCTGAGGTTGTGTAGTGCCATCTTGTGGTATGTCACTAGTGCTGGGTGTGGTTGCAGGTGTAGGGGGTGTACCTGGAGTGGGTGTTGGCACCGCTGTAGCAGCTGCCGTAGGTGGTTGTCCAGGTGGCACAGGGGGTCCGGCCATTGGTGGCCAACCAGGGAACATAACGGGAGCAGCTAGAGTTGTCATTACATACATGATTAATAATAATTTTGAAAATAAAAAAACCAACAAAAGAAGGGCATTATGGTAAACAGATCAACACTTCTTAAGAAAAACAACCTATGCAAGCCTCTTAGATGGACTTTTCTACACTCTACTTAAGGTGAACACAAGTCAGCATGACAGACAATATCAACGTAGATGGACACCCAAGGATATCTATCATAAGTTTTTCCAGTGGGTACCAAGAAATCATCTGGGTCAAGGTGACAAATTCTCGAGGATAACCTTTGGAACATTAAAGGGGCTGTGTCACGGTAGTCCAGTTCATTTTGCCCAATTTTGCCAATCACTCGCCCTCAATCGCTATGAAACTTAAAGTAAGCAAAGAAATTACAGGTAAATGACAAAATCAGAGGTCCAGACAAACAAATATGTCTCCTGAGCAATATTTTTGAAAAACTGTTGGGCTGAACAGTTTTCAAAACCCTAATTTCAATCTGTTTCAATCTTCTTCAGTTTTGCCCATCCGTGGCATCTGTTGTTTCTGTTATGTTATTGTAACCCTCCTTTAGAGTTTTAAGTGGTTATTTTTATGTTTCTCTTAACTAAAAGGGCATTTTGTAATTTCCTAATTTGGCTGAACTTCGTGACACAGCTCCTTTAGTGAAGAGCAGATCTTTGTGGCAGTAGTGGGAGAGAGAGAAGACAAGGTCGGCAAACAAGCAACACTCTAGAAAACCTATAATATTACAGAAATGGATGTGCAATGCTGAATTCATAGTCCACCGGGAATGATAGAATGTCAACCACTACATTAACAACATATTCCTTACCATTTGGGGGAACTTGGGGTAGTGTCCCTGGGATAGGTTGATGCCCCATAGCAGGAGGAACTCCCATGGGAGGGAATCCAAATGGGGGCTGTGGACCTGGCTGAGGAGGCTGTGCTGGAGTGGGTGCAGGCTGAGGTCGGAGAACATCCATTCGGCAGGTTGGACATGTCTGTTGCCGTTGAAACCAAGATCTTAAACAGCTGGTGTGGAATATATGATTACAAGGCAGTTTTTTGCAGCCTGTTGTCATTTCTTCCCGACAGATAATACAAACATTATCACCTTGCTGGAGTTCTTCAGCTGTGGCATCTGGATAACTATTAATAACAAAAGGAAAACATAAGGAAAAACTAAAATGATGATGATGGCATTTAATGTTCATTTGAAAACTGGGTAGTAAAAATCCAGCAAAGTATAGAATTCTTCTGTCTAAGTAGGTATTTAAGGTTTTCTTAACCGATTACTACGAAGATTTCAATCATACTATGTAAAATAACTCCACTCTTTGAGTCCATCACTTCATTAACTTCAAAGATTGTTTGTAACAACAAGTCATTAGAGTAACAACACTCATTGAATAGTGGAACATTACTACAAACTTACAGAGTATTCATGTTCCTAATAGCTCGCCGAGACATTATGACATCACTTATGCATTTTTTAAATCCTCTGTAGAAAAATAAAATGTAAAACAAATAAGTAAATAAATACCCTGCTGCCTGTGAAAAATGCAAAGGAGTCCAAGAGTACACAAACAATGAAAGAATCAGTGTTAGTGCCTCACCTTAGTGTCAGGTACATTGGTCTAATGGCAAAGAGTGGGAATGTATGCACTTTAATCATGATCACCATAAAACAAATATATAAAACAGTCTTGATAAAACCTGAAAGAGACAAAGGAAGTCTCAATTCACTCAACAAAAAGGTACATTTTTAACATTAAAATCATAATAGACTAAAAACATTTAAGCTTCAAAAAGGTAGTGAAATTTACACGTAAAGTACTATGTATATTGTAGTCCAGTTGATTTATACAATGTAAGTCTTTTGCTGATTTGTTAGTCTTTGCTACTTTTATAAGCCTTGAAACTGAAACTTGCTCTTTTCAAGAGGTTCAAGGCAGATAACAAAAAAAATTCTAAGAAATCTGCCATAATTCTAAGCAGAGCAGGTAGACTTATTACAATATACAGTTGACAATGAGGTGTCCATATCAGCTAGACTAACTTCCCATGAAAATCTGTTGACATGACAAGAAAAAAGTATCTTCCGTCTGCATTAATGGCCTTATGGGTGTCAGTATTAAGCAAATTACATTAAGAGAAAATTTAAGGGCTTTCCGAGGGAGAAAGAACTTATCCATAATAATGAGGTGTTTGTATACAATGAGTGTCCATAAAGTAAAGTTTGACTGGGCCACAAAACCTACAAATGTTAAAAGTTCAAAGAACACAACTTTCATGCAGTGTGTTGTTACCTGTGATTAACTCAGTATAAAGAAGATAAACAGCTTTGTTGTCCCATGGATTTTCACTTCGAAGATCTATGATATGTAGGACATATTTCATCTGAATAGTTACCACTATCGTTAGAAGAATTGCATACTGCAAATAAAGAAAAATAACAACATTTTGTTCAAGTTCCATGTGATAGGCTTTGCAACCTTTCTTCTTGACCTGGACTAACTGTATAGGGAACAAAAGAAAATAATGACCACAGGCTTGCAGTCGTGACTGCAGTTTGAACGGCACGAAGAGCTTCCAGCAGTAAATGATTTATGACAAAGTTTATGGCCACTAAAAAATGTACAGGCTCATGTTTAAAGGCAAGAGATAGGTTCCAACACCAACTTCTGTTGTGCCAGTTGGATTTTTGAGCTCAAATCAATGAATTCTTCATATTATTCAGGCAATAAAAGTGAAGCACTGTGACTTGAAGAAAACCAACATGATGGCACTAAAAAATGAACACTTTGCTAAAATTCTACATCCTAACAAAGCGCAACTGCAAACCCGTAACTGCAAACGGCAGTTCGTAGCGTGGGTTTTCAAGAAAACCTGATCCAAAAGGTCTTTAACACTGACAAAAACTTGCAAAGGTGACAGGACCCCTCCTCAACCACTCACTTGAAATCAGTCGCCTGCAGCACTGGAATGCAGTCAATAATAATGCCAACAGACAAAAGAGTATTTCATGTGGCAAAGCATTGTATACTGTCTAAGTCATTGCATGCACTAATAAGATAAAGTTTGTTCTTACTTCAAATCCAAACACCAGTTGGACAGATGCTCCACTTTGCATGGTTGTATTGTAAGCAATATGAACAAGAACTGCATCCACCATGCCTAAAAACATGAGCAGCAAAACTGCTCGCACATGAAAGAGCCACGACAGTACAGGACTTCTCTCCATATAATCTATTCTGTCTTCTGCCAGCCAATGGAAACATTTCAGGAACAACAGAAGAGTAAACTGGGCTACAAAACGAGGACTAAAATCATCACGAAAAACAGTAAAGGCCAGGCAAGTCTCTGTGACTGCATACCATGATCTTTCAATTAAATGCTGAAATGAATGAGAGGTTTTTCTGAGGTCAGTGGCTACAAGATGTATCGCATTGTGGTTGTTAACACAATGGACCTTCAACTGGAAAACAAACTACCAATCAGTGGAAAAACATACCACTAATCAATTTTTTGAGAGCTTACTTTTGTTATGCAAATTATGGGAAAATCCTAATTTGCATATATTGGCGTGACCTTGTACCAGTTTCTTTATACGTATACAGAAAAGGTCAATTAATATTTTTCTTTATGTTTTCATCGAAATACCTAGATTGAACACACAAATATGAATAAACATATTATTCACTAAAATATGTAGGGCTTTGACACTAATATGCTGAATTTAGAAGCATTTCATGATGCGTGGCACATTGAAATCACCACAAAGTGCAAGCTATAATTATTATAAAAGGTTTCATACCTCAATTTTTGCATTTATTTAGAATTAAAACCCTGCAATAAATGGGTGTAGGGAAGGCGCCTGAGTAAACTGACGGAGCCACAAGTGAGCGTGAAGGTAACCATGACAACCCTGTGAGTGGCAACCACACGGCACCATCACACTGAGAACCTCAGTGGAAAGTTTTCAGATACTTACCAAGACCCACCCAGAGGAAGGGAAAGGCTGGGAGCAAAAGGTTTTGACACAAGCACAAGCAAAGACAACATGTGCAATATTACTTGATCTCTAAAGGAGTGCTGTAAATATACTGGGGCCCTGGAAAAGCCTGCCCCACATACGATTAGCATCAGATGTCGATGGCCAGCATTATCTCGTGTTTAACCTCGCCTAAATTACATTTAGCCACATTTAAAAGTGTGGAAAGAATTGAAAAATAGCTTTAAAAATTGGGTTACTTCCTATCACCACCATGTTGAGCATGAAAGACGTGGACTGCTTAAACCAGTCCCATAGCCAGTGTCAGGCCCCAATATAGTTAACTCCAAAAATAAAAATGGACAGCAATACCATGAAGAATTTGTGGTTGTTTTAGTGCGCAAGGGATCCTTTTGGTGACAAATTTTGACCGAAGATGTATTTCTCTATAATTTTCAATTCTTTTTACATTTGTCATTAAAAGGATCTCTTGAGCACTAAAACAACCACAAATTCTTCATGGTATTGCTGTCCATTTTTGTTTTTGGAGTTAACTATATTGGGGCCTGACACTGGCTATGCGACTGGTTTAAGCAGTCCATTTCTTTCATGCTCAACATGGTGGTGATAGGAAGTTTATGCACCCTATATTTACAACATGTGAATAACTTTTGTTAACATTATTTTATGCAGCAGATAACATTTTTTTATTCTCCTATTCTGCAGGGCTGCAGCCAACCCAATCAGAATGTTTAATAGTGTTAAGCAGGACAAACAGAAAAGCAGGTGGTTTCATCTAAGTTACATAATAAATTTATTAAACCCAAGTGTTGAGAAGGAAGCAAACATTCCAGTGGCAGCAGAAAAATTGCTGGCTGCCCACTCTTTTAGCCTCGGCTGCTACAGTGGCCTTGGGCAATTAGTTTTTATTGTTGTGGCATCTTGGAAATCTTTAGGGGTTTTTGGCTCCTTATCATTTTGCTTAAAGTAAAGCCTTGTACAGATAGTTTGAATGATGGTGACCAGACCAAACTTTTGATACAAGAGTTAAATTCATATAGGCCTGGTGGGGGGATCCCCAGAGCGTGGAATGCTGAGGTTGAGTGGAAAATGAAATGGGCTGATCTATTTCCTGCATATCAAACATCAATTAAGAAGTCTTCTGATGGACTTGAATCAATTAACAAGACTTTACATTCAGATGTATAAAAATACTTTATATAGTCCGTGAATCAAATTTACCTCCATTTCTGCAGCTCGCAGCTGTCCAAAGAAAACTTTTCTCATCACTTTTCCAAGCAGAATCACAAGAACAAAAGCTTGAATGTACAAAACCTACAGCAAAACAGGGATTAGATCATTAATGCCAAACCTCCGACAACACTCTATACTGACAACAATGATAGATGATAGTTGATGGTTATAAACCAGCAACTGAAAGCAGGTTTTCCATTCTCTTTAGCATAAAGGTTCTGCGACTTACCGCCATGCTCGGACTTGACTTGGTCAAATAAACAACAGAGGGGTAAAATTGATGTTTTTGGTAGTAAGCATTCGCGACCACAGCGCCTGTCAGCGCTAAACTGGCTGCAGTCAACACTACCTCGCGCATGATGTACGAATTATTTTCAACTCTGATAAGGGCTGCACAATTAGCTCATTATCCACAAACACTGCTGTACCCGTTTCTCGGAAATTTTGGTCAACCTGTGTCAAAATTATGATTTTTCGTGGCTGGATATGACTGGCTTTCACATTAGAGAGGAACTGAACTACACGTCTGCACATACGGGAACTTTGTTATCATTTGACAGCATCCGCTGAACAAAACTGCGGCTCAGATTCTGGCTGTTGGCGCCTTGGCGCGCCTCCTCTCAATCAAAAAAGACCTAAAATCTTCATTTTTTTCTCTCTAAAAAAAATTCCCGGTTCTACTTCTCGCGCCTGAACCCGCCAAGAAATGCTGGATAGGTAAAAACAGCGACAAAAACTGTGAGGGGGCAGCAAAACATGAAACGAAGGCTTTAGGGTTTCTTGTAACGAAACTTTTTCAAGTTTCAAGCCTTTTCAGTTGTAAATCCTTTTAAGTCTCTAGAAATGCTATAGTTTTCTAAGAATTCTGTGAGGCCCTAAAAATCCCGAAAAAAAATCCGGATTTGTGTAGTTAGGTCCAAACAAAATCTGTTCAGGAGAGCCTCAAAATATTTAACTGTTTGCTCTGGCATCATTGAATTTTAATTATCAATCATACATTATTAACATTGCTTCTTAATAACTGTTATGAAAAATTAACCGGTGAAATAAAACTAATAATAAAGGCTGGCTTGACCACCTTTCTATTTGTTTCGGAAGTTTTCCACTGAACCACCCGAAAATCGTGTTCCATTTACTCTCGAACCTTTTGTTAGGCCATCCTCTTATTTTTCTCCGTTTAGCGTCGTCCGACCGACCCAAATTTTTGGCATTTTTTTTTTTAAAAGTAGTGACATAGTAACAGCATAGAGAAAAAACAGGAACATTTTTCACAGTAAATTGTACATTTTGTTGATCCAATTATGTGAATGTTAACTTTTAACGTCTTCCTAGGGTACCAGGACCTTCTATTCCGAGACTTTTTGTGATTTTTATTTTAGTTTCTTTTTCTGTCAATCCGACCGACTGACCCAGTATCTGGAAATGCATTCGACGCTAAACGAAAAAAAAGGGAATGGCCGGATTGATAAACGCTGGGGCCCACAAACAACCTGTAACACAATGTATCTGGTTATTTATGATATAGATATGATACGGAAAGGAAACACCCAATATTGCCCTCTTCACCATCAAGTCTTGCTAAAAGCAGGGGAAAAAGGCTAATATTTTTTTCAAATAGGTAATATTATGGAGTTCATGTGACGACCCCACCCTATGCAGCTGAGGAAAATTTGATTAAGGCCTTTTACGGTATTAATGTTTAACATAATGTAAATCACATTTTCAGGGGTAAACTATTGGTCAAAATGAACGGTTGGTTCAATAAAAACAATCACGACTCAGTACCTGATTCCCGATATTCTACAAAACGTAATTTCATGATAGTTAAATCTTATCCAAGAATATTATTCTGTTGATTCTTAGTTAGCCTGCGTAGCAGACGCTCGGAGAGTAGTGGGCACGAGAAAGAACGAGCGCGATAGGGAGACACCGGAGGGGAGAGGATTGAGGGCTGGAGACGATTTTCACAGTAAAAACTGAAGTTGGAGCCAATCTTGTTAACGGCGGGATGCCACTGGAACCATTTAGCTATAATAAACTTGATTTAGTTTCCACTATCATATCTGGTGTCCTTTAATTCTAGTCAATTTCATCTGTTCTAACGTATATCAATTTACTAGCAGTAGTGACCTCAAATCTTTCATCAAAACCACTGTGACAAATGTTTATGAAATATACAATTATCCCAAAATTTCGCACTAATTAGCAGTTAGAAGATCCATACCTATCTATATCTCTTAGAGGTATATTTAGGGACACACACAATTTCGGGACATGCTCATTGGTCAGGAGAGGGGTAACAAGAGGGCCGTTCAGTCACTGACCCGTGACTACAAGCTGAGCTGTAGCGGTTTAACATACTCCCTCTCGTGGTACTGTCTTTTTTTCTCCTTTTTCATCTTTTTTGGCTTCTTCTTTCTCTAGTTATAGGCAGGCTATAAATAAAAATTAAGACTAAATAAAAATAAAATGATCTAGGGCGTGACTTCCGGTATATATGTGGTCAAGAATATTAGTTGCTAAGAGAACGGTGCATCATCTCTGACATCTGACAAAACAGTTAAAATGAAGCTGCCAAAGGCTTACTTCTAACTGCAGTGACAAACAGAATCTACAACTGAATCTATAAAACCAACGCCAATTTGTTAAAATCGTTATTAGTTTATAATTTTTGGAAAATTAACAAAGAAAATAAAGCTTGAAAATGGTGCATGGGTTCGACGGACTGGAGGCTATATTGTTGTTGCGGTAACCAGGAAGAAAGGCTCTTGTAACGCCGCCTTATTTTCGTCAACCGAAGGGGCCTGCCCTAACAGGCCCGACGAAAGGGTTTAACCCGAGGATCAACAGGAGACATTTTACGTCAGAAGAATGGATTTGTCCTTGAGACGAATGCTTACATCTTTACATTTTCCTCAAATGTAGATCGTCTTTTAATTTTTGCTTTTCCGTATGTATCTTTATTCTTCTTTGGCAAACGCAACAAAATGTTTGTTTTTGTCTTCTCACCGTAAGAAGTTTATATTTTGCCGATTTAGTGCGCCCTTCCGGTTGGTTGAACATTATTGGTCACGTGATCAAGTTTGAGGTCACGGGACCCATGAGTCCGCCATATTGGTCCACCCACATTCCTTTTTCAGAAGCAAGGGGACGACAAAAAAGGGCAACAGGCTTTCGTGTTCCGTCTCCATAAAAGGCCATCTTACAACTGTATAATGCAGACCGAAGAATCCACAACAACAACAGAGGCACTCGAGACCATGCATTACTCAGCTCAGGCTCAAAGCACCGGAGTTCTTGACCCATCAACGATTGAACAGGGAGCATTCGAAGCAGCGATGGATCACCAAGGAGGACATGGTTTGAAGCGACAAGCAGACAGCGACGACGATGCAGACGCCGAGACCAGCATGTTGGAGGAAGAAAGACCGAAGAAAAAGACCCGAGGAAGAGTAAAAATTGAAATGAAGTTTATTTCCAACAAGTTGAGAAGATACACAACTTTTAGTAAAAGGAAAACTGGAATTATGAAAAAGGTTGGTTTAATTAAGCTTATGTTACCTGTACTGCGTAATTTGATAAGTTCCATGCCTAATTTTTTTCACAGTTCGGAAAAAAAATCAGCTGACTTTTTGCTAAAGTTTCCTTTGAATAAGTTGTCTTATTTTATTTCAATTTAGGCGTACGAGCTAAGTACTTTAACAGGGACGCAGGTGATGTTGCTAGTCGCTTCGGAAACTGGCCATGTTTATACGTTCGCCACAAGAAAACTTCAGCCTATGATCACCTCAGAGAGCGGCAAAGCTCTTATTCAAACTTGCCTCAATTCTCCAGATCCTCCAGTGTCACAGATTCCCAACCCAGACCAGAGAATGTCAGCCACAGGGTACGAGGAAACAGATTTAACCTACACTGTGAACGAAAACGACGCTGAAAAGATGCAGGTACATGTACTGCCAACAAGAATACACTTATCGAAAATTTACTCATTTAATTTAGATCGGCGTTATATCCTTTATTTTTCAACTTATTCGTGTATTTATTTACGAATCTTCGTTAAAAAAATGAAGCGCTAGAATTTCGCCATAATTTCGATCTTTGAACAAATGGACTTATGCTTGTTTTCTTTTCCGTATTTTACTGAAAACAGGTTTAGCAAATCCAATTACAAATTTATAAACGTCTGAACCTCGCCAGCAGTTTTAACATCAAATTGACCACTGTTGGGGATAATGTCTATGTTTCGCATTTTTCCACAGTGCTGCAGTTTTTCACATTAGTCTTTTCAGCGTGTTTGGATTCGATAAGATCCACTTTCGCGGCAAATGTTCGCGTACAATTTCAAACTCCGTGTCCTTTGAAACATTCCAACCATATATGGCGTCGGTTTCCTTCTTTGGTACGTTTCTTGCCCATTTTTGGAGACGAATGTAAACCTGTGCTTGTTTGTTGGGGGAATCCTCCTTTGTTTTGGAAGTTCGAGGCACTGGCAAAGCATTTCACGGCATTATTTCTTCAAATGATTCAAATGTATTTTCCTGCAAAAAATTTCTTTCGCTTTCGAGCAAGATTCCTGAAACTTGATATTCTCTCGACGTTCGAGAAATTTCTCTGTTTTAATGCTTGCCAATTTCTCGATACAAGCTGCGTAAAAACTACCATTAAATATATTCGACGCGTTTGCCATATCGAAATCATATTGAATACATCTTGCTTTGTAAGAACGTTTTCTTCACATCGAAGACAAGATTATTTTTTTAAGTCGCGGCTAAGGTCAAATAAAAGTTTTGAATCAATCTTTCAACAGACAGACTGGTCTTTTGCTCGAAGGTTAAATTAACGTATAATTTTAGTTTATCTTTGCATGTCAACGAATAGATTAGCCCCAACTTGTGTTTTAAAGTGCAGAGCGAAGAATCCACAACAACATCAGAAGCATCTGAGTGATTTATGACAAATGCGTAATAAAATCAATATGCTCAGATCAATTATTTGATCTGTGTATATAAATGTATTGTTGATCACTTTCAATTTTTTTTTAACTTAAACATCCTTTGCGATCCGTTCAATGTCCACAATATTAACATCATGCCATATAGTGTGTGTAGGGATGGCTTTGTTATTGAGTCCTTTTAGTAAATTTTAAAAGCAACTATAATCAAGCTATGACAGACTTTCCTCTGTAATTACCATAATAAAAATAATTACTGGCTACAAGCTAATGAAATAAATAATGTAGTAGTTGGCGATCAGTTGCCTAGTACACAACCATTGGGTCCCGAGGTATAAGGGGTTCTACAGTAAAGTTTGACTACACTAAGAATTTCTCATCTCTTTTCATTTTGATACCACATCAGTCATGCTAACTTATTTTAACGTGTTCTCTTTTATAGGACCGGGGTGGAATATTCACCACACAGCAAATTGACACCACTCAAGGTTTAACAGTGGGTGCCTTGTCAGGTACTAATGCACCCATGACTGGCATCACAGCTTTGCCAGCAACAGGTCATTCCTTCCCTATCACAACCTACATTCCACAGTCAAACATACAGCAGCAGGGTGGAAACAAAAATGCCTCAGTTCAATCATCATATTCTGTGCAAGCCATGCCAGGGGGAGCATTTACAACTATCTTTGCACCAGGGACATCAGTTCAGTTGGGGCAGAACCTCTCTCAGGGACAGCAACAGGGATCAACTGTACAGGTAGGAGATAAACTTACTTTCTCTTCTCCAAGTTTTAGGCATCTTTTATTGGACTAGTGAGATGTAGTCCTATGATAAAGTTTTCTTGAGCACTTTTGGCATTCCGTTGTTCTGTTTGCAAGAGGGCTCCAATGCTACAGTATCAACTTAACTTTTGCACTCCCCAAAGTGACTGAAGTCAAAATTGAGCAAAAATTCCAAATTTTACTTTTCAAGATGCTGAAAAGCAAATAGTAGCTTGTTAAGAAACTGCTGAAGAGGATTCATGTGAATGGTCACACCACAGGTTTTCGACCACGTACTCAAAAGTAAGAACCACCTTACTCCATGATTAACTGTGGGAATGAAGGCAAGACTTAAGTGTATAGCATTGCCTTTGTTTTTCCACCTCCACTAAGCACCAAATAATAAAATACAGAAGAGAATAATATTTAATATTTTATCATCCAGAGAAACTTGCAAAAACTTATAGTAAATGATAAATTATAAAGGTCGTGAGTTATATTATTTACTGTTAATTGATGGTTATCTAGAAATGTTAGTTTGACAAAAAATAATAGAAAACACTAGAGACCATAAATATAAAACTATATTATAAAGGAATGAGGAGATTAAGTAGGTTACAAATGAAAACTTGAATTTTGGTTAAGTATTAACTATCCAGTGTAAGTTTGAGGTGTAAAATTACTTAAATGGAATATAGTTAGTTACAAAGAACCTGGTTGAGTTATGCCCAACAAAAAGCTATCAATGTACAACTGTTGTTTTGACAGTTTTGGTCAAAATATGTACTTGCATATTGTGTTTTATTCTTTTGGAACAACTGAATTTAATAACCTTGTGAAATATGAACTGTCAGATACTGGATTTGCTTGAGTTGTGCTGGACAAAAAGCTATCATCTACTTGAAATTGTGTTGTAACAGTTTTGGTTAAAATATGTAGTGCATTTGTATGCAGCTTTTAAGCACAACTAAAGAAAACACTGAAGAATGCATTATAATGCAAAGTTGACAAATTCTAATAATATGCTCAAGCTGTGCTGAGCAAAAAGAGCTGTCATTTAGCTATTTGGTAGTGACTGGGTCAGTCAAAATATGTAGCTGGAACAAATTCTTTAGTCACAATAGAGAAGAATATGCTCCGCATGACTCTTCAGTCTTGTTTGAGTACTCCATCATTTTACACAGTGGGAGAGTTAAGTGTTGGGAATATTTGGGATTCAAATGTTGTTTGTCTCATTTCACTCTGTGGTTGTAGACTGAGCTTTGTTTCTTCTGCCCTTTTTGGGTATTTCAAAAAGTCATGATGGTGGTAAAACTAGTTGTTGACTATATAAGTCACAAGACTTCAAAAAATTTAACTGTTGCAAGAAATTTCAAGGATCCTGTTTTACTCATTATTACGTGTGTGCAGAATATTATGAACTTCTTAACAATTATTGTTTGGTGAAAGCAGTTTCTGTGAAATGATTTACAAAGGTGAACATCATGAAATTTAGTTGTCATTTAGCCCTTTTCCCCCTGAAAAATAGTAGTTAAATTCAAGTGTATTATACACTTTTTTACTAAGGCCATACAAACTCTCTCATTTTTCCTGATAGTAATGATAAATGTCACTGTTTGTTCACTAGTAATTTTTTGGGTGGGTTAAAAATGTGAGCAAGTTTAAATGATGTCTATGAAATGGAAGTAAATTGCTCTATTGTCAGTTTGTTATAAAGAAGATTACATTGAAATTTACTGAAACATTTTTCCCTTCTTACCATTCAACAGGGTTGTCATTATTAAGTTTTAGAGTAGACAGTTAGGATGTAAAAGTAGGCATCTTTGCAACTGAGTGCTGAAGGCAATTTCAGGCTTTTACTTGCTCACCTGAGTAAACAGCTCAAAATTTAAAGTATCCATTTTTTTTAGCCAGTTGCGGGCACTTAATGAGAACCCTGTCCCAAGACCAGTATGTAACAGTGACATGTTCAGTGTCACTAGTTTTGTGAAATCTTTGGATACAATTATTATTATACGCACCATTCTTATATCAATTCTTAACCAGAGCTTTATGTCAAAATTTGCTTTCTGCACAGGTTCTTTCTCAGCCAGTGCAAATCCAGCGAGTTCAACAGCCACAAACACAGACTGTACAGGTAAATGCTGTCAACCCTACGACAACATCCAACACCATCACCTTGCAGATGGGTCAGGATGCCAGCCAGACTCATGAGCCTAATGGTGATAATGCCTCAGGATCTCAGGCAAACAACTTACAATCAGTTGGAACTGTAGTGGTTCCCATAGCCACCAACCAAGATGGCAACGTTGTCTCCCTTGGAAATGTTGTCCCATCCTCCATGATGTTGACTTCGCAAGCGGGACAAATTCCAGTAATGTATAGTGTGTATGCATCACCATCATCTGGGCTTGTTACAGTGTCTCACTTGTCAGATGGCAGTTCTGATCAGTCTGCCGGTCATGCTCATCTCTCAGCAGAAGCAAGTGACATAGGACAGCAGAGCCTACCTGGATCTCTGTCCCTTGCCACTGTTCAGGTGCATCCGGACATTAACTCTGGTGTGCAGGCATATACAACTCAAGCTGTTGTCACAGAGAGCAGTGGCACCCAGACCGCTGATGAAATTCATATGAGTCATCATGGCTCATTAGAGACTGAAACAGGCATTGGCAAAAATGATTTGGCTGTGTCTGTCGGCCAAACTGAGGTCTAAGTATCAATTTGTGAACAAGTTCACATTTTCATATGTGAACAAAATTTGACGTTTTAAAACTCCAGACAGGGTTGGTACAGAGTCTTGAATTCTTGAAAAAGTCTTGAAATTTCCAAAGTAATTTTTCAGACCTGGAAAAATGGTAAAAGGTGGGAAACTTTTTGTGAAGCTACAACAAGTGCGTTATAAGTGAAATTTTTCCCGTGGTCAAATCCCTTTCAATCTCGCCCGTAGCCAAGACTTTTAATCACAGAATGAGAATTTTCAGAACTCTCTTCCTAGGGAGTGGGTTTTTCAAGGTCTCTATTATTGGTAACCTTGAGTCTAGAAAAATAAATATTGTTTCGGGGAAAAGTCTTGAATTTTGGATCCAAAAATCTGTACAAACCCTGTCCCGAGAAGGGTAGGGGTGTAGTTTGAAACTCCTTTACCGAGCAATATTGCCCTTGGCACTTTGCACTTACTACAAAATACATTTTTCTAATATTTATAGAATTGCTTCCAAGAAGCTGGCAAAAACCAAGAATTTTGAGGCTGTGATGAGTCGTAACTGTAATCAAATACATGCTGCAATAGAAAAATTTTGAAAGTAGATACTACATGTAATCTCAATAGCAGTAATGGTACCTTCTCATAATCATTGGTTAAATTTTGCACATACGGTACAGGCCACGGGAATTGCAGCCAGCATTTACATGTGTGTAAAATTGCATGTAACAAGTTATGCACATGCAAAATACGTGCAAAAACACGTGTGTAAAATTCTACACAAACAACTATGTGCAAGATGAGTTTATAGTAGGAAATTTTTCTCTCTTACTTGTACACTAAGTTTAAGAAAATTTGCGTGCATTGTCTTGTATATTTTTTACGCTGTGTTTCGCGGATGTATTTCTCTTGTAATTTCAAGGTTGTTAAAAGTAGCCAGCTATTTGGTTAGTATCAGCCGGCTACTCTGCTTGGCATGTCTTTACGGATGGCGTTTTTTAAATAAAATGTCCCTGGACTGGCCACTTACTTTGACAACTCAGCCATCTACTTCAAAACTTTCTGACAACCATGAATTTGCATGCAATATGGCAGATTTACACACAAGAAACACACATGTAATGCTACAATTACCATGCTGTACTGTACAATCATGAAGCACAAAATGGTGAACAAATAAGCCACAGTAATATTTTGCTTTCCAACAAACCTTAACTAACTAGAAAACAATAATATTGGGTGTTCTTGAATTATTGTAGTGGGAGGTTTGCAACTTTTTTGTCCACTTACACCACTTGCATAGTTTTGCTTATTAATTTTAAGTAAAGTACTCTGAAATCTATGTCATCACTCAGGGCTGTCACTAAAAACCAAGGGCCAGGGATTTTCAGGGAATTTTAAGCATAACCCTCAACTACTTTCATAGGAAACAAAGGGATAATATAATCAAAAGAACTTCCTGGCTGCTTGAAGTCTCAGTGACAGCCCTGTTATCACTAATTGCTACAGATTCTTAATAACTAAGATCTCAGAGTGGATGCTAAAATAAGATAAATCATTACTGCAAGAGGTTTAAAATAATAATGTACTCCTTGTATGACGAGAAGTTTGACTTCAAATGTATTTAAAAAAATACTGATCATTATTTTGATAGCCATCTCAAACCTGTGAAAGAGTGTTTTTTTGGTATCCAGACACAAAGAAGGTGGTTATAAAAAATCTGCTTTCTTTTCGTTTTCTGAATCCTCTAAAAAATACTCTCATGTTTGATCTACTACTTGTATTATTTAGTACACTTGATTGTAAATATTTATCAACAGTATTATTAGTTTAAGCTTGTACATTAATTTTTAGTTGCACAGTAACAAAAAGGTGCCAACAAATGTATATAATTACTATGAATCATGTATCCATCGATTTTATACGGTTTTCTTAGTAATGTACTCTAGGTTTTTCAAAATTGAATTTGAATTAAAAATCATGATATTCCTGCAAAGGGACTGGCATAAAAGATTTGGAAATGCAAGTATGGCTATTTATAATGTTATCTCTCGTGAAAATGTACAAAGATTTCTTTCGAAGAAGAATCTTTTCAATTTTATAATTTAGTTAATCACATTAATAATTTTTTTAAAACTAGTCAAAATGGTACTAAACATTTCAGATTTTCAAAGAAACCAAAGTAATGCTGAATAAAGAAATGTATGTCACAAAGTACAGGGTCCAGTGTTCAAAAGATTCCAGATGAATGGTTTAAACCTTGATTTAACAATACTTGTAGCAAGACTAATCATGAAGGAGAAGTTCAATTTCTTCAAGTGGAGCACGCAGTCTGATTTCTTTCTCTGTCATTAAATCAACTATGTCCTGAACATCCTCTGGTAAATTCTGTGCAGCATCAAGGTACAAAACCTTCAAAAAAGAAAATCCTTTAATGACCCACTGTCTGTAAACAGCTTGTTGCAACTAAACTCCTTAACTGACATTTGACAACAGGCAGAACTTGATAATTTTATTACTCAATTAAAAATATTCCAGTTGATTCACACTGATTTGCATCTTTTAAAGAAATAAAAAAGACAATAGTAATCTACAGGTCCACTCTACTTCAAGTGAAACATCTGTAAGACTCTGACACTTCCCTAAAACAGACACCTTTTGTTGGCCCCTGCTGTTCTTCAGCCATGAAATGTTTTTAGATTTATGACAACAGTCATGTTGGCTGCAGTTTAGCGGCCACTGTTGGACAACCAAGAATGAGACTGTTTCCCAACTTTGGGAACCAAAACATGGCAGATACTCAAGGGGGCACCCAGCAACAATATTCATTGACCGACTAGAGAGTGACAACAGTCTTTCAAGGCAGGATCTCGCACCTGTCATGGCCAACAGACAGGAATGGGGTAGACTTCTCAAATCAGTGCGGCTGTGCCCAAAATAGATAGATAAATAGATAATAACACTTCTCTGATACAGAAACTTGGGGTGCTTTCCCTTGGTCAAACTGGCTGGCCGAACCATTGTCAGACCGGTCATTCTGACAATGAAATGGGCTTTTTCCAAGAAATTTGTGAAAAACCATCTTTGTGCATACTATTAATAGGATTTGATAGTTTTGATTAAAAATGAAATTCTCATTACGATGGGGATGGTCTGGTCAGTCAGTTCAGATAAAGGTAAGGTAAGGTAGGTTTTTAATTGGGGGGGTAGGGCTAGGGTATTGGGGTATTTTTCATCATTTTTTCTGAAAAATTTCATGGCCCTCCCCTTTTCCTTACCTGGTAAACACGTGACCCCCCATCTCAGGCAACACAAAAGCCTGTGACCCTCCCTTAATACCTTTTAAAATAAGGGTTGACCCTCCCCAAGGGTCCCAATTTTTTGGATCACCCTCCCCTCTGAAGCCCTAGCCCTCCCCCCGCCCCCAATTAACCTTTAAAAACGTACCTTCCCTAAATGGAAAGTGCCCTTAGTGTTAGTCCCAATAGTGCATATCTTTCTGGATCATTGCGTTTCTGGGAAACTTTTCACCTACCCCTCTCCTATGCCTTACTTTTTTAGGGCAAAATGTTTGCTTAGGGGAGGAGTAGGTGGGCGGTTACCCAGATACGAATAATGATCCAACTTCCTTAACTGTCACCAAAAAACAAAGGGTTTTACCTTGGCCCAGGGACAATTTTGTAGAGCTTGGTAAAATACAGACTTGACTTTCTCCTTTCCACGTTGTGACTGAAAACATTTCCAAAACAAGTGCAAATAAATACTAAAAAGAGTTAATTAAAAGAACTTAAGAGAGCTGCATTATTTATGCCATCTTTAGTTTATTAAAATGAAAACAATGCCACATATAATTCAAAGACTACAAGCCAGATTACCAGTACAGCAGTGTAAATTAAATCATAAGTTGAGATACTGAAAGAATAGAAAAGCTACCATTAATTGGATTCAAATAACAGAATGTCTAAAGAGCACACTTTAAGTGATAAAAATTCATGAAAATTCCCATCATTTTTTCTTTCAAATAAGTTTTTTCAAAATGCAATTTCTAGAAAAGTATCTGATATTTTACTCTCATTTCTTTTTGCGGGTGACAAGAGGCGCCCACAACTCTAATCTCCAGGTCCCAGTTGTTCTAAAGGTGGATAGTGTTATCCAACTTTTGAACAACTGGGGCCAGGTTGTTATTATGCTTGTGTTGCATGTATGTAGCCAACATTCGTTTGGAACTTGCACTAAGAATGAATGGAATGTACAGAACGCAATTTGATCACATGTGTTTGGACCTTCTATCACTTGTCATCTGATTACACGTTTTGACTATCAATCACGTGAAACTTATGCAAAGCACAGCATTTGAGCAAAAACGTTTTGACCTTCAATCGTTGTCGCCCGCACTCAGTAACCTTTGGTTATTACGAGTAACAAGGAAGTATCATTGGAAGTAAACGGCAGTACTGTTATTAGAGGCTGGTTTTCACAAGCGATGGCCAGAGCAAGAGTCCAAGCCCTAGTGTCATTTATTCCAGAGGTCCACTTCTACTTACAACTGTTGCTTATGATCAAATGAGAACCAGACTGACAGGGTTGCTAGCAGAAGTGGAAGAACTACAGTGTAAACCAATCACAATGCATGGAAGTGATCATGATTGATTTATTTATCCACTTAGAACTGCTTTTGCTTCTACAATCTAAGGCCCAATCCACATGAATCTGGATATTTTTGAAACTGTGTAGTTTTTACATGAATTAGCCTCACTCCCTGCCACAGACTCTGGTTAAGTCTGTCTGTGAAACAGCATCAAAATACTTGTTCCAGGCCCCCACCTGCCTACTGGGATTTGACTCATGCCGTGATTGGCTGATAAAAATGCCATTGTCCATTTGCCAATCACGATGAAAGAAAATTCGAATCACACTTCTGGAAATACATTGAGTCCATTGGGAGCCCCAATTAAAGATATCAGCCGTGCTTGGCAGACGTTACTAACCGATGGAACATTCTGATTCTTGCGACTCTAATTCTGTCTGCTTATAAAATTAATCCCATTCCTTTTTTTGCCAATCATAAGTGCTCTTACAATATTATTACAGTTGTAACCATGTCCCTAGCAAACACCAACCTAACGTGAAATTGCAAGAACTTTAACAGTTTTATGCTTTAGTTACCTCAAATTTCATAAACATTCTCCATAATGCCACACAATGTCTTGCTGATGGACTGGCTATTGCTCTTTCAAACAGTGAGTACTGACGATTAACCACCCCTGTAATAGGAAGAGAAGTAACGACTGGTGTGGAGTTTTCTTCCAAGACAGTTGCCATTGGATCAGTACACTCCATGACAGACGCAACAGACTGTGACCTACACTGCTCGTAATGAAGAGCAAAGATCCAAGGGATGGGTGTGGTTGCTTTCTGCGTCACCTTGTCAAGCGTTCTTCTTATTTCACCAGTCAGAACAGACTTTGACTCTTGCTGGATGTAAAATGAAATGAATTCTTGATTATTAGGAAACTTCTCCAGTGCAGAGTGCAGAATATGTCTCGTGTCCTTCAGAGTTAATGTTCTGCCAGTGTTGCAGTGAAATTTGAAAAGTTTGATATAAGAGCTGAGAATGAGCTCAATGTCCAGCTCACTGAGACCAGATGGGTTTGACAAAAAGTCATTACACATGCACAATACACTGTTGATGCCAGTGTTTAGGTACTCAAAAAGAACACAGCAAGCTTCTAGATGGACTGCCAAACTTCCAGAGGCAAGACCACAGTCTGATATCAGTGTCTCCTTTGTCTGACATTCACCTGTTTCAACCATGCTTTGGTGGATCTTTTGATAAACCCTGCGTGCTTTAAGCAGTTGAACAGCTGATGTGAATGCTGATGAGTTGGAAAAGGCAGTTTGGAACAAAGCTCCCTCTGCAAAAGTTGTCAGTATCTGCAGTGCTTTCTTGTTACCCTCTGCACCTGCCAAAGGTTGGGACTTCCTTAAGTCTGTAGTGATACCCACTTCTAGTTCAGCATATGATCTAATAATCAATCAAAAATTATTTTAATTATTATGCATTTTCAGCTGTTGTTGGATCGGAAGTTAACCCAACACTCCATGCAAAGGTTAGTCCACTGCTGAATGTCTAACCCAACAGGGAAGTTGGTATGAAAAGAACAAAGTAAACTTGTTAATTTCACTCTTCGAGTAAAGGTTCAAACTACACAACTAAGCATTTAAACATTAAATGTTACCTAACGTAAGGACCACCAAAGATCAAATTCTAACTTATCAGCAGTAGAAGTAGTATTTATCTCGCCATAGATTGAACAAGTTTACAGAAACGAATAATTATAATTAAGAAATAACTAAGGAGAAAAAAGGCAAAAATGGTAAAAGTAGTACATTGACTTAATAGTTGGAACTCTTTCCTTTCTTTCACCCTAGCACCTACCCTTAGGGTTACTATTTTTACTCTCCCTAATCTTCCTCCGTCATAACAAAGATGGCGGTTACAACAGTACGAACATAAACAAGCAGCTTTTGCCCGCCCAAACAGGCTAGAAAAATATAAAATTTAAGTGGATGCAAAAGAGAAAATGCTTATCAGCAGTCAAGATCAATGGAATAATAATTTATTATAATCAACTATAAAGTATGTGTGATTATTGCTTGGCACATTTTTTTTGTTGAGCATGCTGGTCCCATCAGCAAAAGCTGCCTTTTTTAAAGTTCTAGATACAGGGAGGCTCTCCCTAAGGTCCAACCCCTTACCCTTTTAAGCTCATTCCTCTGAAATAGAACCTGCCATGAGATCATTTTTGTCAAACTTTACTGATTGGTTATTGAAAATTGGGGGGTCCCCATACTACTATAGGAGCAGGAACAACTTGTACGCAGTATTTACACAAGGTTTTTAAAATACTTATGTGATTATAATTTACAAGTTATGTTTCAGGTACATGCTTTGAACATATTTCTGGCAATTGTTTGTTTTTAGCGTGCAAAGAAAGTAGTGTCCGATAGCCCGGGGCTAGTGGATTTTGCTATCGGGCTAGCGAAATCTGTTTTTAACTTGCCCGACCGGCAAGTGATGTTCTTTGAGGAATTAGTAAAACAGAAGAAGTGTGAAATCAATAAAAAAAATTCTGCTCGACGAAAAGCTTTTGGGGCTAATTGAAATGACGTCTGGGCTAGTAAATGCTAGCTTCAGCTTGCCCGAATGGCAAGCTATAAAAATGATTTTCTTTGCACCCTGGTTTTTTAATTTTCTGCACAGAGAATTATAGGCTCTATTTATTCTAGAGAATCAAATTAGCTGCTGCTCATCTTAAAAAAAGAGAGACAAATGACAGGCCACCAGACTTGTTTAAGAGAACATTAAAATATAGTTTAGCCCTCTGAGGAGCTCCATCCTTAGGGTAAAAGCCACCATGTTTTAATGTGTGAGCGCTAATCCCGCTTGAAATTATGCGTAGTAAGGATGCGCAATGCTACACTAAGGCTGCAAAGGGTAAGTGCAGGTACCTGACAATTGGGGCTAAGGCAGCTCTTCTGCTTTGTTCATCAGGAAACATCTCTCCACCCATCATCAGAGTTGAGTCAAACACTCTGACAGCCTCGTCTCTGTTGCCGGATATCCACTCAATCTCTGCATAGGTTTGCCATAGCTTCAGATCATTCCTGAAAAACAATGATTATTTTAATACTCTGACAACTTACGTACAGTAGTAAGGAATCTATACTTTTGCAATGACCTGCATTTAGTTTTCTGTAACCTTTTGACTCCCAATAATATTACCCAGTAATAACCAAAGGTTACACGTCAAAACTCTTTTGCTCCAACACTGTGCTTTGCGTAAGATTCATGTGATAGATGGTCAGAACACGTATGATCAGATTTCAAGTGATAAAAGGACCAAAGGTACATCAGATCAGCTTGCATTCCATTTATTCTTAGTGGAAGTCTAAACAAGTGCCCTGTATGTGTAATAGCAAGCTGGAGATTATGATAAAATTGTGGGTTCCTCTTGTCACCCACAACAAGACAGGCATATTTCCAGCTAATCCCAAGTTCCACTGAGTTAAGGTCAACTGTGATGCTTTTTTTCTATATATAACTGTATGGCAGAGCCCATATTATTTACAAACCTGTTTTCTGGCATTTTGAGAAGGCTCTTGGCCAGTTTCCGCACATCTTTGTACATCCGTTTACTTTCCTTTGCTGGTTGTCCATTCTTTGTTAGCTGAAACTCATACCACAGCCATATAACCATCAGAAAGCTTCTTTCTCTTCCATCAAACACAGACAGGCTTTGCCCAAAGATATTCCTTATAAATGTCAAGGCCTCTGGTGTGGGCCACTGTTGATTTGCCTCATTACAGAGGACATCATCATTCCAATAGTATGACTGCCAAAGACCAAGAAACTGAGATCCCCTGGGAATGCTAGGTCCCAGAAGTTGCAATTCATGCTCTAGTGATGTATTAAGAAATTGCTGCACATCTTTGCTTGTTGATGAGCTAAGACAAGGTACTTGAACTCCAAAAAATTGTAAGAATGACAAGACCAGCTTGAGCTTGCTCATAGGATCCGCCATTTTGAACAGACTTGAGCTGATGTCATCAAATAGTACCAGCCTTTCAGGATCATCACAATCCTCTTCTGTTTGTGCTGTTTCTCCATCTGGTTGCCATGGAAAAAGCTGTCTTCTGTCACGGGATGATTCAACTTGCAACCAATTCTTCCAGAGAGGTTGATCTCTTGTAATGGTCATCTCCTCCTCCGCCTCATCAAGAGAATCACTGTTGCCTGTTTTTCTTGAGGAAAATGACTTGAAAATTGCTCTGATATCAATAAGGGTCTCACATGATATACTTTCCCTTTCTTTAGCCATCCATGTCTTCCATCCAACTGCACCATTCTCACCAAACCTTAATTAACATAAGGAAGCTTATGTTAGATTTCAAGACTGCAAATACTGGTAACACAAGAATTCAACTTTCATCTTTCTAAGCTGAGAAGACATCTGTACAACGTTGTGAGGTTCATGGATTGTTTTATTTCTTTACCTTGGTTGTCCACTATGCCAGAATGCCTCCAGAAAAGCTATCTGTCCACCAACAGGGGTGTTCTTCTCCAGATCAGCTGAGCAAAAACAGTTTAGCTCAACCAAGGCCTGTAGCAGTGCAATGGCCTTTTCTGTGTGACCTAAAAACAAGACACAAAATCAAAGTGTCAATCTGACAAACCAAATGCAGTGGTAATGCAACAGCTTTTTCCGAGTGATTAATTTTAGGAATGGACAGCACAAACCACCGATCGAGTTAATTTGACATTGTAGCCTGCGTAGCAGGCACTTGGAAGTAGCGGGCGAAAGAGAGAACGGGCGCGCGCGAGGGAGACACGCAAGGGGTGACGGAGCGCCTGCACGGAAGGCCCCCGAAAATCGTTTCAACTCGCACTCTGTGAGTGCGGATATTTCCAATTGGTCGAGAGGCTCCCGAGGGAAAAATTAACCGCGTGGGGCGAGAAAACTGTCAATCAATAGTACATGGACAACGTAGAGAAGATCTTGCATTACACCACTGGGTCCTGAAACCACTAAATTGTATACAATCGAAGTTCAGGTCTCGGAGGTCACTTCAATCTGGTTTAATGGGACTATGTGGCTGTAATCTCAAAGAAAAGTTGGAGTGTTCAAACGGTATTCACGATGGAAAGAATTGACATCGGACACGCATCAACAGAAGTGGCAAGAGACAAAAGATTTGTCGAATCTTTGCAATGAAGATCAGAGGAAATATTCTTTGCTCAGGAGAACTTGGCGGCCTGTGCTGTCGATGGAACGTATACCATCAAAACTTGGACATGATTGATGAAATGAAACACTTACCAGGGGCATGAATTTGAAAAAAACATTTCACTATAGTATTATTCGCCGTTTGGAGGCGACCTGAGGTCTGTTGTTTATGTCTTATTACTGCAGTAGAAAACATGTCGGTACTGTTTGTGTTCTGAGGTTTAGGTCCGCTTAGTAAGACATGTCTGCTCCAAAAACGGCTGCCAGTTAGCGCAGTAAAAGCAATATGGTCATTTTCCACGTACACTGTGATCGTTGGTGTCTGACCAGAACAATATTTTTAGTTTTTATAATACACAGCACGCATTCTTTAAAAGATACCCAGTTTTGACTTTGTTATTTCCTATTTATCGTGCCCACGTTAAAAAACGATTTAGAGCTGTGTGTTAACCATCGGTTTATTGCTCCATTGCTCTATAATCAGATAACCCAGCTGATCTTTATAACAGATATATTTAGACCGAAGATAAAATGTACAACGCTTTTTGGCGGCTTGCTTTGTTTGTGCGAGGTCAGTCGTTTTCTGTCAAAAATTTTGACAGATCACGCAACGGCTGCCAAGTAATTAGAGAGGGGGCGGGAAACGATTTTCGGGGGCCTTCCGTGCAGGCGCTTCCTCTCCCCTCGCATGTCTCCTTCTCGCGCGCCCGTTTTTTCTTGTGCCCACTACTTCCAAGCGCCTGCTACGCAGGCTATTGACATTGTAAAACAGTCATCAACCTAGCCATGTTACATTAAGTTTTATCTTCTGAAAGAAATGCCCTATATGTCCGCTATTAAAAGGCTACCCAGTCCAGTCAGTGCTGTAAAAGACTGACAACTTACTGGACAATACAATAGTAGGAATATTTATATAAACACCAAGGAAATAATAGGTGAGCTTTTGCATGACAACATGATATCTTCACACATTAGAATAAGATAACTTCACATGTGAAAAGATCACAAATGCTATGGTTACACAACAAATTGCACCTTTTGCAACAAAAAAACTATATAAGTGAAATGATTTGTTATTTCATTGGTGTTTGATATATGATAAATAGAACATTACCATTTTTCAACACTCAAAGAAAAATGTTGTTTCCTCCTTCAGCCAAGTAATTTAACACGATTTATGATCACATTTTTCTATTGAAGTTGTATAGGGGTTTGCCACTCATGAAATATTATTTTCTTTACTTTTTTGGATTACAGCTAGATGTGTCCATTAAAGAAAGAGAATATGAGGAAAAAAACTATCAGACAGTATCTTTTGGTAGTCCTGTTTAAACAGTCTTAATGATCATACATTACCTGACTGCCTCGCAAACTGACACTGCTGAATGAACAAGTCCAGTATTCCACTCTCTATATCCTCATCAGCTTCATGAGAGGTAAAAGTCCCTTCTTTGATCGCTGATAGAGTGCTCAAACATTTACCATATACTGCAGATGTGTTACTAAATGAAAACACAGAAAATCTTGATTGCACAAAGCGCAAATAATGATACCATAATGTAATGTTATTTGGATGCACAAAAGTCACTTTCTTCCATTTCTGCACCAATTCTTCACCTTCCATGATCCCACTGCAGAGGTCCAAGTGACCCATTATTAGTTCTACAGAAGATGGATTTTGTTGCAGTGCTTTTTCAAAGACTGCAATTTTCTTCTCTATGATAGTTCTTGTAGCAGCTTTTCTCTTTTCTCGCCCAGTTGCTGTAAAGCTTGATTTAACAGAATCTTCCTTCCAGACAACCTCTTCTTGGAAATTAACAAGATCAAGCCATGCTTGAATGTCATGGGGATTTTCACGTAAAATTTTGTTGAGCTCAGCAGTTTTTTCGCGCAATTCAAAGTCTTGACAATCAGCATCAGTATATTTTGATTCTTTCACTGCATCTACAGAGTGATCATTTCTAACTTTCTCAGATGCCCCAGGTAACTCAAGGGAAATATAACCACTGCTATCATTAAAAGAAACATCCAGTTCTTTGCTTTTTAACACACAAGGCATTATAGTAGGAATTCCCTCCTCAACTTCGTCTAGCTTATCATCTTTTATGTTCCAATATCTGGAAATGATATCTCTGGCCTTTTTGCTTTTCTTCCCTCGCTTTTCAGACAGTTCAATAACTTGATGTTTGCTGATGCCCAGACAAGTTAAATTTGACTTCATCTTATACAACGCAACGTCCAGTCGGTATAAAGAGTCATACATACGATTTGCTAAATCAGGTTTTTTACTCAGTCTGTAAGCTTTCTCAGGGTTGAGCAGAGCTTCTTCTCTCCAAATTGTATCAGGCTTATCACTATCATCACTGATCCGAGCCTTCTTCTCCGATTTATCATGCTTTTGCTTGTGTTTCTTTTTATGCTTGTGTTTCCTTTTATCACGATGGTGTCTCCTTGAACTCTCCTTCCTATCATGTTCTTTCCTATAATGTTCTCTTTCTTCATCTTCTGAACTGGGGATTTCAGAGTAAGTACGCTTCTCTCCTGGTCCCAGAAACTGGTGATCAGTGTCTTCTGAAAATTCATATGGGAGCTGTCTCTGATCCTTGATGTTAGTATCACCTTGATCACTTTTATTAAATGAAACATTCTTGTAGCTTTCATTTCTAAGCCAGCTTGGTTGATTGTCTCCTTTGAAAAAAGATAGGAAAATAAAATAAGCACCATTAAAAATCATTGTAAAAAAAGAATATTCAGGAAAGATTCCTCGAGACATACAAAACCCCAACGAATATAACAAAGAAAACACCTCTAGTGTATAAGTAGTCTTCAATATTATTCTCACTATAAACACACTTGAGGGATAGCCATCAGGGTTTCCAGACCAAATGACCAGTAACATATGTGGTTAATACAATAATTCTTCACTTGTATAACTTTAACGGACTAACTACGTTTAAAGGAGTGCACGATAAACCGATAATTCACTAACTAATCGGTTTTATGGACTTTGAGATAAGGTTCTTTGTCTAATGTGGGGAATTAAAAAAAGTCGTGATAAAGTGGAAAAAGTTTCCCCTTACCTTTACCAATACCTGCCGCGCGTTCATCAACTTTAAAAGAAGAACATGGGAAAAGAAGGCTACCAGACCCCTTACTCTTACTAGCTCCGATTACGGGAAACAAAGTCTGTTTTGTTAAGTATTTTGGCTCTAATGTTTTACCACTCTTATCTGAGCTATCATCCGCCATTTTGTCTGAAATACAACGAAATCGCGGGCGCACGACAAAGCGTCTCCCTCCCCTCCCTTGGTTGACGGCGCGCGGGAAGGCGCGGGAACACATGCAAGAAAGGGCGCGAAATTATTCAGCGCTCTGCTGCAATTTTTTTTGTATTTTGCGCTGCTTGGGCGCAGTTTAATTTCTCCTTCCTCATACTAAATATGCGAACAAACCGGCTCTTTTGCTTCGAGAAAGAGTCTCAACAAGTCAACAAAGGGGCCGAAAGGGTTGTTCAAACACGAATGGGTAACCAAGTTTCCCTAAAAAGCAGACCAAGAAGTAGCTCGCAAAATGACGCCAGTTCGAAAATGGCGAAAGACAAGTGTCCACGAACCGAGAAGATAACAAGTACAAAGCCAGAGACTATGATATTGAAAAGGAGACGCATGTGAGATGACGTAATTGCAATTTAGAGAACTCGTGACCAGTGTCACGTGACTTGCAAGATCTTCGACAGCGTGCGACATGTGAAAGGTTTTAAAAAGTGCGGAAAGGGTTAAAAAACACTGTAACTGTCTGGACTTTGGGTCCATTACTTCCAGCATATTAAAGCGTTGTTTAAAATCAGTCGTTCGAGCCTGGCAACATTTTGGCGACCCTGCCAGGACGAACAGTTCGTGTGGAAATTCGTACTCACAAACAGATGTGATCGAAGGAAATTACCGATCGACTGCTTGGCTTGTGTATCATCTTCTGCGGTGGAATATATGTTGTTGATTCTGTGACAAGAAAGGTCTTACGGTAGTCGAAACAACCAAGATGAATTCAGAGCTCGAAGAACTGCAACTTCAAGTTGAGGGAGGAATTTGTAAGCTCCCGATATCGGAAATGGAGCAGCTAGCGGAGCACGTGGGCCTGGAATCAAAGGAATACAAAGGGAAAAGTAAGCTTGCCATGTCACGGATCGTTCGTTCGAAAGTCGAGGATGAGCTTGGAAAAGCCGAAGACAAGACTGAGTATCTCACAGCACTCCAGAATTTTATCTCTGGGACACCACCACCACTCGAAGAATCATCGAACAGCGAGGATCAAAACAAAGAATCTGTGAAAGCACTAATGACGGAATACGAAACTCTACGTAAACAATTCGAGGCAATGATGGCGTCTTGCAAAAAGAAAATGGAGGAGGCATCGGTAAAATTCGAGGACGAAAAATCGACTACGCCAGCTGCTACAACTTCAAAGCCAAAGGAAGGTAGCGTAGTGTCACTTGTAGATGTAAAAACTGCTCTTCGGAGAGATTTTAAGATTGTGGGTGTCATTGGAGGGGAGGAACAGAAGGACCGGTTGTCCTTCGTCAGTTTAATCCGCCAGATTGATACAGGGCTAGAGAAAGCATACAAAGAACGGGAGATTATTGACGGTGTTATCCGTGCTATCAGCCCCAGCTTAAAGTTAAGGTCATACTTAGAAACCATGAAGGAACTTACCCTGCCGAAATTAAGACAAATGTTACGAGCCCATTACAAACAGAAGTCGGGCACGGAACTATACCAAGAACTAACAACCATGTGCCAGTCACCAAAGGAAACTCCCCAAGACTTCTTAATCCGGGCCCTCGATATAAGGCAGCAGGTTCTCTTTGCATCCCAAGCTGGGAGTGGCACCGTGAAATATGAGCCTTCTCTAGTACACCCCCTGTTTCTACATGCTGTAGAGACCGGCCTGCAGGATGAAGCTGTCCGAAACAAACTGCGACCGTTCCTCCAGAAAGCAGAGATTACTGACGAAGAATTGATGGAACAAATCAATGTGGCTGTTTCTGAAGAGTCTGAGCGGAGGGGAAAGCTTGGCGCTTCTAACTACAAGAACCTAAGGGTGAATGTCTTGGAAGCAGACGGTGAAAAGGTCGAACCAGGAGGTCAGCGACAATCAAAGAAGGCTGGCACGAAAAAGGAACCGAAACCTGACAGGCCTGACAGACTCATGGTCACCTTGGAGGCTGTTCAATCGGATATTGCTGTCCTGAAAGAAGCTCTAGGTTCCCAGAATGCACCTGAAAGAGAAAGGGCTCGATACACGTATCCATATGACAACCAAAGGAGACGGCTCTGCGAAGCGTGCCAAAGGGCCAACCAATATTTCTGTGACCACTGTTTCGCTGTGGTTCAAGTGACCATTTTGCACGAGGGTGTCGTAGGGGTGTGGCAGGAACTACCCATCAGGGAAACCGAAGGAGGCTGCAACCGCTGGACAGGGAGTAGCTGTTGACCACATAAAACAGTCCCATGTTTGTGTCAACTGTGGCAGGAAAGGGGTATCTCTAAAGCAATGTTCTTGTTGTCATTCGGTGCACTACTGTTCTCAGAAATGCCAAAGAGCCCACTGGAGGAGGCATAAGCAACTGTGTAGCGCCATCAAGTATCTATCAAACCAGGAGAGAAAGGATGTTACTGGCGATGGCATGTATGTTAGTCACCTAACACCGAATCAACACGCCAAAGTAGTTAAATTGGTGGGAAAGAGATGTATGGTTCAGTGTGTTATGAACAATGTTCAGACTGAAGCTCTGTGGGACACCGGTGCCCAAGTTTCTATTGTTTCTAAGGATTGGGTTGCTCAGAACCTGCCCACAGCTGAGAGACGCCAAATTAACGAACTGTTAGATAAAGGACTTGATCTGAAAGCTGCCAATGGTAGTGAAATCCCATATGAAGGCTGGATTGAAGTTTCATTCAAACTTGCGACCTCGGACGACAAACCTGGTATGTCAGTACCCTTCCTGATTTCTACGGATCCTTTGGACCACCCTATTGTCGGATACAATGTCATTGAAGAAATTGTTAAAAACCCGGATAGTCATTTTCGTAACAGCCATGAAGAGACACTACTCAGCGCCCTTAACTCTAGCCTTCCGAATGCAAAGCAAGAGAATGTTGAAGCTTTGATTAATCTCATTAGGACAACCACTCCAAGTGAACTGTGTAGCGTGAAAGTAACGAAAAGAGATGTGTTAGTTCAAGAATGAGACAATGGTAGTCACTTGCTCATGAATACTGGCCCAATCGAATCAAGATTTCCAGTATTGTTCGAACCAGATGTTGAGTCACCTTGGCCATCAGGGCTTGAAGTCCCAGAAACATTAGTAACGCTCAGAGGTGGCGCTTCATCACGAGTTGGCATTCAAGTGAGAAATATCACAGACCATGACATCATCTTGAAAAACAGGACGGTATTAGGCAAACTTGAACTAATTAAATCCGTAACACCGCTTGAAGTACGGAAGAGAGAGGAGGAGGAAAGTTCAGCAGACTGTGTTCTTCATGCAGACAAGTTATTGGCAGAGGATGAACAGCAGAGAAGGAAACCTCAAGCGCCTGTTATGCAGGGATGTCAAAGTGAGACTAGTAATCCACTTCCAGATGTGGATTTAGGAGACCTGTCAAGAGATCAGAAAACTGTAGTATTGAACATGTTAAGAGAGGAAGCAGACTCCTTTTTCGAAAAATGATGAGGATGTAGGGTGCGCAGAAGGTCTACAGCTCAATATTAACTTGTCAGACAGTCGTCCAGTTCAGAAGAACTACACAGCAGTGCCAAAGCCCTTGTACCCAGAAGTTAAACAATATGTTGAAGATTTACTCAATCGTGGATGGGTGCGGAAGTCTCGCTCGCATACTCGTCACCAGTGGTATGTGTTAGGAAAAAGGATGGTTCTCTGCGACTATGTGTGGACTTTCGTGAGCTGAACAAGAGAACAGAACCCGACCGACACCCACTTCCACGTGTACAAACGACGATCGAGAATTTGGGGGGAACAAGTGGTTTTCTTTTTAGACCAAGGCAAGGCTTACCACCAGGGATTTGTTAACCCTCAGTGCCAACATATGACTGCATTTGTGACGCCTTGGGGTCTTTACGAGTGGGTTCGGATCCCGCTCGGTCTCAGGAACGCTCCGCAGAATTTCAAAGATACATGGAAAACTGTCTAGACGGACTCAGGGATAATATTTGTGTGCCTTACCTGGACGATGTGATTGTCTTTAGTAAGACTTTCGACGAACACGTAGAAAATTTACGAACAGTTTTATGGAGGCTGCGTTCACATGGAATAAAGCTTAAAGCCAAAAAAGTGCAAGTTGTTTCAGAGAGAGGTTAATTATCTGGGCAGAGTTGTATCGGCAGATGGATATCGAGTTGATCCTTCAAACACCAAAGCGGTTCTTGCACTGAAAGAAACTAGTCCGAAAACGGTTGGAGACGTCCGGAAACTCTTGGGCTTGTTGGGATACTACCGCAGGTACATCCAGGACTTCTCGAGGGTTGCGCAACCGCTATTCAAACTCCTGAAAACACCAGAGATTAATGGTAAGAGACCTCCGATGGAAACAGCAAGGCGTGGTCAGAAAGGACATGGGACACAAGCACAATCTAACCGTACCATCTATTGGACACAGGAACACCAAGGGGCGTTGGAGAGACTTTTGGACTGTCTTGTTAACCCGCCAATCCTCGGATACCCGGATTATAGCCTTCCATTTGTTCTGCACACAGATGCGTCGAACGACGGCCTTGGCGCAGTACTTTATCAGCGCCAGTCTGGAATCATGCGTGTAATAGGATACGGATCCAGGACCCTTACCCCGCTGAGAGAAACTACCACCTTCACTCTGGGAAATTGGGTTTCTAGCTTTGAAATGGGCCATCTGTGAACAGTTTAGGGATTACTTGTACTATGCGCCATCATTTACAGTTTACACTGACAACAACCCCTAACCTATGTTTTGTCCACTGCTAAACTTAATTCAACCGGACATCGCTGGGTGTCAGAACTTGCAGATTACAATTTTGATATCAAGTATCGCCCGGTAAAGTGAACAAGGATGCTGACACATTGTCAAGATTTCCTTTGGATATCAACCAGTACATCCCTAGCTGTACCCAGGAGACATCGCAGGAGGTGATCAGTGCGACATTGTCTGGTATAATGGCACTACAGGATGGTGGGACGGTTTGGATAACCGCGGTCAGTGACAGGACTGAGATGTTGAACTTTGATTCTGATCTTCTCGATTTCAGTAAATATGACAAGATTGAGCCCCGCGTTATTCTGGAAAGTCAGCAGCGAGATCCAAGTATTGGCAGAGTGTTGGCATACAAATTAAATGGACACAAACCGCAGCCCATGAAATTTGTAAAGAACGCCTGTACACCAGAAAGTTGCTGCGTGAATGGCCAAAGTTGGAGGTTGGAAAAGATGGGCTTTTGAGAAGAAAGTGTGGAGAGTATTTACAGTTGGTGCTGCCGAAGACATTCCACTCATTGGTGTACAAGGAGTTACATCAGGAGATGGGTCATTTGGGGGTGGAGAGAGTGCTACAATTAGCTCGTGAGAGGTTTTACTGGCCCTACATGCAGCGTGACATTACTCACTTTGTGACTCGGGTGTGCAGTTGTCTGAAGCAAAGGCGACCAAATATCTCCACTCGTGCTCCTCTCCAACCTATTGTCACAAATGCACCGTTTGAGTTAATATCCATAGACTATCTGCACCTGGAAAGAAGCTCTGGCGGTCACGAATACATTCTGGTCATCGTTGATCACTTCACACGATTCGCACAAGCGTACCCCACAAGAAACAAGTCAGCCCGCACAGCAGCCGACAAGCTGTACAATGATTTTATGCTCCGTTTTGGATTTCCGGCCAGTATTCTGCATGACCAGGGAAGGGAGTTCGAGAACAAGTTGTTTCACCAGCTACAGCAGTTGTGCGGGATGATCCGTTCAAGGACTACGCCCTACCACCCTCAATGCAACGGTAAAGCAGAAAGATTTAACCAAACATTACTGTCCATGCTAAGAACTCTACCCGAAGAAAAGAAGAGTAAGTGGCATGAGCTTTTGCCCAAGGTTGTTCACGCATACAATTGCACCAAGAGTGAATCCACTGGGTATTCACCATTTTACCTCCTCTTTGGACGCTCGCCACGTTTGCCAATTGATATCATCCTGGGTACATCACCGGGGTCAATGACAGGAAACCACATCACCTATGTCAAAAGATGGAAGTCTGCTATGACGGAGGCGTACTCATTAGCTGCAGAGAAATCCCGCATGTCATCCGCTAAGGGGAAACAGTTTCAAGATCGCAAGGCACACTATACAAACCTGGAACCTGGGGACAGAGTTCTCGTCCGAAACCTGTCAGAGCGTGGGGACCTGGTAAATTGCGGGCTTACTGGGAAGATCAGATTCACGTTGTGGTAGAACGAAAAGGAGACAATCCTGTCTACGAAGTGAAGACTGAAGGAGGAAACAAAAAGCATCGCGTTCTGCACAGAAACCTGCTACTTCCATGTGACTTTCTACCGGTAACTCCAGAGCAAGAACATCGAACAATTAACAAGACTCGGCGTGGATCTAGGATCGCAAGGCAAACGCGCGATGCATTACAGACAAGTACGGATAGCGAGACGGATGATGCTGAACACCTAACACATTCACCAATGGAACTTGACGGATTGTCTTGTCCGGTGGAAAGAGTCAACCCTGAAACCAGCACTGCCTCTGGTCAACATGTACCAATAGACACTGATGTCCAGACCCCGTCTAATGAGCTGCAGTCTGTAAATGACCATGAACCAACAGATGTGAATCACTCTGACTCTGCTGAGAATCAAGACACCTCACATGTGTCAGTGCCAGAGGATCCGGGTCCTGGGCAAGAGCCAGAATTTCTATCAGAACCGGAATTGGAACAACCGGAACCAGACCTGGCACAAAGTCGTCCCCAGCGTGTCCGTCATCCGCCAAGAATGTTTACATACGATACACTGGGAGAGCCAACTATCTGTGGTGTCCGGGCCGCTTCAAACCCTGTCCCTGGATGGTGCTGTCAACCATTCCAATCACCCTGGATACAACCTATGTTTCAGTACCCTGCACAACCATATTATGGTCCTCTGGCATACCCACCCTGTATACAGATGATTCATGTGTAATTTGCATGCACATATTGACTGCCCAAGACTCTCATTGACGTTGTTGTTGAACTGATTATTTAATTACCTGCCTTTTGTGCTGTTGTGCCTTTCAAACAGGCGAATGAATGATATTGTTATCATGGAACTATGACTGTGCCTAGTCATTTATTGAATCACGTGCGAACAGGGATAGGTTTTGATTACGTATTTGCATAAGTTTTGTTGTATAAAATACCGGAGTAATGCATGAGATTTGTTGGGAGGCGAGAACTCCACTGAACATTGTAACAAATGTCACAGAGGACATTTTTAAAGTCGGGGAGTGTGTGAGATGACGTAATTGCAATTTAGAGAACTCGTGACCAGTGTCACGTGACTTGCAAGATCTTCGACAGCGTGCGACATGTGAAAGGTTTTAAAAAGTGCGGAAAGGGTTAAAAAACACTGTAACTGTCTGGACTTTGGGTCCATTACTTCCAGCATATTAAAGCGTTGTTTAAAATCAGTCGTTCGAGCCTGGCAACACGCAGTTACAGTGAATGCGATAATCTAGCAAACGAAAGACAAATTACGTGCAAAAAACTAAAAGTTAATCAGCTGTACACGGTCTACTGCGGGCGAAATTCTTTTATGGCAGCCTTTTTCAGGCTACTCGGTAAGTTTAAATCCCGTCAAGCTAGGTCAAGATGAAGGTCATTGCTCATGCTAGTAACGTCCTGTTAGTGACACAAGCCCGATTGAAACTATTTTTTTGTATATGAGAACTGAAAAGTTAGCACCATGGATAGTATCCATGTAAGCACTGAATTTTTTTTTTCGTCAATAATGCAGATGATGATGTCATTCAAGATTTTCTATGGATGGACAGTTGTGCAATAATATCAGACAAGGTAAATGTTAAAACACCGCTTCAATGCGCCTCCTGGCGCAAAGAGATGATGATGTTATTAAGCTTTGACTATTTCTTTTTTTCCTGCAGTATCTGCTGGCCATGGTTTACGCATACTTCAGGAGGGCAGAACTAGGAAGGCGTGAATACAATAGAATGAATTTTTTCATAGCTCTGTAAGCACAAAATTTAGTGTTCAAAAGTCAAGGAATTGAGAAATGTTTTCTTAACAACTGCTTCACTTTCCAGGTACCTTGCAAACGATATGGAAGAGGACGAAGAAGAAGAAAAATACGACATCTTTCCTTGGGCCTTGGGGAAAAACTGGCGTGAACTCTATCCCAATTTCCTTCGAAAAAGAGACGTGTTTTGGAAACGGATCGACTACCGTGCTGTTGTCAGCAAACTGACCTGTGATGAGGTAATATACTACATTAACACTAAATTTTTTCGTCCAGGTTAAATCATTCACTGACCTTCATCCAAACTTATTTTAACAAAAGCGCTATAAGCTTTATACCTTAACTTTCATAATAAACAATAAATGAATGAGGCTGAGTTTCTTATGAAGAATTATGGAGATCGAGGAGAGTGTTATCCGTCGAAAGCCGAATTCAATAATTGTTTTATTATTTATTCAAAATAATTCCTAGTTTTATATCATAGCTAAAACATGCTTACCTCTATCGATGTTAAGTTCATCTTCGATAGTGCACGTTTAGGGTTGTTCAGCTCCACAAATATTCTCCAAATAGCAGATCGATGTCGCCCTTCGAGTTGTACTTCTTGCTGTTCTTACCATGTTTTAAGTCATTATTTCGCCTAGTTCTTACTCTTGAAACGAGTGAAATGTCCGCCATTTTTGTTTTCGCAAACAAAACAACTCAAACTCGTCCCCACGTCTTCTCAGTTAACGATGCATTAATCTGCAAGGAAGCTGCACTTTTGACGTCATCGGTCAGGAGCCGAATCGGCTCCTGCGGCGGTTGATTAATTGCAAAATTCTTCCAGATTTGGTTCTCAGTAGCTGGTTATGGTGAATTATGCGGGTGCTTTTAGCCAATCAGAATCGGGGAAATATTTTGAATGAATAATGATAACTAATCCTGGATGGAGAACAATAGTACATTTTAATTCCGCAATAAAACGAAGAAGGATTTTTTCTTTTCAGATCATGTCTATTGTATCAGACCATCCAGTCTGGCAGCGTACAAGACGGGGTCACCATGGTGGAGCATGGAGAGACTATATGAGAGACACAAACAGCTTATGTACAAGTCCAAGAGGCCCTGGAACCGCACCTTTTCAGTGTTCCAAATGTGATGATGACCCTCCAAGTGAAGAAGATTCGCCCATGATGACCTCTGACTACTGTAGCTGTTCCTCGCAGTCTTCTTCGGAAGATGAGAATTTTAATACGAGCTTTAATATGCAAGGTATACAAATAAATATACCAGAGTTAAAATTAGCGGGACCTATCCCTACTCAACTCCTTTTCCTAAATTTTGCTAATGTTCATATTTTTTCTGTTGCAGATTTGAAGAATGTGCTCCAGAAAAGTAGTAACAAAAGGCTATGCTTGAGAACAGGAAATAAAGTTTGGAACCATGATGTACAAAATTGAACACCAGAAAAATGAGAATTAATTTAAATAACCCCAATTTTTCATTTATGAAGATAAAATATTTATCCGTGTTCATGGTATATGATTTTGATCTTAGCAGCTCTAAATGCATAGTGCTTAGGCCACAGTTCTAAAGTTTCAATGCCTTGCGCCACATTGTTAATTCATGTAGCTGAAATTTGAAAGCCCCTTTATTGAAAAATGCATGCTGGCATGTATGTCCATATTTATTATTAATCGATTCAATGGTCTATTTATATCTAGCAAAGAGGTTTTAAAATCCTTTAAAAAGGCAGTCTTGGACACAATTATTCCAGTACTGATCTTTAGATAATAAATTTGTTGAATGACAAGAGCTTACTGATATGGCTGGCTGCAAATTAAAGTTAGTTTTGCAGGAGTGGGTTTTGATTTTCGCATGTGGACAGAAACAGTAGAAAGATCCCTCTTTTACTCCCTCCATCTACCCTTTTCGAATTTTTACTACCTCATTGATCATCTCTTTCAAATCAAAGAAAGACTATCGTCAACTCTTGGGTACGTTGTTTAGAAAATAATCAATTAGTTATCACCTCTGGTTTTCCCACAGTAAATTTTAGGAAATGATAGAAATTCAAATTATAAATATACTATCCTGACTATCCTTGTTCTGGAAACACAATACTTTTCTTGCTGTTTATTGCACTTTATTAACAGTTATTTAGGTATATATTTAAAAACAAAACAAAAAAAAACAAAAGCAAAGCAAATAAGCAAACAAAGCAAAACAAAAAATAAAAAAAGAAGGAAGATGAAAAAAAGAAGGTTCTTAGCAGAATTTGAATCCAGTACCGTCGGGTTTATCCGACTTCACATGGCCATTACGCCATTGAGGACGATCACATGATTTCGTGAAAGGTCTCAATTTTAATGCCTTTTCCATGGAACTTCCGCCAGCAAACGATCGAACCATACTTAACCAATTGAAAAAACGACTCGAAGCAATCGAATGAAATTAAGGCTAATTGAAACCAGGCTACTGACAGTAAAAAACAATGTAAACGCGTTTCATGGCAATGAAAGAAAAGATGCGATACAAAGCCGACACAACTCCTCCGCGAAATAGGACGAAAAACATAACCTTATGTTTTCTTATCTCGATTTCCGCTGTCATTTTAAAGCTAATGCTCAAAATAGATAGATCTTCGCGCTCTCGAGTTCGGACCCGATTAATTACGAAGTGCGTCTACTACGAGTGAGCGAGTGACTCATTTGCATATCCCTGTCCCTGCAATAACTCGTGGTACGCTCGCGCGTACCCACGAGTTAAAAAGGATCTGTCAATAGCCGTTTTATTGCGTTCGAGCCGGTACGAGAACGCAACCCCTAATTTGTGTTGGGTGTTCTGTGCCTTGTTGAGTGTCCTCTGCAATTAATAACGGAGATTATTTTGAGATTTTCGTCGTCGTCGACACACGTTTGCCTCACTTTGAAGTGCTTGCTTACGTTTTGTCTCACTTTGACGCGCTAACTCACAGAATCTTCCCAAAGCTAAAATCTGGCGAATGAATTTTGAAAAAAACTATCTTCTGAAAAAGGCCTTAGCCTGCGTACAGACGCCATCCTAGCTCCGCTCAGAAAAAACGGGGAGAGAGTCGTCGAAGCCTCCCCGCAGACGTCCTTTGCATTGGGGTTCGTTCGTCACGCATTCATTTCTCGCCCCGTTTGCGGGAAGGAAAAACCTCTGCAGCCCAGTTGTTCGAACGCGGGTTAACGCTAACACGGGGTTAAATTTTAACCCAGGGCCGGGTTGTTCAAAGCTTGGTTAAGATAACGCAGGATTAGTGCCAAATTTGAATTCAGATATGAAAGCTGAAAGAGAATATTCAGTTTAATCCTTTTTGTCTACAATTTAACGACTGGATGCTCCAAAAACTATGGAAAAGTTTATCCAAGAAAATTCTTTTAAACAAAAGAGAGAGGAACCCAGGTTAAAATTTAACCCCGGGTTAACGCTAATCTAGCCTCCCCGCAGACGTCCTTTGGGGTTAATCGGCCTTCGAACAACTGGGCCCAGGTTTCTTTTTCTTTTTATCAAAAGCACTCTCTCGGATAATTTTCTCCATTTTTTTAGCATACCCAATCATCAAATGGTAGGCAAAGAGAATTGAACTGAATTGGCTTTTTAAGCTCTCATATCTGAGTTCAAAATTTGAACTAACCCTGGGTTATCTTAACCCAGCTTCGTTCGAACAACCCGGACCTGGTAGCCAGGGTACGGGGAGGCTAGAGTCGTCGGTGAATCGCCGTCGTTATGATTTTTCCTATGTAGGGAAGGTAAAAGACAGACTTTCGAAATCTGAAAAGAATGGAAATGTTATCTAGAAATGTTTATCATTTCTCAGAACCTTTGGGTACGTACGGGTACTGGATTTCCCATGATTTCCGTCCGACTTCCGGCAGCTCTCCTCTCCTGAAAGTCTCCCTCGCAGCAGATGTCACGCAACGTTATGAGGGTTTGGTGAAAGATTTCCTTTTTCCTTTTTTGTGCATTTTATTACTTGTAAACTGTTTAAAATTGTTGTTGTTAAAAACAAACAAACAAACAAAACCAATAAACGGCTGCGAGCCGATTGCCGTCTTATCGACAGCCTGCAATAAACAGCGGTTAACACCCATCGAAGAATAACATTAACCAATATGGCGCCTGGTCGTTTGTCAGTGCGCGCCAACAGAGTAAGACTAGGCTAGTGGTTTACTAGAGATGTCCTTAGATGGGAAATCACAAAGCTGACTTGCGATTATCGTCAAGAAATGAATGTGTTTGATCCCTTTAACTTTTTTGTCACCGCTACATTTTTCGTACTAATGCACGTTTCCACGGGGATGTTTTTCGAATCGTCGCTGCAGACCTCCTATTCTCCAAACTACGACTTTTATCACAATCTTTCGAAGATGAACGAATGTCTTCGTCATATTTCTACACAGTATTCGGAATTTGTGGACGTGGAAATGCGGTACCGTTCTCGTTATGGATTATCTCAATACGTTCTTCACATCACGAATTTCACACTTGATACAGTAGACAAAAAAACAGACAAACGATCAAAGGTTCTATTGTCTTACGGGGAACATGCGGCTGAGTTTTTCCCAGTGGAAAGTATGTTTTATTTCCTTAGGAATATAACACAGGGATACGATATGCGCCCTGGAACACCAGAAGGAAATTTCACAAGATTCGTACTGAACAATTTTGATTTGTACCTCTTGACCATTGTGAACCCTGATGGAAGAATGGTGGTTGAAACTACTAGAAATTATTGCTGGATGGGTACCGCCAATAACGTTGATCTTAATTCTGATTTAAAAAATGGCGTTGGAAATGGAAATACAATGAGAACTATAGCAGGTGTGTTAAAATTGTTAGTTTAAAAATAGGTGACATTAATAGTTTAAGTATCATTCAATGCAAATTTTACTTCCTTTTCATTGGTGGAGAAGCCCACCACGTGACTTGCAAAAAACTGTCCACAAATAATGGCCTGCCCATGCTCAATGTTGTACAACTGTGTTTGGCTGCAAATAATATTCTGCTCATGCGTTAATGAAACCACATCTTTTCTCCTTCTTGTGATTGCTTTTACATAAAGATGGCAAAATGGCAGATGTTCATCAGACAACAAACTCGGTGACCGAATGATAAAACAATTTATTATTCAACTCGGTTATCGCAAAATATTGTGATTTATTATACGTTGTACTCAATATCTGTTTTCTCATTGGCTAAGAACCTACAGTTAACTTTGGTAATCAGTGCAACTTACAGATTAGTTAGTTATCTGCTAGCAGGTAACTGACTAATCTGTAGGTTGTGCGGGCAATGCATGATTTCCAAGAGTAATGTCAAACTGTTTTTCATGCCATGCTATGTTTCTCCCTATTTTTATCATTACAGTGTATAATAAAAGTATTATTAGATCTGCGTTTTGTGATATCCAGAATAATCAAGTTCTTGGTAAGTGTTTCAGCCTCGGCCTTCGGCTCAGCTGATAATAGTTACCTCAACCTTGATTATTCCAGATATCACAAAAGCCTCATTCAATAATTGTTTATTGTCAGTGTCTCGCAGATCAATATTTGCCTGCTTGCCACTGACAACTCAACCTCGTCCAATAATAATATTGTTAATTCTTATTTATTATATAGACACGAGTGTTTTACTGGAAAATATACCACTCGTAAAATTCGTAAAAACTACATCCGGGACCCGAGTGGTTTATTCTCCATAATCTCACACGCGAGATTGTCGATGACGTAATTGACGTAATCGTGGCAAAAACAATATTTTACTCAATCGCTGCGCTCGTTCGTAAAATATTGTTTTGCCACTCGAAAATAAAATTCATATCTTCGCGCCATCGTGTAATATCCTCTATATAACCATCAACTAAATACCGTGTCTGCTTTCACAAGAAAATGTGATATCTTGACATGCAAAAATAACATGTTGTTTTCACACTTGAAAAGGTCGCTGTTGCTATGGCTACATATCATAACGCACCTTTTATGGCAAAAAAACTATTCAATGAAACAAAAAAGAAACTATTCAACTGATCATCAATGGCACGCTGTATGTCGTTAACAAGACAAATCAGTGTAGTCTCAGTGTTATGATATTTCGTGTAGGCTGATTGCATCTTAGCATAAAGACTGTTGTCATGGAGATATTCGCAATTTGAGAGGCGATGATTCTTTCAAGTGTCTTTGACGGGATCAATGAAAGATTGGAAATAGGCCTGTCGTTACTAAGCTCGTTGGAGTCAAGAGTATCTTTCTTGATAAGAGGACGGACAATTTATTGACTTCTAAAATCAGAAGGAAAAAAGCCTTTCTCTACAGGCAAGTTCATAATACTGGTTATGGTTGGTAGAAGAACATCGATGCAGTTCTTTAGAAGCCATGTCAGAATTTTTTTTTCAGTTTTTAATAGTGCTGAGTTATTTCTTGATTTATTTATACTCTAAAATATTTATTATTGAAATCCTTAAAATTGGTGGATTAGAACTGAACCAAACATTGTTTGTCTGGACCGTTATAAACACAACAGGACCTTTTTAAAAAAATTAATGTGAATATCAGTGAAATCCAAGCTGATGCCATGATTTTGTTAAAAAATAAGAATAAAACATTTCAATTTTCACGCAATATTATGCATATTTTATTTTATCATCATGTGCAAATCTGTGGTTTGGTCAGTGGTAATGTGACCAAGTTTCTGTGGTTGCTCTTTTTCTTTCCTTTAAAGCAGATATGGCATGATAAAAAAGGGCCACGGACAAGATGTCACCATCTTGACTTAACAGTGTCAATCAATAAATAAATTATAGATTTTCTTTTCTCAGAATTAATCCTAGCCTGAATTTCAGATGTTCACTTCAAGTCGTTTTTACTCCCTCAGTTATAAGTTGCTGAGAGAAGAAAATGACTGGAAGTAATTCAATCCTTTATTGCATTTTTCTGTTTTGTCTAATTTTTTTCTCTGGTGTTAATTAATCTATACCTTACATAAGTCATTATGTAACAGAGTTTTATACAGCTTTTCAGTGACTGGACATAAATGACTGGAGTGCAAAATTAAGTATAGTTAGGTGTAGTGTTTTCTCTCTGAAATTAGTATTGATAGCACCAGTGACAATTACAATGCAATTATAATAATTATTGGATCTCCCATAAATGATCAACCAAAATGCTAAGGTTTTAATGGATACCAGTAGTTTCTTGTGAGAGTTAAACCCCATTGGATCTCCTCTTGCAGTAGGTCTGGACAAGTGTACTTATTAGAAGAGAATTTGTTGCAGAAAGTTGTCATGGTTGCTTTTGACAGGTTCCAGCTATACTGTATAGGCATTTGATTGGCAAATTTTAGTGTTTGGGATAGGTTGTCCCTTATGGGACGTGGTCACTCATGGAGATTTGATTTTTATTGTCATCATCATCATCATCATCATCATCATCATTCCTAATCATACCAAGTGTCACTTATGCAGGGGGATCCAGGGAATTGGGAAACAAAGGGCTGAAGCTTTTGTGTTGAGATCATCAAAAGGATGTAAATGTAAATGCAAAGATCTGAGTCACAAATTGGGAAGGGGGAGGGGTTATGCAACAGCCTCAGTTCATTGCTAAGCCTTAATCCGGCACTGAGTCTACAAATATTGGTGTTCAATAAATCTACTCCTTTATGTACATTTACCTTAAATTAAGTTCATTGTTCTTCCTTACTATTGTTAATGTTAATTTTAATGAGTTTTTCCTTTCCGTTTCAGAACCAGAATGTAAAGTTATAAGGGATTTAACTTCTAGACATCATTTTGATGCCTTTATTTCATTTCATTCAGGACAGAGGAAAATACTTTTTCCAAATGGTATACTTCACAACTTACATGAAATTCATTTTAATGTTTTAACTATTTTAATAAGTTATTAAGCAAAATCATATAGATTGAACTTTCTTGGTGGGTTTTCTTACGCCTTAAAGTCATGAAAGTTCATTCTGTAGGTTTATAGAGTGTCTTTTAGTCAAAAAAGTTTAGTCCTTCTGTTTTTTTTTTTACAAAACTGTTACCCTGTTTAAGGGCTTATTAAACTGGAAATGATATTATAGTTTTTTCTTATTACAGCTGTGTTAACATACCTGTCATTGTATAGACTGAATTATACCAGCTGTAATCATATTCAGCTTATATTATTTTGTAATATCATTAGAAACTATTCTGCGATCATAGTCTAAAGTGATGGAAAGCCTACTACTTTTCCTCTTTCCTTTACCTCTTTTTTTTTCTTCTTTTTCGACCCACCTCCTGGCCCAGTGTTGTACAAAACATTGCATTGGGGGACCGGGTTGGGGGGGGAGGGGGTGGGCGATGTAAGAGGGTTAGTAAAAGGGAAAACCATCTTTTTTAAACATAAAAATATTTAACTGCATCATATTAAAAGAAGCGATTATGCTTTTAAGCTGTACAACTTTTCCAAATAAATACTTTTGTAAGGGATTGTAGTGTACCCAACTAACATGAAGTTTTGATATGCAGGAACAAGTGCTAAAGGTTCTGAAAGCAGCAGTGTATATTACTTGGCATCCTTAATTTCATCCTCTATGACATCACGATATACTCTTGTTCCTTCTAAAATTACTGATGGTGGCAGGAGTATCTTTGCCTATGTGGCATTAGAGAAAAAGGTATTTAATATCACAGTACCATTAAGTATCTATGAATTATCAGGATAACAGATTTGACCTCTAGAAACTACATATGCAAAAATTAATTTCTTTATGATGGCCGTGATCAGTTCATAGTTTGATGTTTCTGTGGTAGTGGTGGCACAAAATAGCAGCATATTTATCTGCTAGCCTGTTGAACTTACATCCTGTTGAAGAGCAGGGCATGCTTTCATAAATTTTTGGTCTTTTTTGTTAGATTTCATTTACATACAAAATATTCCTGTGGGAAAATGAGCAGAAGCCATCAGAGGTTATAGGAAAAGACTGTTTTAGTACATACAATCCTCAGAGTGCCAACTTGGAGGTAAGGAATAACTATTTTTAACCCATTGGTCCTTGCTAGCAGATCCTCCTTTTTTTACTTTGAGTATGGTTAAGAGGATCTGACCCCCTGCAGAAGTGAATGGTTAAAAGTTGTCTATAATGGGAAATGTTTAATATTGGTTGGGTCAAAGGCAGTACAACCGAGTGTGTATAATATGCGAGCCAGTGAGCCAGCGAGTCATGCGAGTCAACATGTGAGTCAACGTGCGAGCCATGCGAGTCAGCATAAAATAACTTTGTTTTTAACGTAAACTACTAAGTAACGTATCTATTCCAAAGGCAGGTCCTTTAAAATTCAACTTCAGAAAAATTCGCCAACATACAAATTGAACGAGGTGAAACAATAACAAAGGTTTGAGAATGTGTTAAACAAAGGTTTAAAGGTTCTTCCTCGGTCACGTTTAATGAGTCACACCATATGTGGTAAGCCACGTGACCAGAACATAAAAAACACTCTTTAAAACCCAAACGTCTTGCGTCTTTCATAATAAAACCAATGCCAATGGCTTAAGAATATCGCGATAAAAAATCTGACTTACTAACAAGTTTAACGTTCCTTCTCAAAATTCACAGTTATCGAAAAAGCTATGACGTCATTGAGGGGTATTTTCATTAGCGAGTTGTCGTCTGAACGCTAATTTCATGCTACAAATGTTAAAAAAGTTAAATTGCTTATGATTCGCCAAAAAATGGATTCTCTTCCCTTCGAACTTCTGTCTCGCATGGCTCACATGATGACTCGCATGACTCGCATGACTCACTGGCTCGACTCGCATGACTCGCTGGCTCGCTGGCTCGCAGTTTGTCAAGACCCGTACAACCAATGTGGATCCACTTAGGCATTTATGGAAAGTTGTTGTGAATGTGCTAAGATGTGTGACAAAATATAAATATTATTAATGACTTCTAAAATTTTTCATTGTAATATTGTTTATGTGGTTGGTGAGTGAATGCTGTTGAATTTTTTCCTTTTGTCCACTAGAAAACTTTAATGTGAATAAAATGTCCCAAAATTTGATTAGCAATAAAAATAGTGTTCAAGTTGCATGCCCTAAAATTGTAATTTTTTTCCCTGGAAAACTCCAAGAATTTTAATAACACCTATCTTCATTGACTTGCAGGCCAAATTAGAAGCTGTCCATCCATTGTATTCAACTCTTTTTAATTATTTGCATTATTGGAAAGAAATGCAGCTATACAAAACAGCAGAACAAGTGGCAAAAATTGAGGTAAAGTATACTTTGAAATCTTGAAAAGATTCGTTATTTCTAATGACGTGTTAATTTTTTCACTAGTGCAATAACAGATTCAGTGGATGGGGGGGGCATTAGATGCCTGTACATCCCCCTCTTACTTCCGATACCCTATCTTCACCTCATCTACAAGCTTTGTTTCTGAGGCAAACCCCCACTTCTAACATCATAGAGCTTTTTTACATGACGTCACAACAGCCATATTGGTATTCCAAAACAATGAAACAGCGAGCATGTTGGTGTTGCAAATCAATCTTATGGGAGTTGAACTCTTTTGTTATGTAAACACTTTTGTTTGTTCCAATAAATTTGCATAGATGCTAGCCACATCAGTGAAATGCCCTCTATCCTCCTCTTGTTTGTTTGATTGAAAACTGAGGAGGGGTAGGAAAACCCTCATACTCCAACCTCAGACTGAACCAAACTGTTATTTCTGTCTCTCTTTCAGGATACTAGGAGGTTATCATTTAGTACGGTATTATTCTTTTTATTGGGTTGTACTGGAGTATACTTGATCTCTCAGGCACGAGTTCCTCTTTCCTGGAAGATGTACTACAGACGACAGCGACGCATTGTCAGCCTGAGATCCTTAGGAACATTATTCACTTTAGTGTGTCTAGTTTGACTGCCTGGACGAGGGTGGTCCTGTTGGCAACACATTTTGATCTTATTTCCACCACACATATTTATATCATTATTCATTCAAAATATTTCTCTAATTCTATTCTGATTGGACTAAACCTCATGGCTAATTCTTGTTAACCAGCTAGTGTTGACCATCTTTGAAAGATGTTTGTGATATCTGATAAAATATCATCAGGGTAAGAAAAGCACAGTAATTGGGAAATGCTGAGGACTAGGTGATGTGTGCTCAACTGTTTTGGTAGTACTTCTAAGAAAAAAAGGTGAAAACTTCACATGTTTTGTGAAGAGGAAACAGTGGAACAACTGCCTACAAACATAGCAAGAACAACAAAAGTACAACTCATTGGATAACAACTGCTATAATGAAGAGTATCTGCTAGACGAAAGATCCCTTTTAAAAATCCTGAATATGCTAAGGAACAGGAAAGTGAAGATAGGAACTTTACAATGATCAACGTAAGCATGTTTTAGAGTATTTTATGGTATTTTATTTTGAATTAATAATAAACCAACTTTTGAATTCGGCTTTTGTATGTTCTGAAGATTTGTGCAGATTTTAGAGGGTGTTATCCACCTTGGCCTATAACACCCTCCTGGATTTGAATAATTCTACAGACCATACTCAGCTTTGTTCAATAATTATTGTTACGAGTCATCAGTCATCAACAAAGCTTTTCAGGACTTCTCTCACCCAGTTAATGTCATTAGCCATCCCTCAGCTCAGCCACAGATGTGTAGAGTTTTTTCTTACAGAAAAATTCAGTATTTATAAATCTTTCAAGAGGTTCAGTGCAAGATGGCAGTAGTCTTGATGACAGTCTAGAGCTGTTATTTAGGGCTGTAACCCATAACACCTGTTAAGACTGGTTCTCATATTTTTATGAAATAAAATAAAGAAGATAGTACGTGTGTTCTGATTGGTTAAAAACGTATGGTTTATTGTGCCAGTAAAGTCATAGAAAACTTAAAGTTATTTTATAAAAGCAATCAATCACACTTTCTATGGGTTTACTGACATGATAACCCACTTGGGATGTTGGGAAAACACTTGAAAAGCTTAATCACTCGCCTTCGGCTCATGATTTACAAGCTTTTCTCATGTTCTCCCAACATCTCGGGTGGGTTATCACGCTGGTAGACCCATAGAAAGTGTGGTCTATTGCTTAAATTTATGCTGCCAAGCTACTTGCAATTGTAGCTGTCAATACTGCCTCTGATACTACTCCAACATATGAAGACATGACACCACTGGCAACAAGAAACATTGCAAGTCTTTACCACAGGCATGCCTGCAAAGTTAAAGTAAAGACTGACATGGCCTCTGTTCTCAGTTCTCATATCAGATAATGGTATCGCAGGCAACCTCGCAAGCAGCTCAGCAGCATATGAGAACCAGGCTTAACAGCTAAAAATAACACTACATTTTTTTAGTGAGATGTTACATCAATCTTTGTTGAAACCAGCAGGTGGCTTGAGGTTTTATTTTTTTTTGGACTTTAACCGGTCTCTGTGGTGGCCAAAGACACAAATGGAGGAGAAAGAGAGCAGAACTGTCTGTTGTAATACTGTTGTGTTGCAAATTTTTGCCTTTTACTTGAAGGCATTAGTAAGTTAATGAACAAACTGTTAAACTTCAGAGATTTATTTAAAGAAATGAACGTTTTGTCAAAAATATGTAACTAGGGTATTATATAAAACTCAATGTGTAAATAAAAAAAATGTGGAAACTATCTGATTTGGAATAGTCACTGTGTTAAACAAAATTATATCAAACCCATGTAAAAAAGAAAACTTGTTTTTTAAACTGTTTTTGTATGTTGTGTTTGAATTTTGTTTCAAATTATTTAAACTTAAAACTGATTTTCATTGAGTTGGACTTTCACCCTTCAGTCCTCTGTTATCGTCTTCTTGGCTTGACTACTGTCTAAAAACTAAACTCACCGAAAGGCGACTTTAACTGGGCTGCCATGAAACCTTGTTGCCAACAACTGCATAACATAAAATCTCATCTGAGAGTGAAACATAAACTCATTGTACCCTTTTGCAAGACTGTTATAAATATTATGTACCGTAATGTTATCGCTTAGGTTGAGTAAAATATTTATACATTTCAAATTTCTTTCCTTTTAATTTGTTTTCTTTCTTCAACCCTTTAAAAAAGGTTTGTATTTGTGACCTTACCTGGCCACACTTCCCTGGGGCTAAACATTTACTGGTGCATTAATTACCTCCTCATATTTTCAGTGTACGTATTCAGAACACTTTCAGTAAAATATTGGTTAGGTACATATCAGTGTCATGTGTGAGTTAAATAAATTTAACATATAGTTTTTTTAATATTCCCATTTTCAATGGCTTTTAGTTTACTCCTCAATAAAGGTATGCGTGTTTTGAGCGAGCTGTGAACTTCAAAGTTTATTGAAACTCACTAATGCAAACATCAATTGTGCTTGTTGAATAGGCGGAGACACCGAAATTAGGCGAAGCATAATGCTCGATCATGCACAAATCAAATGATAGAGATACAAACAAAAGCACAAACTGCTGGCCACTTTGAGAACAACCAGACTGTAAGCTCCAGGGCCGGGTTGTTCAAAGCTGGGTTAAGATAACCCAGGGTTGGTGCGAAATTTGAATTCAGATTTGAAAGCTTAAAAAGTAAATTCAGTTTTATTCTTTCCGTCAACAGGTTAATGATTGCATACTCTTAAGAACAACAGAGAAAATTATCCGAGAAAATGCTTTTGAAGAAAGAAAAAGAAAGCCGGGTTAAATTTAACCTTGGGTTAAGCGCTAATCGGCCTTCAATCAACTGGGCCCAGGATGCTAAGTTACCAAACCTTGTACTAGTAAGTAACTTGCCTTAGTACTCGATTTCTCTCAAGTTGGTATTTGAAGCTCCCGATGAAGCTTTGCGTTCTCGAAGCTTTGCTACTTATTTGCCCTCTCGGCAAGAGGCTGAGATGAACTTGTGTGCGAAATTCTCAAAGTCCCTGGTTTTGTCAGACGAGTCTTTTTTATCCTATTATCTGAAATTTAGACCTCCAAAAAGGCATGTGTTGCATTAAACAAAAAAGTTGAAAAAGAAATCAATCTTTAAACAGACTCTAAAAAGATGGACAAACAATTTTGCTTATGGTCAAGCAACGCCCTCTAGGTTACTGGGTTAATGATAAATTGAAAGTGTTCATCTTTCTGTGGAGGAAAAACCCATTTTATGAACTGGGCGTGCCTTGAGGCAGCCCAGTTAAAAGTTAATGTCATAAGCTTCTGCCCCAATGTACTTTTAGACAGTGGAGAGAGCAGGGTGATTGGGGTTCTTCAGGACGCTGCTGCTTATGAAAAGACATTAAAATTTGGTATTATCATGCAAAAAGTGGCTTTCTATTATTCAACAATTTTTTTCCTACTTTCAGGAGAGATGGTGAGAGATCCTTTGAATAACATTGATAGAAGTAACGACAAAAAATTGCCTAATAATGACTACAGAGTCATTAAAAAAATAGCCTGTTTATTTTGAACCACGAAAAGCTAATTAATAATTAGTATGATTTAAGTCCAACTATGAAAAAATCTTGATATAGTTGGATTACATTAAGAGTAGCTAAAAACTGTCATATCCAGATACTGTTTTGAAAATACCATACTTTACATTATGCTTATAATAAATAATGAAAAAATTTTATCACCATCTCTGAATGCAACAATGTGATTGAAAGCTATGGCAGAGAGATGCAACCTCGTTCCCAGGGTTCTCCTAACTGTCCCTCTATCCCTCAGCAGGGATTGGTAGGAGAGAACCTTGTGAATGAGGTTGAGAGAGACATATTTTTTTTTATTGAGGCGTTGTCTTGAAGATTGTTGACACTCATTTCTCAAACTGTTCTCGAAAATGTTCACAGACAGGCTTATTACTCCTCAATGAACCGATGTTTGGCTCTTCTCTTCATGATTATTGGCTGTGATCTGCAGGGGCGTTTAGCTTTCTTGTCCACTGGAGTTTTGCTCTGTAAAGTATGACAAATACATTGATAAACACCTGAATGGAGTGGGCTGCCTTCTCAATTCCTAAACACCTCTTTAGCTTGTATGTTTTTTTTTCCCCTTATAAAGGTCTATGTATGTTTTGTTTACCCCGTGAAGGTCTCAGGGGAATTTTCCCCTTTTGTTTTATATATAAATAAGACATAATTTTCCCCTTTGATATATATGTTGTGGTAATGTATGATAATGAGTTTGAAACAAAAGAAAATAATATTTAAACCAAGGATAAAATTGAACCACAAAATGTATATATGTAAATACGATGAAATTTGAAAGAAGCAGTTCTCTAGAGTACTACCACATACCTCACATTGGGAAAACAAAAGATACATGCGAAAGAGGTCTATTCTTATACAAAGAAAGTGAAATTTTAGACTTCCCTTGCCCATTTCCTGCCTCAAACATTAAAATTTCCCCCATCCCTTCCTCATTTTCAAGTCTGAAAGAAAAACAAAATCAGGTCAAATTTGCTCAGGAGCCACAGGTTACCCACAATAGTAGAGACTCCTTAATACCAAGGGTAACATGAAGTTTCTGGGATGCTGGTCCATCAGCTAACCCAGCATTGTTTAACAGTACCCAATGATATACTTGGGTGGAGAGGAACCGTGATGCACCAGAAAAGTTCCTTGTCTAATGATACTGTCACCATAGAGACTGAAGCTCAAACAACTGACACTTAATCTCTCTCTCATAAAACCTGGTGTAACATGACTGGCATACTAGGCATAGTATGAGACTGGTATGGAAAACACTGAGTATGGATTACTCAGACTAGTATGGAAAACACAATTATCAATTTTAGCTTTGAATGTACCCTAAAATCCCACGTTAAAGCCCTGGCCCCGGTTCCTGAAAGGCCGATTTGGGCTACTCCAGGATTAAAAAATGTCTTCCATTTTTGTATTTACCTTCCTATGCATTCCTTAGATTAACATTCTATGTTATCATCACAGAATCTCGGAGTTAAAACACAACATTATTTTGTAAGCCCAAGGTAACATGTTCTTAGACAAGAACATTAAATATTAAAATTTGGGTTGATCCTGGATTAAACTTAACCATCTTTCGTGGAACTCACTTATACATTAGATGGGGTTGTAAACCAGAGGGATTAGGGGGGGGTTATATCAGGAATAATATCTTTGTTAGCAAATCAGACTGTCGGTCTGTTAGCAAATGGATGGGCTTATATCCGGGGGACTTAAGACCGGGGGGGGCTTTAACGTGGGATTTTACAGTATGTTGAATGCCATTTCTTATTTGGAATACATGGCAGCACATAGCATGAATTTCTGCCGAACAGGCTGAGCTCTTTGATTAAACTGGTTGAGTTTTTTTAAAGAATGAATTTGCATATCCTGCAAAATGAAAAACACTCAAACACTGGCCTCTGCTCTCCGGCGTATTGTGAGTCTATTGAATGAATGCATCCCTAAGTGGATTTTAGAGACGTCAACACCCGTCCCCCGGCTATTGGTTAATTGTAGGTGAAGTTTACTTTATGGAAGTGTACAAATTTACTGACCGGCCTTTTTTTCTTGGACTGTGTTTCATCAATTATTGGTTTCGTGCCACTGTTGGTAACGATTTTATCTGGTTTGACAGCGATCTCTTCAGATGAATCTTTACTCGTGGCGGTTTCACAAATTCCTGAAATAATAGAAAGAACGTAATGTATTAAAGAAATTCATTAACATCCAGTTCATCTAGGTTAGGAATAATGTATTTCGGTTTTACGCACCATTGTACAAAGACTGGCAGCGTTCGCGGGAAAATAGCGAGAATGATCACGCGCACTTTGATGGCGAATACTCCCTACCTTTATTTTTCTTCTCATCCTCTGTAATGACTTCTTCCAAAAGGGAAAGCAACTCTTCCTGCGGTTCTACATCGTCAGACAGGTTTTCCATTTGAAGGAGTTCTGGCACCAAAAAATCTTGGCCGCAACTGAAATCTGGTAAAGTTGCTTCTGGCCATTTGTCAACCTCAGGAGAAGCCAGCAGAGGTAAATGGTAGTCTTCGTACAGACTGAAAGAAAACGTTTCAGTGTGGTTTAAAAAATGTCAAAAATATTAAAGTCACCAAAGACAGCCGCAAAAAAATTAATTTCTCTGTACACAACAGACCAAAAATTGTCACCGAGGTGTTTTTCTCTACGTGACCTCTCAAGGTCAAATTTGGCGAGAAACCAAGCACAAGTTTTTAGAGATCCTTTACCTGTTCACTTCTTCTTCGTAGAGGTACTTACGAATGAGTTCATCTATGTAGTCGTCTTCAACTTTTTGATCCTCACTGGGAATGTTCGCTAAACCGTGTTTTTCTGCCGCCATTATTTTTGAAAGGATTCCTGTTGTTTGTCCTGTTGTTTACGATGTTGAGTGTAAACAAACAGTCACCTTTTACTTTCCCGCCACACTAAGCAGCTGCGCGCCATCCGTGACGTCACGGAAGGCGGGTATTTTGATTTGAAATGAACAACGTCAGTCAACCGTCAGAGACCGCGTGGAAGAGCTGCAAACTTCGGAGAATCTTCAGCATCCTTTTTGAAATTTTGTAAGCCTAATTTTAGGGCTTTTGTTATCGTTCTTTCATGGAAAACGAGGAAGCATTGCCTTCTTCAATGCAGTCACTCGTCAACTACACGGCACAGGACGCAGTCGATGCAAAACCTTCGCCAAAGAAGCCGGAGGTTTGCATGATGCGAGATGAAGCGTCAGCCGAAATTGTCCACGAAATGACCAATGATAATTCCATACACTGGCCAATGAACCTACAGATCAAACAGGAAGTGAACAAAGACGATGAGTGGTAAAGAAACTATTTGTACTTGCAGTTTCTTTAGGGGTGAAGCGTTTAGGATGTTAAAAACGTGTGCTTGAAGGTTCACTTCGTTGAAAGCCATCTTGTTTATTTCTTTTTCAGTCTTCCAAAAGGCTCAGGACTTGACCGTTGGTTTGAAAGCCAAGCATTATCTGAAGCTGTGAGTTCGGTCAATGTGGATCATTTGGACCCTCACAATCCTTCAATCCACGAAATACTAGAAGCAAGTCGCCTGAACAAAAATAAGGACATACTGCAACTCCTCGGTAAGATTTTTTGGAGACATAAGACAGAGCTAATTAACGAAAGCATGATACAAATAGATGAAAATTAAGCTTATGCTTACATTTATTCGGATACACTTGTTATCGTTATCATTTTAGTAAAATATATTACAGTTTTAATACACCACCTTAACCTTAGTGCGCTTTTTTTTCGGTGTAGTTAGTTTTTAATTTCGTTTTTTTGGTATTAAACCGTTCTTACTTCAGATGAAATTGGATCGGGTTTGGGCACCCACCATTGGCAAGAAGCAGGGAGCAGTGAATTTACCCCTCAGGGCACGTATAACTACTCGACTGTGGGTAGCACCGATGACTGCCAACATTTTAGGCCTTTCATGGAGCCGTCATCCTTCGTTATGCCTCCATTACCTGCCAGTTGTTGCAATCTTGTACAACCTGGAGTTTCCACAGTTTGGACAGGACAGAGTGTTGTAGAAACAGGACGAGGGCTGACAGTGGAGTGTTTACAAGCAGGAGAAGCATTTTCAGTGGAAAACACAAGTCAAGAGTTAAATGACTTAAACGATGAAATAGTAAGTATATTTTGAAGCTCGAGGTCAACTTTGTTAAACTGTTAACTGAAAGAGGTAAAAACCAGGACCTATAAATTAAAGCAGTTCTACATGAAACAGGAGCAGCAAACCTTATGATACAGTATGAAACGAAAAGTTCTGCAAGAGGACTAAAGAGACAATCACATCGTTATTTTTTTCTTTTACTCCTTTTGTGATTAGCGAAAACAAGAGGAAAAGAAGAGGAAACGAAGAGAGAGAAACAAGCAATGTAGCAGAGAATTCCGCAGAAAGCAAAAGGTGAGGGAACAACTTTTAATAAGAGGCAAGGCTGAAAAGGAACAGATGTTGGTGGAACGGCACAAGAGAATGGAGAAAACAACGAAAATACTTGTCAAAATTGCTACCAGTACTGGAGCTTGTGAAAAGGGGCGTGGCATCATCAATATGGTGTCTGGATTGATCAACAAAGAGAATATCCCATCTACAATGGTCTTGAAGAATAATTATTGTAATGTGGCTCACAGACGGGTCTGTAGCCAGACCAAAACACAAGGATTCTAAAACCTCTTGCTTCCTCTCCACCCTGTCTTTGTAACAATAAGGTAGTAGAAATTGTCCAAGATGACACTAAAACCTACCATTTCTTGTCAATGGCAAAATTCACCAAACTGATTTTCCCTTGGCCTTTTAATCTTTTTGGTGTGAAGGTCTTTAAGGCGGTCTTCTTTCATGTCTTCTTTTTACACCAATCACACTGAAAGTCACTTGCAAGTTGACATAAGCTTTTAATGGTTTGGCACCTAACATCAGCAGCTCTCAGAATCCTGTTTTTTATTTTGTTTTTGCTTTTGCCAAGGCGTGCACAATGCTGCACGGCAATATTGCTTTTTGATATGTTGCAAAATCTTTTATCTACATCTAAATAGGCAACCCCAGAAAGTTTGTAAGAAAGCTGACTTTTTCTAGCTCCCCCATTACATCAACTTGCACCCTGGTCTTTTTTGCCATGTCGTTAGCCAAACCAAGAGTGGTGTCTACATCGAAGTCTATTTAGCAGTTTTTCAAAGATCATCCACAAATATAATTTATTGAGCATCTGTCCTGGATTAACATTTGTTTGGAAAAACAGGGCTGTGGTATTGATCAGCTGAACAAAAAACTTAGCACAGGTTAAGGAAAGTGAATATTGTCTTCTCTTGCCATTTTAGGGTGCTTTCCCAAAGTTAGAACTGGTCGGCCGAACCATGGCTGGACCAGTCATTTTCAAAAGGAATTAGGCTTTTCTCAAGAGTTTTTGATAAAAAGCATTTCCTTCTTGCATACTGTTTAGCATTTGACTGATCTGGCTTGATAGTTTTGATTAAAAGAGAGATTCTCATTACAACAGGAATGGTCTGGCTGGTCAGTTCTGACACAGACTGGAAGACAGTCCCTTTTTTGCATATTCAAGTGCATGCGAACAGTTAAACAAAAGGTCTGGAGCAAGTATGAAAAAAAAAACATGACTGTCTTGCAATCTAGTTCTGACAAATGGAAGGCACCCCTTAGAAAAGCTTGCTTTTGTTAAAATCTAAATTGCATTGAAAAAAGATTGTTGGTCTTGTTTCCATGATTGTGGAATGCACTTGTGGCGCTTGCTTTTTCAAGGGTCAATTCTTTCCTTTATAAGAAACGACATAAAAAGCATTGTTACTGGTTTAGGTATGTTACATATTTATATACCCTAGCATTACCTGAGTGAATTTTGTCAAAAAATCTTTTTTCTCATGGTAAAATGGTACATTTTGTAGGCAAAAGTGTACCATGTAACCAGAGACTGAACCCAACATAGCATATGCTTAAAAAATTAGTAAACTATCACATTCAATGCTCACATGAAGCCCCATTCAAAGACATAATGCCCTCAAAAAGGCCTAAAGTACCATGAGAAAATGTGTATGTTATCCAGCAGATGGAATTTATTGATAAGTTATGATTCAAAGCAATGTTAAATTTCAAATATTAACAATATAAAAGTGGGATAAAAATTTATTAAAAAGAAATAGCTGGTCTATTTCAAAGACATTAAAATTAAATCAAGTCATTTTTTCACGTTTCTGTCAACAATTGAATCTCAGTAACACAGTCCTGATTTAATTTTGTAATTCCCTATTGACCCATTTGAAATAACTTTGTTTTAGCTAGAACTGGCTATTTTTACTTACCGTTTACATTCTGCTTACAGTTGGATTTATTATTGGGATTCAACTGCCATATTTTGTTTAAATTTTCTTTGTTAAAGAATGGAATATTATTAATCCAGTAAGTGTTATTATGTCCATTTGGTTACCTTTTAATGTTTAGTTATGACAAGATAATCAAACTCATAGGCAAAGTGTTATGTTGTCACTACTTTTTACTGACTTGTTCACTTCAGTGTAGACTGTGCAGCATATGAAGATTTCCTGAATAGTTTTATAATAATTTATTGGTAGATCAAGAAAACCATGTTAGTAACTTCTAGTTGAACAATCTGGAAGAATTTTTCAGTTACTGCAGGTTAATAAAATTGTTGGCAAAACATTCTCAAGAATAGAACTTTTTTCTTCCAAGGGGGAAACATATATTATTGATTCTGTTGCCACGTCCTTATATAGCCAAGTAATCATACTTGATTATTTGAAATGGTCCCTGTAAACCGCATTGTTTCTAGGTAAGTAGTAGCAGCAACTGTATCAGTGTTTCTTGAATAAATTCTTTATTAGTGGTTTTCTATGCTTTCGAAAACAAAACCACTACCTTCCCACAAAGTTCTTCACGCAATCCCTCTTCAGGAATAAGATACTGTCCTGTTTGCCTTTCTTTAGATGGATCTAATTCAAACAGGTTTGCATTGCTACGTCTTAAACTTTCTAGTGTCCATACTGCTGTATGCCTTGATTTGCCGTGCTTTACACATAAGTAAGTATTTTGGAACTTGCCATTTTGTGGTAAGATATACTTAGAGGATGGACTTGCATGAAATAACATGGGCATATTGTCATCTTGCTTGCACATTGTCCAATCAAAACTGTTGCCATCTAGTTCACAAAGGATTCCTGTAAGTAATAATATAAACTATAATTATAATAATAATAATTAAAAGTCGCTAATATAATTATTTCAATATAATCTCGTACCCAGATCTCTTGTTGATGAAGCCAAAGGCAAGATCTGGTCACTGAAGTAAGAAAATTCAATTTTTTGATTGGCTAGATTGAGAGCATGTGCAATATTCAATTCTTGCAAAGTCTTCTGTTACATGTATGTTCAAATAAATATTTTCACTGAATGAGTACTCGCATAGAAGTTGATGTGTTCAGCTTAGATGCTTTTAGCGCGCGCTATGACAATTAAATTTAAACACACTGTTGCATTGAATGTGACGTAGTTTGCAAAGAACAACAACAACAAAATAGTTGTTTGCTGCTTTAGATGTGGAGAAAACTTAACAACTCTATCAAATTTCTTGTTTAACAAGTTGAAAAACCACTGCTATTTTCAGGATTTATTTCGAGCATGTGCTCCTTCATCGCCAGTCACATTCCTGACAGGCAATCACACACATAAAATGGATTTGACAAGATCTCGCCTTCAGCTTCTTCAACAAGGGATCTGGGTATTTAAATAGTTAGTTTTTTATTACTATATGCCCTTCCATTTTGAAACAGGATCTCATACACAGATCTGAAGGTAAAGGAAAATAATATTATTATATGTCCATTTTTACAGTGAAAGGGATAAAATGACTTAAAACAAAATACAAAACAGGTATCACTGCTTATGGGAATTACTAAGTAAACATGCTCCAAGGGCATTAAGTGTAGTTGTTTGTCCAAAAGGTTGTTACTTGTCAATATTTTTTATGGATTTAACCGAACAATTTGACTACATAATAATATGTCTTATTGATTAATAAACAACGCTGCCAGAGAGTTTTCTTCTGTATCATATCAAGTGTGATAGCCTTAGAAAATCAATGAACTGTTCTCTTTGATAGGAAAAATGCAACAAATACATCTCTCATCTGCATGGGAAACCTGAAAAGTCAGGAAATTTAATTGTTAATGGAAGGTGATGGAAAATTTAAGTTACTGTATGTTCGGTAGATTGTCACTGCAGATGTCAAAGCAATTAGGACAATGTAGAATGGAGACGAGTAATTAAACAGTGCAAATGGCACATATTTTGGTGGACAATTGAGTATGTGTCTGTTCAACTGTTTGTTGAACTTCATGGAAAAGTTCAAAAGGTAATGAGAAATGTTATGGAAAGTCATGGAATTTGAAGAGCCCATTAAAGAGTACAAACCCTGAGGAATGAAAGGATAACTTTGAACCATTTCTTGAACTGACCTGTGATAAGTGCCCAGTGTGCTCTGTGGCCATTTTCCAAGCACGGTTCATGGTTTTTATCTGCATCATAAGGTATCAGTACAGCATTTCCCTTCAGCACTTCAGAGATGACAAAATTATCACTGGTATCTTCAAATGCAGTTCTTGTTACTAAATATTCAAATCCATAAAACTCCTTGGCAAGTTTGGCAAGATTTTCTGCTGAATACATTTCACCCTGATAAGAAAACCCTCTTGCCTGTGCCATTTTCAGTAAGTTGTCCAGTTCTTGCGTTTCCTCCATTGGACATAATGCTCCATCGTTATCTTGTTTTTGTAACAACTCTGCTGCCATGCTCAGGGCAGATAATCCACATCTAAAAATGATAACTTAACATTAAGTTTCCATTTCACAAAGATATAACAGATTTTGCAGCTGAAATGAGGCTCTCCTAGGGGGGAGAGAGGGGGATGTATGTCCTTAGCTTGTGTTTTGAAGAGTAGGCCATGTCCCTGTCGGTATTTAACCCCTCTTTACGTCATTTGTCACAATTTCATCTAGCTTTATGGGCCGAGTTGTTTGAAGCTGCGTTAAGATAACCCAGGGTTAGTGCAAGATTTGAATTCAGATATGGAAGCTTAAAATTCATTTCAGTTTTAATTCTTTTTGTCTACAAGTTGATTATAGGAAGCTTTAAAAATAACAGAGAAAATTTTCCAAGGAAATGCTTTTGAACACAAGAAAAAGAGACCCGGGTTAAATTTAAGCCCGGGTAAGCGCTAATCAGCCTTCGAACAACTAGGCCATGGTTTCAAGGCCATGTTGCTTGTTGGAATTTTACCCTAACAGGGCCTAGGAAATGGCTCATGTTTACTTTCAACTCTAAGACATACCAATTCCAAATCAAAACAGGTCAATGAATTGAGTGACATGTACTGGGATAATGTACAAACTTAACTCTGATTTTGGGCGACTTGACCGGTTAATGACCAAGGCAACCTCATCCCCAGAGTGATGTTCCATTCCCTGTGGATCATCAGGTTGGAAACAAGGCAGATGTTGGCAGATCAAGGTCCTTGGGTAACAACTAAGTGGCAACCATCGTCTCAAGAACAAAATATAGTAGTTTGACATCTTACCCCCACAGGCCTTAGATAGTTTTGTAGGGTTGGAGGAACCTCCACACTTCAAGTCAGTAGTCAGCCCCACACTTGGAAAAATGTTCCACCGCCTCTGTTCTGGTAAAAAAATAAGTGGCCCTCGGAGCTGCCACTGGCTTATGCCTGTTCACCTCCCCCCCGCCCCCACCCCTGCCGCCTTCGGATTTATGATCCCAGTATTTCCAAGTTGGAGGGTATGAAAATTACACGAATATTATGACACAGTATGTACATATTGCCTGGCTTTTCCTGGAGTTCCAATCTCCCGCACGAACAAACTGACCAAACTTGAGCGAAGAACTTGTCCTCAACGTTCTTTGATATTAACTCGATTTTCGTTTACGCCCAGTTATCGAAGATCTTCTGCAAGATTTACATTACACTATGGAATCCGCAGATCCCATCCACGGTTTCTTACCTGGGCCGTCTTCCCTGCAGTTTTGGCGACACCTCTCTGTGACAAAGCAGCCATAATTTCTGATCTGCAGAATTCTCCGACCTTCCCGCCAGCGCAATTATTTCGCGGCACTGTCTGCTAACATCTCTAACAAGCGCACTCGCGCAATTCATCTATGTTTCTATTTGAAAATTCAATCCTGAGTTTTTTTAACAACATGCTTTATGTCGTTGTTACATCGCATCTTGCCTTTCTCACCAACGCACCATTTTAATAAGCCTGTACAAACTCCTCGCGTGCACAAGTGAGCACAGGTATGCCAACTACTAAAATGTGGGGATCCTGTGACCAATAAGCTCGGGGAGTACTCGACCAATGTATTTTGGGTTTTGACCACTCCAGAAAATACCTTACAACATACCATAGTGCTCTTTGTTCGTCACCCAAAAATTTTGCATAAGCATTGTTTTCAGTTTCTGTTAGGGCCATTTTTTAACTTCCAAGAGAAACTGAAAACAATGCTTATGCAAGAGTTTGGGTTGACGAACAAAGAGCATTATGGTATGTTATGGAGTTGTCAATTGATGAGCCGTTGGGTGTTTGAGACCCTGACCTTATTTAGGACAAAACATTCTTAAAATACATACCCTTTTTAGGATAAAGCCCTCGAATTTATTACCCTGTTAAGGAGAAAGGACATGTACACTGATTTAGAGGCGACTCTTTTTTTGCACTTTTTGCCTCATTAACATATGCTTATCACTACCTGATGACACTAATAAAATAAAAACGCTGAATACTGAAAGGGCATAATAGTTTCAGTTATCTCTGAAAAGTTGAACCCAATACACCTAATGGTTTCGTAGAAATTCTCTTCTGAAAACTCGAAATTTTACAGAGAATGTATGGCTCATGAAGTTTTTTGCCACACAGCAATTTCGCAGTTTTTGATGGCTGATATTTCTTTCAATATTGCTTGCAAAGAGCTGAAAATTGCACAAATTGCTCAACTTAATCAGCTCTTTCAAGGTTTGCATTTTGTTCATGTATACGGCCACGGCTTCTATGAGTTAGTCGTATGCTTATGACGAAAAATCTAAACAGTAAATGACGTCAGCAAAGATTCGCCTATAACAGACTTGCACAAAATTGTATACCCTGTTTAGGACAGAGAGGACGAAAACAATACCTTGTCCTCCCATATAGGCCATGCAAGGGAGTACCCCCCCCCCCCGGCCTGCAACATTGATGTTAGATACATCTTGGAGCTTGCATTCTTCTCAGACTATGCACAGGGACATTCAACTCTGCGTAGTTGATAGTGAGAGAGGGGTGGGGGACTATTAATTTATTCAAAGTTATGGGGTGTAGGGGAAGGGGTAAATCCTGGGCGGAGATTTGCATTAAATCGTCTTTCAAACAACGCAGTTCTGAACTTTAGTAAAACATAATAATAATAATAATAATATTGTTCTCATTTGTTTCATGTTGCATCATAAATAAAAAAGCAAAATACCCACCCCATAAATCATAAACATTTCCATTTTAACTCTGACAGTTGAAACTTGTGTGAGAACAAAATTTTGTGCAATAGAATCGACAGCCAGATAATAGATTTTCAATAAAACATTAATTTTATTAAATTTATATACTACAGAGATTACATGGATGGTGGATTCTCTCTTTATTTGTTTTCCACAAATTTATTGTTATTAAGAGGTTACAACAGTTACTGAAAGAAATGTTTTCAGATAAGGATGAAAGAGAAAAACTTAAAAGTCTTTTCCTCATATTAAAATAATTTGTCTTCCTCAACTCACAAAGGAAAATCAACACAATGCAACTTTGGAAACAGAAGATAGACTTCCCTTCCGATGTTTGTTTACTATTAAAGTGCATTCCTTCTGTACACAACAGGTTTTAGTTGGTCAGTCAGTTGGCTAGCTAGCCAGTCAGTCAGTCAGCTACATGTAGCTAGTCAGACAGTCAGCGAGCCAGTTGTCTGTCTGTCAGTCAGTCATGAACTAGCTCTCTAACAGATTAATAATTATTATTAATCTGTTAGAGAGCTAGTTTGTTGGTCAGCCAGTCAGTCAAATAGTTAACTGGCCACAGTATCACTTAGTTGCTTGGTAAGAAAGTCAGTCTCATCTGCCTAGTTACACTCGTCACTCTCATGAACAAACTAATAAGAACTCAACCCGCTAAAACAAGAGCACAAAAAGCCTAACTTTTCATCACCCTACCACTTAGATAAGCCAGTCAAGGAACAGAAAAATGTGTAATATAAACTAACTTACTTTGGCTAAGGGACATGTTACACAGATACAAATTGCATCAGTTTGCGAAAACGTTCGAAGTCCATCAAATTGAACAAATTTATTTCAATATTAGGGCACTTAAATGATCAGAATCATTTAAGTCTCTTGAGCTTTTACAGACGCAACCAATCAAAGTGCTCTCAGACCTACACGTCTGGATAAGATATGTGGAGTAGGGTGTGTTTGGGAGGCATTAGGGTAGGGATGTGCTAACTGAGGAGGGGAGGGTTGGGTGAGATTACTCATCAGTAAGCACTGAAATAACCCTGGAAGGTAACTTGAGACCCTACTTCTGTGTTCCTGGTACCTAATCTATCTCACCCTCTTCCTCTTCCATGTTTTCTATCCTTTCTCCCTCTCGTTCTTCTCTAACACCCCTCTCCTCTCTAACTCCATTCTCTGCATCTTTGCTCTCACTTCTCTTCCTCCTTTTCTCTCTTACCTCTCCATGGCTTTCTTCTTCTACCATCTCCACGTCACCGTCTGCATCACCTTCAACACTATCTACCCTCCCTTTACTCACACTCTCACCCTCGTTAGCAACAGACAACCTGGCGTTCCTCATTCTTTCTTCTTCTTGCTCTTGCTCCTCTTCAATTTCAGCTCTGCGTTTGGCCATTGCTCCTAGAAAATAAAAATATTCTTGTTATAAATTAATAGTGTCCTCAGTAGCGAGATTTGTCACAAGGTGCACAACTGCAATTTCAGAGTAACAAAATGAAAGAATACCCAGAGAACAATGTTGCAGTTCACCTGAAACAGCCAAAATTGCTTTGAGCATGCCCTAGCTTTCATCAACATTCACCCACAGGCAAATAGTACATAAGTAATTTACTAATTTAAGTTTGCACTTTTCTTTTGTTATAATAGTTATTTACATTACAATAATAAATTTTTAGCCAATTATTATTCAGTTACTTTTCACAGATCTTGTGGATTCCTCCAATAATTTCTGTGTCTTGTCATTATGTTTGGCTGGCATGTAGAAGATGGGTGGATTGGCTTTTGTCATTATGAAGTGACTCAGTTTTTCACCATGCTTATCCCACTCTTCTTGCTAGAAAATGGACAAAATAAGAGATATTCATAAGACATAATAATGATCTAAGGCTATGTTCACATGGCAATGAAAAATACTTTTCAACTGGCAGAAAAATTTGACCACACACTTTTTTGCACTGTTCACATAGAACTTTGAATTTTTGAACAGCTAAGGTGGTTCCGCGTGAACAGAGCAACTAAAAAAACAAATTTTCAACCAGCTGAAAATTGGTTCAGCACCATGTGGACGTAGCTTAAGTTCTCCAATTCCTTCCCTTAAGGTAAATGTTTCAAAAGTAGGGTCCAGGGTCCCTGCTAAAGTTCAAAACCAGCATGACTGACAGTGATACTTTCTCCTTCAGATGGAGTCACTATTGCAATGTTATCCCTTAAATTTATTTGCCATCACAAAGTTTTGAAGCTGGGAAAAGAGAGATAATAAACAAACAACTCAAAGGTGCATGAAGAGACAAGGGTTCAAAATGCAAATCTATGACAAAAAAGGTAAATAAATCCTCATAATTTTTGATGGTCTTCTACAGTGGGGCTTAAATTTCTGGACACAAGCCTTTCCACATTTCTGTATTTATGAATAATAGCATCTATCTCTATCTAAAGCCCTAATATACACCACACGGTACATTTTGTATTTGCAGTGTTCTCACCAGGCCGTGGCCTTGTGGGATTCCCGCAAGAAAAACTGAAATGGCACATTAAAACCAAGACGATGTGCCCGTTAGGGCGCAGGGGTAAGCTACGAGTCAAACGGACTTAAGTAGTTTTAATGGTCAACCTAACACTAAAGCATTCTGTTTGTTTGAATAAATAAAAAACATGATATCAAATGAGTCAAAGTCTTTAATTTTGTTGCCTTTACTTTCATTGGTCCCACGCACGTGTATATTCCTCCAAATCGTAAACACCTCTTCCGCCATATTGGATCAGGTAGGTACTTCATTCAACAGACAATTTGATTAACATAACTTTGTCCCCCTAATGTTCTTACAGGGCCTCTATTTCTCAGAAGAGGGGGCCCTGGGACTCCCCAAGGCAAAATCCTCATTCAGTAACATTGATTAACATATTCAATACAGCATATAATAATTATTATTTCATCTTCACCCTTCACAGGCTTAAATGGACTAAAATTAATGACCAGGTCCCAGTTGGCTTGTTGGCTCGATTGGTTAGAGTCCTGCACCAGTATTGCAGAGATCAAGGGTTCTGAATCCCATAAAAGCCTCAATTTTTGCCAACTTTCTTTTTAAAACTGCAAAAGTTGTATTCACATCTGGGGTGATCTCTTGACAACTTTTGAAATCATGAATATATGAAAGTCATGTATTATTAGTATTAGAACTGTGGCATGAAGAATTAATAATGAGTTATTATCACCATATACTTTATGCTGTTACTCTATTACTACTTTCATAAAGAAAATCATCTTCATTACCAGCTCAGCCATATCAACTTTTCTTTGTAAAAGTCTCAGCTCTGCCTGCTTTGCTCTCCTTTCTGTAAACAGTTCTTTTCTTTGAGTGGACAACTCCTCTTTTTCTTTCTGTTCTGCCTCTTCAAGCTTTTTGTTGATTTCTTCTCTTCGTATGTCCTGATCATCAAGAGACATTGTTTTTAAGAGTAATAGATGTGATCAATTTATGAGAAAATTATCCTTAAGATTTGACTGGAACATGAAGAGAATTATAGGTACAGAAATACAAAGATACAATGTATTGATTTATAACCAAGTTCTCCTCACCAATAACACCAATAACACGACAAATGTTTTTCAGACAATGTGAAGAATTTTCAGGTTGATCTTACAAATTTAAGGGCTGAGTGAGCTTCATGCATACAATGCAAAGAGGCAAGCACTGTCCATAAAGGGCAAAAAAGAAAAATACCATTAAAATACAGTTTGTAAGTACAAACCTTTTCTGTCTTTTGAGAGCTGTCATCTTTAAACTTCTGTAGTGTGCCCAGCAACATGCCAAACATTCTCTTATTTCTGAAAAATAACAACACAATGTTACAAACAGTGTTTTTATGATGGAGACACCTGAACATCCAAAACAAACAAACAGACAATATCTTTATAAAATTCACCCTGAAAAACAATCATCCAATGAAAATAACCAGCTGTAATCAACTGGTGTTCCACCAAAGATAAAAAATTAATGAACAATTTTTGCCCAAAGATGTGAAGGTTTCAATGACAATTTCCATAAAGCATAACTAAATGAATTCCAAGAGTCTCTTTTAATCGCAAGAGCAACCAACCAGGCAACAATCTCGTATACACTGAAATTAGAAAAATTAATTATTTATCATCGTGTGAAAATGATGCTACAGAGGTTTCACTTGGTTACACTATCTGAACCATAAAGTTTACTATTGAAATGACGCAAAGATACCATAAAATTCCGAAAATAAGCCCCTCCATGTATAAGCCCCTCCAAATATAAGTCCCCCAAAATTGTAACACAAAAACCCTCCGTTAAATCGCCCCTCCGAATATAAGCCCCCCGGGGGCTTGTACTTGGAATTTGCCCTCAAATACAAAGTAAAACAAAGCAAAAATGGTAAATTTCCTTCCCACTACAAGCTAGCCCAATCGATTTTGAAACGCGAATTTCCCTCCGTACATAAGCCCCTCAAAAAGTGCCTTTGAAAAATATAAGCCCTGGGGCTTATTTTCGGAATTTTACGGTAGCTTATACACAGTCAAACTACAGACACTTTTTCTGGTCCTAGTGGTGTCCACTCATAGCAGGTTTGACTGTATTCTCAAAAGGAAAAAAATAATGATCAGCACACCTTGATTTTGTTTTATCGTCAGTTTTGGTGATGATGTCTCGTTTGAGGCGAGATGGCGTAGGTGTAGCAACAACTGAGGACTGGATAGCAGGCTAAGGAAAAACAAAACAAAACATGTTACATGTGGACAGATACCATGTACATGTGGGAGAAGTCGTTTAGATCAAAGTTGTTCATTCTTGACATTCACTTTCTTTTCTAACTTTCTATTACAAGAACACAATAGACTGCAGTCTTTTCAAGATCAGACAGTATCTTAACAAAGAAACATCTGCCACAGTTGTACATAATTTTGTAAAAACTTCTAAATTGGATTACTATAACTCTCTTTCTTATGGATTACCCAAATATCATCCGAGAAAACTTCAACTGCTACAGAACGTGGCAGCTCGTTTTGAAACTGGTGCTCAGAAGTTTGATCATATAAGTCCACTTCTTGGCCCTTGGTATTTGGTTGAATTACTTCAGTACCAGAATCATTCCAAGACACTTCATTCAAATTCTTTAGAACTTCTTTTGCAATCAAATTTATTAATGATGGTTTAGTTTATCATTAGGTTTAATTTATCATTAGAGCTTAATGTTTTATATCTTCTCATTTCTATTTTTATGTATTTACCCATATAAATTATTATTTTTAATTTTGTTGTAAAACGCCACGAAACAACTAGTGGATGTGGAGAGCGCTATAGAAGTGTTTTATCAGTATCATTAATATTATTATTATTCAAACACTTTATATGTGTTGTATAAACATTTTTAATAAGTGACGGTGCATGAGGAAAGAATGAGGCAAATTAAAAGGAGAATCTAGACAATGATCAAAAGCTGCTTAAGATTCTATGTTAGATGAATTCAATGAGTTTAGAAGTCTTCTAAATATTATTTTATTTCGTACCTTGTCTGTGTCCTCCTCCTCTTCTTCACCTTCACTATCCAGTCGCGAGGAAGGGCGTGTCTTGTCTTGTGATGTTCTTGTAGTCACCACGCGGCTCCAGAGTCTATGGAAAAACATGAAAACATCAGTAAGAGCTCCAAACTGCCATCTTCTTAACTATGATTGTTTTCAGGACAAGGAAGACAAAAGAAATTGCCACAAACTGAAACCAATCTCTGCTGTGTCAAAACTCAACAGTATTGTCAGTTTGCTTGTCAAACTTCTCAACTAGTTCATGGAACATCAGGCATTTTTTTACTCCCCATCTTTTGGCCGTTGTTTATTTTTCTTGAGGTTGTTTTTTTGCACCGATTTTAAAGACTTTTAAGGGTGACTTATTGACTAGAAAATATGGCACTGGCCTCATAACTAGAAAATTGAGTGTGCTCAACAGTAAGTGTTTTGAGCAACAAGAAAGTCTTCCTTGTCGTTAAATGCCAGAAGTTAGTAGCCTAAAGCAAAGGGACCCAGAGCAAAGCACTGAGAGCAACTGACAATGGCACTAACCTGCCTTGTGCACCAGTTGAATCACGTCTTTTTGCCGCTGGTCCTTGTCCCATGTTCCTCTCTGAGAAGTCCCTCTTTAATGTCACACGCCTTCCTGCTGCTGGTCTATTAAAATACTGTAACTGTTAGATCAACTTTGTTTACGAGTGTTTTTTTCACTTTTTCATTAAGTAAGGCACTGCGAACCAAGTTTCCTCTCACTATGCAGAAAAAGACATTTGTAACACCTGTGAGGAACCAATCTGGTAAAGGAAAGGTCCGCAAAGTTAAGTGGGAAGATCTGTGATGTGGAGAATGCTGTCATGCAGAATTCAACAATCTAGCCTACATGTACTCTTTTGACAGATTGTGACTTACCTTCTTAAGTTGGAAATAGGATTCATTAAGCTCAGTCATGTGAAATATTTCGTGAATATTAAAGACATTACAAGCAACAAATATCTGATCAACCGATCGGGTTGACGGTTCGATAAATATGAATGGGACCATTCAATGGAACTCGAGACCGGCGGTCTTTACAGAACATTCAAGTTTTCTCACAACACTGAAATAGTCAAAGATGAAGCTGCTTCTTCTAGAAAAAAGTAAAATAAAATACAAGCAAATATGCATTCGCCACTCTAATACAGAACAACTACATGATTTGGTTTAATTTAAATTCTGCAGAGCGATCATTCCCGATCAAGATATCAGTTTAACAAGGGCATTTCCTGATGTAAACATCAGGAGATAAAAAGGATAACCGCATAAAACTGCTGCATTTAATTACCTAAACTCCGAAGGATCTCTACCAGTTAGTTTCTTGATGTTCTCATCCACGGATTTTAGCCCTTCCCTCGCTATTTCCAAGTCACGTTGAAGTGCTGCTATAGACGCCATCTTGACTTCTTCTTTTCTGTCACATGTCTGACTGAGCCAGCGTTACCTTACGGTCAGCAACTACTAGTTTCAGTCTCTCTCGGCTATTTTGGGGAAAGTAGCCTGACGCCTGACGGAAAACGTATTATTATTCGCAAATGATTGGAATTAAGTTATGAATGTAAGTACATTGTTTTCGTAATTACCTTTGAAGAGAACTGGATTTTGACTGGCCCTTTGATCAAGTTTATTTTGAGGGGACATTTGAACTTGTGGTAGTGGAAGGAGCGGATTCAGGGATTTTTTTATTGGAGGGGTCCAAGCACATCACTGATTACTCAAGCTAAAATTTCTATACAGCTACCGCTAATCTTTTTCACCAGTCCTGGCCGTTAAAGATTTATTTTATTCGAAAATGTCAACAACGTAGATCCTTGTATGTGAAACTTTGCTGGTAAAAAAGTTTTAAAGTACTGTCATTATTTTACGAAAAACTTCTTGGGACCTATGAGAGAGTTGGGGGGTGGGGGCGGGGGTCTAGACCTTTCAGTACCTCCCGCTGGTGTTCCACTGTAACGAAAGAAGGAAAGAAGATAGAGGACAGGGCTATAAATTTAGTCAGTATTATCTTGAGGGATGGTCAGGGTGTTTTTTCTTTTAATAGGGATCTTAAAATCATTCTGGGGAAAGCTAGCAAAGTTTGTAAGGTTCACTCTAACACTTAATAATCACTTCTGATGCATCATGAAATATGTTCCCTGTTATTTTTTAAATTTCACCTCTGCTTGAATTTTTACCCACCCAGTTTGCAACAGTAACAAACAGGAAACTATGGGATAAAGGCATAATTCAACGCCTTGGAAAGAGATCATTTTACATGTGGCTAAACTTTGTCTTCAACAGGTAAGTGCCTGTACTATCAACAAATTATTTGCTGGGAGAGAAGCAATAATATGATTACATTATTTTATTATATGGGTAGCTCCACACTGGCACAGGTGGGATCAAGAAACTTTGCTTCAGTGTATGTCTCTCTTCACTCACATGTATAAATGGCAACATACTGCTGGGCAGTCTCCTCCGCAGGCAGAGGGCTCTTTTAGTTATAGGGAGGCCGGGAGAGAAAAAAAAAAGAAAAAATGGGGAGATATTTTCTGTTCCCATTGTCCACTGCGTGCTTACTATTTTTTAATTATTGCTATTTTTATTGAAGACATACCTAGGGAAAGTTTCTGCAGAGGAGAGACTACTGCTCTGGGGGTAACCTTGGGGTGGACTAGCTAGCCATATTATAGGGAGAGATCGAACCAATACAATTAAGTGCTACAGAAATTAGGTGTGGGCCTCATTGGCTTGTGTGTGGCTTTATTTAATATCTTGACCTCAGCAAGCAGGTTGAGGTTGCCACCAGGATTGTCTGCTGTGTTCCCACAAGAAGAGATTCTTACAACCATATACAACAAATCCGTCAATGAACAAGTTTGTAAGACTGCTCGATATTATAGCCATTTTTCAAATCTAAGGTGGACTCAAGGCCCATCAAAACAACTTGTGCAACATCCAGCAATCTTGAATTAACAAGCTTGGTCAATCATTCACATCTCGACTAACTATTTTTACCCAATCTAAGAAAATAGTTATTTTAAAATTAATGTTATATATGACTATTTTATAGGGTAGATGAAGGGAGAATAGAAGAATTTGGCCCAGAAAGGTAAATTGGATTAACAAAATTGATTAATGGTTTTCATGCCAAAAGACTCAATATTTTCCATTCCCTGTTGTTAATCTGTTGTCGGAATATGGTGAAAGTCTCACATATACAAGTTTTACTGATTTGTTGTTTAATCCCATTTATTTCTGTTTACTTCTTATAATTTTCAAATGTGTCTTTGCGAGACAAACTCCCGACGTTTCTCTTGTATAAATAGCAAATATTGATAGCTTGTATTAATCACCATGCATTCTTACTTATTAACTGGAGGAGGGTGGGGCTTGTCACACAGGGTACCCAAACCACACAATCTGTTGCTTGATCCTTCAGGGTGGCAGCTGAGTGGGTGTTGCGGTGTGGAGGTGGAGTGAAATTCAAGCACCTTGAGAAATGGATGTGGGACTATAATGCCATACCAGACGGGCCTGTTGGAAAGCTCGCTTTGGAAGGGATCAATGCTAAAGGAGTCAATATAACAACAGGAGGCCTTCAGCATCTTGGTATTCTTTCAAAGTTATTTGGAGTTTATGTTGAGTGAAGTAGCAGAATGCAATGAGACCTGTATTAAGTTAGCCCAAGAAAACAGCCAACATTTGGTGACACTACCACTGGTGTCCCTGCCAAATGATGCCTGAGAAACGAGCGCAGAAGATATACTACTGTAACAATGTAAAATTAAGTATATTAATTTATTTTCTATTTTATGTAGGGAGTGTCCTCAATAGGGATAACCTCTGACGTTTCCTTTTATGTATCCCTACATAATAAAATATCTTAACTTTTCGTCTCAGAGGATGTCTGGTACAGTGTTCAATCAACACAGGTTTTTACCTCCCTTTTCTGCTTTTAGTTGGACTGCAGCATCTTAAACAACTCAACATGAACAGCTGCAGATATGTAACTGACATGAAGAAACTTCTACCTGTTAAAGAAACCTTGGAACATCTGGATATTGGAAACTGTGGAGGGATATCAGATCTAACACCACTGCATGAGTTAACGTTAGTTTCTATCATAATCTTAAACTTACTGACCCTGTGTACTTTTGGGCTAATTCATTCACTGACCATAAGAAATCATACATGCTCCATTATCCTTAGAGAAATAGGGACATCACATCCTTTAATTTAATATAATGAAAAATTTGCCTCCTCAATACTCTTCGGAGCAAGGAAGTCGTGTCTGATAGCCCGGGGCTGGTGTGTTTTGCGTTGGAGCTAGGAAATTCTATACTTAACTTGCCTGATGAGCAGGTGATGTTTTTTTGTAACAAATAACTTTTTAAAACAAATTTAGTTCAATAAATAAAGTTCATTCATTCATTCAAGACAAATTGTTTAAGATTCCTAATAACATTTAATTTGTGTGGATTGAAAGCTGCTTTTCAAGCTGATCTAACGAAGCAAAATAATTTCACTTGTTATGATGATGGATTTAACAATAAAGCAAGTAATTAATAACTAATAGTGTATTGATCCTGCACATAAAATTAATTAATTGTTTGGGTTAGTTATAATGACTCTCACGCAGACCAGTACATGCTAGCCACAGTTTGTTTCCTGAAGGGCAACTTTGCATCTCGATGAACCATCGTTTCAGTTCCCAAAATGGTAAAATTACTATCATGGCCATCACCAATTTATTGAGAGATAAATCTCACAGAGTCTCTGAAAAAGGTTGGTCTCAATAACCCACCAACTAGATGTGAACTTCCAACAAATGTACAACTATCTTTACATTTATATTTTGTTTTTCAGAAAGCTGACAAAACTCCACCTTGTTAACACACCAGGAATAAAACAGAGAGAAGAAGCCATTGCAACACTACAGAAGAAACTTCCTGAATGTGTGATTGAAAAGTAGATTATTATAAGTATCAGACAAAAAGCACTTTGAACGACTTGTGAAAGTCAGACAAGTGTAACCAAAAAACTATAGCCATAAAGGAAAATACACCAAGAACTTTGTAAACAATGCAAGTCTTTTCACAGAGACTTTTTTGCTGCTTGTTTGAATACAAACAACAATGATCCAAGGGAGTTTGAGGCCGAAAACTTGACAAAAAAAGTACATGAATGGGCCATCAACATTTTACAGTCTCACTAAAGAAAAACGTCCTCTGTGGTTGAATTTTTTCATAAGTAGGAGACTGAAATACTGATTTGCCTCAAAGCCTCTATGTTTCAGAGACACTCCAAGATACTGAGTGGGTAATTTCACTGTTCCAACAATACAGATTACAAATGAAGTAAACAAGATATCCACGTCAAGCCCAACATATTTTATTTCCACAATTACTGAAAGTATCAAAATTGACAATGTAAGAATACCTGGCTTGTATTTGGTGCTGTTATAGATAAAAGTGAAACAACTAGGTGCCAAGTACGTAATGCTTTTCCCTTTCCCTACTGTCCCTTTTAATATATGGATGTTATAATATTAGGTGAAGGATGATGCTATTCTGAGGCAAGAAATGAGAAGAAGTTCATATTCTATCTTTCTTTACCTTATTTGATACTGATACGAAATTATGTATAAACCCGAAAATTTTAAAAAATACAGTTTCTTGATTTTCAAAACCCTAATCCATGTTAGCACGCAAGTAATATTTATTTACACATTTGAGGTTTGTCCATTGTTTGGTCTATGTCCCTAAAATCTTCTTCCTTAAATTTTCCCTAATGTCTAAAGTTCCTTTAATATCCTTAAATGCTAAAACATCCTCCATGGAAAGATACTTTCCTGTGCTTGTGGTTTTTCCTTTGTCAACTTGTTTACCACTCTTTAAGGAATTTATCATGTTTATTGCATGGGAAACAGAGTCTTCACAGGTGTTAAATGCTGGGAATAGTTTCATCTGCCACAAGCTCACAAACTCTTGCTCTGATTCCTGTAGAAATTAAAGCACATAGTAAAAGCTCAGTGTTGGAATATAGAGACTGGACCTACTCGTTTTCTCACAACATGCCTCACTATGACTTAACTGCTCAGTAAAAGCTTAGGGGCGGTCAGATGAAGAAAATGATTGCCAAAGATTATTAAATAATTTACTGTATTTTCTTGATTAAATACCCGCCGCGTTTATTCAAAACTCAGCAGTTTTCACCCAGCATTTTTTCAAGGCCGGTGATTAATCAAGAAAATACGGAATTATTGAATAATTATTGAATCTACTTTTCAGGCTGAGTATGTTATGAAAAATATATAATATTTATGGTCAGATCAAGCCTGTTAACACCCTCCCGGATCTGCATAATGTTATTCATATAAAATGAAGGTCAAATTCAATACTGGTAATTGAAGGGGTGCCTGGAGTAAAGCTGACTTCGAAGAAAACGCTAGAATCTCTTTCCAAATTACCTTGTACCTAGAGCCTGTAGCTGGAGGGGTCGTTACCTCAGTGCGAATTGAGGCAGAAATGTGCTTCCACGCAGAGAATGGGAAGGAGACACTTTGAAATCCTCGCACCTTCAGCACTCACTTTATGAGGCTTTGCCGCTATAACACTCGCAAGGAAAAATTCCACCAGCTACGCTGGCTAGCAAGTGGGTTATGAAGAATTAGCCCGGGTATTAAAGCCAATAAGAAACAGAAAAAATAATTAGTTGAAATGAAAAGACGATGGGGATGACTCAAAGTTTGTATGTATATTACAGGTCAAATTTGATTTAACCTAAGTTGATTCCCAATTTCCTTTATCTCCTAGCCCTAAGAGGCAAACAAAATTGAGAATCGACTTGGGTTAAAAATCTTTAACCTGAAATTAAATTTAACCTGTAACATGTACATTGTATGCAAAACATGGAGAACAGTCAAGAGAAAGGTGCATCAACATTAGAATTAAAGGGGTAAAAAATGGACAAGTTAATAAAGACTCTCATAATAAACTTAAATCCACACCTGTTTTATATCCAACAGTGCCATTGCCTTGTCAAGTGCCATGCCAAAATACTGCAGTTTTCCAAGATCATTTGGTTTTGCCATTTTCTTCACATTGTCTCCAACACCAAACACAACTGTCACATACAGCCCTGTCACGTCACCAACTGAAACACAGACAGTTGTCATGAAAGTGTCATCAGGAATGTGTGCCCCGGCAGGAATCAGCACATTGCTGATAATACAGTTGTTGCCAACAGACGATCCAGCATTGACTTCGCAGTACTCTAGCACTGTGTGCTGTCCCACAGTGGATGGCAGTGCTAGGTTACAGAGGATCAGACAACTCTGATCAGTGATTTTCTCTTCACTGATTCCTGTTCGTTTGACCATGACTTCTGGCAGAAAATGGCTTTCATGCCTGAAATGAATAATAAATTAAAAAATAACAATCAAAGGACCTTGCTATTGAAATTAACATGTGTGACAAATAAATTAATGCATTGCCAAGTCATGCCATTGTCATGTTATGTCATGTTGATATGACATCGGGGCTGTAGCAAGACAAAGGGAGCCTGTTTTTCATTATGCCATTAATGTTATCCTCACCTGAAAACAGGATCTTTACAAAAATGTTGGATGTATTCCTTGGTAGTACCAATATGGTAGAACTTGGATTCGTTAAGCAGCAGTACGTTAAGTGGTGTTCCTTTCAAGAACTCAAAAATCTTTTTCCTCTTTTCAACCAATGATGATGTCTCTTTTGTCACATTGGCAACATTTTTAGTGTAATCAGCAGACGCCTCCGGCCCAAGCGCTTGAAGAAAGTCACCATAGGCATCAATTTCACAATCAATTGGTTTAATTTCATCAGCAAAATCATAGAGTTTCTTGGCTGTGTTCCAGTCGACAAAATATGTACTGTCAGTGTAAACATGTTCCTCGCCATCACGAGTAAATATGATGCCATGGTTTCTCATAATATCTATTGATGGCTTGTGGAGGAATTTCCTACATGATGTTTCAGCTACAGGAGGTTCAATCTGATGCAATAAAACAAGGTACAAGGTTTTAGGCTATGTACACACAACAACGGACAGATTTTTGACACCAAAGAGACAGACATGAGTAGCCAGTATAGATAAGGAATGAGACATCCATCAGGAGTTGAGTAAAACTAACCCTCAATCGTCACCACCCCTCCTCTTGGCAGTGGTGAATGTAGGAGTTTGCTTGTACATCACTGGTCAACCCTTTAAACCCTGACATCAAAATTTTAATTCTCATTATTTGTTGTCCCTGTGCATTTTTAATAGAAGTAGTTGGGGGAAATTTGTTTATAAAGCAAGATTTATCCTCTGTGATCATGTCCACAATTCTCATGACCACTCTATTTCATAAAGCATTGACATTTAAAGGAGAAATTTCATACTAAATATCACTCTTAGGAAATAACGGGCTAAATATTTAACTGTAGAAAAAGTTTTTCTAAAAAATCAATCAACTTTATTATTATTATGAGACTGGCACTCAAGTCTTTGTAGACTGGCAAACCAATGACCTTTGAATCCCCCACAGGTGGAGGGGGTACTAGCTATAATGGCCACTACAGGGAAGCTCTACCTAACAGTAGTGCAAAACACTGTTGAGTAACCGCCCCCTCCCCCAACCCCCGGGTCAAATCTCTGGCTGAATTGGACCTGGGAGCCCAAAGAAAAACACTATTTGAAAAGAACCAAGAGACAAAAACCAGCTCAATAACAATTCCTGTGTGTGAACACAATGCAGGATCATTAGGCTCCACCACTGTCCAAGTAGTCTGGGACTTGGCACTCTTGCCCCCCTTGCCTCACTCCTTACTTGTGCTGTAATAAATAGGCCATCTCTGAGTTCCAAAATTTCTCACTTTCAAAACAAGGCTAAGCTGTGCAACTCTTCTTTTGTGAAAATAAGTTTATTTTTTATGAGAATAAAAAATCGCGTTAAAGTTTGCACTTAACCTTGCTTTGAAATACAGGCTTGTTGCAACATAGTAATGGCTTCTCATTTTTTTATTTTAAAACAGAATAGTTTCTTTCCACATAAAATTAGCTACACTGTACTTTAACTCCCATCCCTGAATAAGTTTCACAGACCCAAATTAGCACCAATATCACTAAAAATTTGCTGTTTCATATCATAAACACCACAAATAGTGCTTCTTCAAGTAAATGCAAGAGTTTTCACCTCATGATCAGCAAGCACAAATACACCATGAGTTGTACCAATGATCACAGGAGAAGGATGGGCTAATGCTGTGAAGCCTGGTTTTGTAAGAGACCAATCTCCCTCACTATTAAACAGCTCAATACAATCTGAAGCAACCACAAAGAGACCAGGGTTCATCCGTGATGGAAGATCCATAAACATAGCTATCTGAAGTTCAATCACTTGATATGGAGGATCACCTGAGAAAACAAAATAGCATTCTATGTATTCACTTTGAAATATATGAGCATGAAGGAACGTGTGTGGCCGTAACCTTTGAAACAACTGGGTACATAAAGGCAATGCTGTGATGGAATTTTTATATCCCCATGAACTGGTTTATGCTCAAGAGAACTATACCTTGTTTGATTTGATCTCATTGGGATAATCAATTTTAATCTTTGACTTTGATATACTCATTCAACAATTGAGCAAGCAACCTCATTCTACGGATTCACTCCTACTTGTTCAAAAAAGCGTAATTTAAGTATACTTAGTCTTTCTCTTATCCTTGTGTATGATCGCATGTACAGTAAATTTCCAAGCTCACGATTATATTGTAAGTTATTATATTGTAATGTTAACCCATTCGCCCCTGAACCGCCCATAACCGCCCGTGCGGATCCACGTCCTTTCTACCCTTTGTGTCGTCATCAGTTTTAACAGTCAAGGACAACTTTGTCCACTAACTTGTGCAGAGTGAAGAGATCTTTCAAACCATACCAGAATGAGCACAATTTAGTCAAGGACACCGGAGAAAGAAGCAAAAAACCATGTGACATTGACCTGAAAATCTCCATGAAAATCTTGTTCCATTGCTCACCTACCTTTCCTTTCACCTAATCCTAAGATCCTAAAAGTTTTCCTAAAGACTCTCCCCACCAAAACGAAGCCTACTAAATGCCCAGCAAGAGAAAAAATAAAATGAGGCAAGAAAAGTGAAAAAAGAGGGGAGGAGAGAAAGCGAAATTTTCTCGAAATTTTGCTTTCTGTGCATGCCTGAGCTTCGCAAGCTGATATTTTGCATCTGGATCAGAAGGCCGCAAAGTGTACAACCTGTAAACTGGCTTGTGGTAAGTTTTAACTCTTTATAGCACAACAGTGACCAGAAAACCACTCGACTAGCTTCAAAACACGTTTTTCGGCAAAATCTCCAGGAGCGCATGGGTTAACATGTCTTCAGCATATACTCCGCAGTTCTACAGTCATGTTCTATCATGCTGGGCCCAAAGTCCCACAGTCCGGTAGTTGATGAGCACTTAAATCTACGTGACTAAAACAAGTGCTCCCTCAGTCACTGAAAAGTGAATATTGAGTGGGTTTACAACAAGTGATCCCGTAGTCCTGCAATCCCGCAGTTGTTGTCAAGTAACCCACGTGCTTATAGAACGAGGCATACTAGTTCTCCCACACTCCCGCAGTTGAAGTCAGCATTTATCATGCAAATCAGACGACTGTGGGACAACCCTCCAAGTTGCGACCATTTCAGTCACCATGGCGCCTAAAATTTTGAAGCTGGCAACTTGATTTGTAAAAAAGTCTCCCTAAACCAAAAGAATTGTTCGCCAAATGGCGACCGAGCAAAAACTTTAACTTGAAGGGTTGTGGGAGCAGTTTTTTAAGTTAGATATTTAGTGGGTCAGGTATTCTGCAATCTAGCTTGGACACCTAGAGTTCGTCCCTGTCTTTCTTTACTCCCACTGTTTGACTCTCTATAGGATGGACATCTCTCTAAACGCTGATTTAGTTGGTATGATTCTTGCTTACGACTATTGTGCGCAACTAGTATATGTCATGACTTTCGACTATCCACATGTGCACAATTTTCACTTATGACATCCACAATGTATTGTACGAACGTCATGGGTCTAATTTACAAGACACGATCTGTCATTAAGTCATGACGTATGCCCTGGGGGATACTCCCCTATAAAAGTGTCAGGGGTACTTGTCAGAAAATTTTGAGAACACCCCTAAAAGGTACCAGAATCTTGTTTTATGGGCGTGTCCCAATTCATTTCCACCCCTAAGAGGTACCGATTCAACAACAACAAATTATATAACTGGCACTGCAAATTTTTATATAGTAATGAGATAACTTTTGAACACATTCTTCGTAAGGACTTTTTGAAAGTCCTTGAAATGCTAATAAAGCGTATCATCTCTGGCAGCAGTCACTAAGTCATTTTAAGTTCTGGGACCCTAAGCCGTACCAATCCAGAAATTTAAACCCCCAAAAGGTACGACAAGCACCCCAGTCACTTTTATAGGGGAGTAATCCCTCCCCCCCCCACCCTCCCACCGCAGACGCATGCTAGTCGCACACAATAGTCATAAGCAAAAATCGTACCGTCTAAATTGGCCTTAAGACAGACACTTAGGACCGGCTGCTCCCAAAGGGTTAACATACGTACCAGTTGGAAGAGCAGTGAATGCTTTCCCAAGAACGCTAGCGTTTGGCAATCTTTGACTGTATCCTCCAGCCGGAAGCATTAAAATCTTGGACTTCATCAACTCTTCTTCACTATATATCTTCAACAAATCACCAATCGTGACGAGTACAGAGCCGCCATTACCTATCTTAGGCCCAGGTGGATCATAAAACACGTGATACTTTACACCTAAAGGTAATTCGCCTCTGGAAAGTTTGGATTGCAGTTGAATATCATAAGCATCTCTCTGGCTTTCGTCCAAAGCAGTGATGACAATTATGTCCCAAAACGGAGTGTTGGCAACCTCTTTACCGCGTATTGATTCAAATAGTTTCAATTTATCTGCAGTGGATCTTCTAATATTATCGCTTGTTTGTGGGAAACGTTTCCTTTTCGGCAACGGAGACTCCATTTTGGACCCAAAAGGCCTCCCCGGAATCGAGCATTGAGCATTGAGCACAGACGAGCGGACGAGCGCCGACTGGAGAAGACTAGGGCCCAAGTCCTCGCTTTTTTTTATGGTTTTCCAAAATGGCGGATGTTGAATCACTGTTCGATTTTATTCACATGGAAATCGTAGCTTATTTCCTCAATAAACCGGGAAAAAATATCGACGTAAGTGTATTTACAACTTTAAAATTGGTCGTTGAATAGCTGCTTATAAAAAAATATGCGTTAATCATATGTGTATTCGAGAAATTTGCTTTGCAAAGGTATGAAAGCTCATTATTGACATTAGCTTTAGCTTTAGTAAGTGCGGCTTGTTCTTGTAGAATGATGTTATTCAAAACCTTGAGAGACTTGGTTTCAGCGTTGGACAAAGACTAGTTGAAAGGTAAGAGAGAGGAATGACCACTTGTCGTTTAAGTTTGCTGTTAGACATACAGCAGATTTGCTATAAAGTGACATCTAACATATTTAACTCAGCTTTGGAAGCAGTCGTCCGCTTATTTCATAAGACCACTTTTAACAGGATACATATGTACATTTTTTCGTTAGGTTTACTAAAGATTCTCCCCGCTTTAAGGACGAGTTAGAGATAATGAAATACATCTGTAAAGATTTCTGGACAGCGGTTTATAAAAAGCAAATTGATAATTTAAGAACCAACCATCAGGTATGTATCTGATTAATAGACCATATCACTTGTTTGTTTTGTTGCTTCATTGCAACTAAGGTGAAATTCTCAAGACATTGGATCCTTTGTCTTGTTGGAAAGAAAGGGTGCTTTCCATCAACAAAAAATTTGGGTTTGAAATTTTGAAAATTCCAGGTGCCCAATGGAACAGTATATTATGGTTCCACAGACCCGAGCCAAGGTACTGCGCGTTTGGTTATTGCACTTGTTTCCAGGATACAAAAGAGCAGTACTTGGGACAACAGTTTTGTCAAATGGAATTACAGACATTTCAGTTTGACCTTCTGAAATGACCAGACTGGTCAAGTTAAAGTGGACCACTTTCAAAGGTGATCCTAATTATTTTGGTCGAACCAAACTGGAATGGTCCATTCCATTTGATTTCTAACCAAAATTTCCAGAATTTTGGTCTGAATAAAAGGTGCCCAAAGAGTGCATGAATCGATGAATATGCCCCCTTGAGTATTGCCACCTGTTCTACATTGCAATAGCAAAACAAATCAATGAAAAAGGTATATAAAACTTGTTTGCCATTGTTTTAAATGTAATGTGGTTCAAGAGTCCAAAGGATTAGTGAAACTCTATTCAATTGCCCTGACACTGACCACGCAGAAATCTCCCTTAGGGGTCGGTTTAGGCTTGAGCCACACCCACATCCCGGTCACTTTTATATGGGAGTTCCCCCTTCCTCCCGCCTCTGGCATACAGCCCTGCAGACTTCTTGGGGGTGGCCACTGAATTTTACTGTCTTGCCTTTAGCCTTTTTTCTAGGTTTCATTTTACATCATTAAACAGTATCATCATGTCCCATTTAAGGAAATTATTAAATTCCAAATTGTCTGGCCATTTTTAGGCATAAGCAGTGCATAATTTTAGCCTTTTACTTGTAATGAGTTGATTATGTTCTACTTGGATGGTTGTCAAATCACATGAACATTCTACATTATTATACATCTCATCTTTTTTCAATCTGTTAACTGAATAGATGAAGTCCTAGTACAAAAAAAGGCTCTACCTGCAAATGATGCTTTACCCTTTATACACTCTGTCATCTTGTTTGATAACCAGTCTTAACAGCCACTGAAACTTACACTGGATTGAACAGCGAAGATTTTGTTTTAACTTCTCTTGTCTTTTTGTGAAGGGTACATATGTACTTCAGGATAATAACTTCCAGTTGTTAACTCAAATGTCAGATGGGAAACAGTACACTGAGGAGGCTCGTAAGGTTTGTAGATATTTTACGCGTCTTAAATTTTTAATTTATTTACCGGTAGTGTGATTAGAAAATAGAAGTGGAAAAAAATGCTAAAGACAAACTACAAAGATTGCACATTTCACTGACTTCAAAGTTCCTTGAATGTTGAACTTGGAAAAAAACAGCTATTTCTTCATGTTGAAAAGAATATAAAAGACTATTATAAGCATATTTTGTTTGGGACAACATTATTGGCACATGTGCCTGAAAGCTTTTCTCTCAGTGCTGAGTAGCTTAGTTTAATTTTCTAGAACTTTTCTTTCAGTTAATTGTTGATGTACAGTATGAGCAGTCAAGGCCTTTCTGTTATCTTTTTTGTGACACCTGTTTGTCATTTAGTGACAACGCTGAAATTTTTGAAGTGATGTTAAAAGTTTGCCACATATCATGTATGTTGCTGAAGATTCTTAAAATAGACTCATCTACCTCTGAAAAAACAACAGTATTTCATGTGTCATGATTCTCAAAGAAGAGAGAAAGAACCAAGTGTGTCTGTTCCGTTTCAGTTCTTGGCCTTCCCATGTGGTCTTATTCGAGGAGCGCTGTCAAACTTTGGCCTTACTTGCTCAGTCAGTGCTGATGTTCTCTCTATGCCTAAATGTATGTATGATTGCAACACGTAAATCTACATATTTAGTTGAATTTTGAATTTTCAGAGCTTCAGAGTAGTTGGTTTGAATTAAGACTTTCTAAAAGTCCTTTATTTTTTTCCTGGTTTGTTATGCCATTGTAAAGGACTTTTCAATGATACCTGTTTGGCATGAAATTTACCAGTCGAAGATTCTACTGGTGATGTCATGACAATTGAATTGAGCATATGTCATTCATTTTCTTCCCACATAAATTTATAATATGAGTCAAATCATTATATTCATGCAGACGAAACGAGTCGACCACGAGACTGTGTCGCTTGCTCGGTCGCTGCATGACCTCTTTGATTGAAGCTCGCTTCGCTCACTTTTAAGAACTTATGAGGGGTCGAATTGTAGCAAGTCTACTTTGAATTCAAAGTCATAAAGACCTATGTAGGAGAAGAAGGAGACAGTATTATTATAGTCGCATGCATGCATAAGCCTGGTCACCAACAACTTTGATGTCTAACTGATGCAGGGGGAGAGGATCTTTGAAACCTTTGCCAAATGAACATGATTCAGTTAAACAGGACAGAGAAGAATACAAAAGACTATGCAAAGTTGACCCAAAAATTCCAATGAAAATCTTTTCCCCCTAACCACCTGCACTTCATTCCATCTAATCCTATGATCCTAAAAGTTATCCCAAAAGTTTGCTCAGCAAAATAGAGTTTTCAGTAAATTCTCAGCAAAAGAAAAAAGGGGACAGGTCCTACAGCACAGTTTGACACTGTTTCAACTCTTTTAGCAGAGTCTCTCTGCCAGTACATTATGATCCTGTTCAAGCAAAAGATATAGATGCACTTACTCTATATTTGCAACGTACTTCTTTTTTATAAACAATAATCCATAAAGGGCAGGTACCATTTGTAAGAGACTGACCCGTGCAATCGTAAGGGGAATTCCACTATTAATCAGAGCTATTCAGCCAGATCAGTTTACTATTCCCAAATGATGTGCACGGCAGTCAAGGGTTTCAGTAAAGATTTTGAGCAAGGTCTAACATTTCTTTTTCAAAACGACTGGTCTGACCGAAACCTGCGATTTGGGGATACCACGAAAGTCGGCGCATGAGGAAAGGGGAAAAAAGAGGTGTCCTTTTGCCCTCACTTCCCAAACAAAAAGGGAAGAGCAACCACCTGATTGCAGGATAGTTCAGTTCAGACTTTTGAGAAAGCACTTTAAGTGACTCCTACTTTTTCCTTTGATCTTACAGGTAAATTTCAAATTGTTATTCCAAATTCCTAAGAAACTCAAATGCAAATTGTCCACAAGAAAGTACGTTTAGAACTGAAGAGGATACAAAAACAGCAAGGGAAGTGCCATCAATGAACACACAGTGGCTTTATTGATTTTTGAAGTAGGTATTAAAGAAAGTTGAAGTACATGCATGGCTGGCAGTTCAGGACGCTTCTAATAATCATTCAAGTGATAATCAATACTGGAGAAAAGTGTTTTTTTATTAAAATAGAATAGAGCGTTTTCACATGACGTCATGGCGGCCATATTGGTGTTCCAAAACAATGAATTGGCGGCCATGTTGGTGTTCCAAACTAATCCTGTGGGGGTTGAACTCTTTTCTTAGGTAAACCCCTTTTTTGTTGTTCCATTAAATTTGCATAGATGGTGGCCACGTGAGTGAAAACACTCTGTACTTGCAGGAAGGTTGTGCTTTCAGTGAGCCGTGGCACTCACGCATATGGAATGATAATGTGTATATTATCAAATATCTTATTCATGACTAAAAATTTGTTACTTTGTTTGCCGCCCTCATTGAAATAGTTTGTCATGAATTCAACTAAAATTCTATCATCTCATTTTTATAAACGTTTTTAGCTTTTGTAAGTAGATTGTTTCCTTATGCCTGGGCTGGACGCTAGATTTTGAAAGAAAAAAAGCCGATCAGAAACCGATCTGTGGTGTCAAGATTTGAAATATGTGGGTGTGCACTCAAAACGTGCAAGTACAAATTTGGGGGGGGGGGGGATCATAGTGATTAAATACTGGCCGGTCTTAAGGCGGTCCTTTCTAGACGATCACTAAGCAGTTTGTAACGTTTTAAGGACAACTCGAGTTTATTGCGTTAGAGCCAGTCCATTCTATTCGTGCAACTGAATATATCCATGTAGAGGTTTGCGCTATATAAATGTAAATATGTATTATTATTATTAGCGCGAATTCGGCAAAAATCCTGTAGCACTCTCGCCCTTCCATTTTCTCAATGTCTAGATATATGTAGTCTTGATAAAGAATTTAATTTTTAATTATGCTTATAGCTCAGAGAATAAAAAGTTTTTTCCCTCCTAAAAATTAAAAGAAATGACATTAACAACAAGACACAATATTTTTTATTTATTTGGCTTTTTATTCATTGTCTGTGTGGTAAGATTTACTGAAACTCGTTCTGTTTTCGTTGCATTCCTCAGAAGAAGTATATCGTAGTCGCTGTAAACGTAAAAATCGCAAGAATATAAACTTAATTGATATATCAGGAAACTAATTTAATCTTACTGGTAAGATATTTTTTTATGAACTTGCCCCAAGTAGGTCTGAGTTTTTGAACAACAGAACACTTCGAACTTTCGGCTTCTGTCGCGCGTTGGGTGTCACGCTAATTTGCGTCTCTGTTCCACGATACTCACACGCTTAACGAATTTCTCGGGTGCTGGCCACGTGTGTAGTTTAAGACCTTCTAATATACTACAGCATCAAAACAGTCCCTTTCATCGCAGGGAAGAAAGAGAAGTGAGTTGAAACAAGTCCAGCAACAACCAGTCCAACAAGTCCAAAAAGTATTACATGTACATATAAAGAAGATCATCGCAATTTAAGAAGCAACTTTAGCAGTTGCGCAAAAAATGCCTGAACAAAATTCACGGGATTCGAACCCAGACCTCTGCGATGCCTACTTCCCTTTCGTAAACGGTCTTTGCTATTTTTAACGGTCGATGCCACAATTGGTAACCAAACCTTAAGTCACGATAGATGTAATATATTCCCTGGATTAAGTTACAATAAGACAAATAATACGCTTTTGAGTAGTCTTAGAAAGAACGACGTTGTAGCCCAAGTTGAATTTACATCAAAAGTTATGGAAAGGGCTAGGGTCACCTGTTATTGATGTATCAGGTAAGCAAGACAGTTTGCTAGTGTTTGTACTTAATTTTTTTCGAAATTTTGGCGGGTCTGTGTGGTAGTGTAGTGGTAAGAGAGACGAAAGGTCCGGGTTCGAGGTCCGTGTTCGACAACTGCCTCTGCGATACCGGTGCAGCACTCTACCAACAGGCCACTTCCGAGTTCCAAAAACCCTCACTTTCACAATGACGCTAGGTGTACAACCTTTCTTGTGAAAATAAGTTTTATTTGCATGAGAATGAAAAATGGTTTCCATATCAAAGGCTGAGCACCTACCCTCGTTTTGAAACAGAGGCCCGGGGGAACTCGGAAATGGCCTATTGAGCCTACAAGCCAACTGGCAGCAGGTCGTTTAGATGGCTTGTTATAACCCGTCAAATGATCAAGACGAATCAATGAATATATGAAAATCATATGTCTTCTTTGACCTTCGTTGCATGTAAATTTTCATCCCTCAATTCAAATATCATTTTCATATATTCATCCTTTCATCAAACCCGACTTCGGGAGAGTTAACTTTAAAAATTCAAATCTAAAGGATTCAAACGGTCGCAACGCTTACCTCAAAAAACGAGCCCTCCGCTCTCATTAAAACACGGACGGCAGTAATGGGAATACAAAGCATGGAACAACAGGCGATACTCCAACCCAGGCCCTCAGCCCAACTGGGATATATTCTGCCCTCGTACGCTACGGACTTGTACTTGATGATGCTAAACAAGAATATTCCCTGTAAATCAAAGCAATTGTTAAATCCCAACTTTGCAATTAAACTGAAAATCACTCAGAGAGTTCTCTTCATCAAGAAGAATTTGTTGTATGCTTTACCACGCCTGGCATTGGTTGCATACATGTATTTTTCAAGATTCTGTTACTGTGCCATATTTTCCCTGGAAATTCTTTGATAATTTTTTCCGCAACTGACAGTAAAGTTACGGACACCTTCGGGACCGGTCCTGACTGTCCGTCTTAGAGAGGTGTCCGTCTGGCTTATAAAGAGTCAAAGAAATGTGCATAGGCGTACGGGCCGGGGGGCGAGGGGGCTGCAGCCCCCCCAAAGTTTGGGCAACTCAGATTTTTTGGGCAGCAAGAGAAAATTTGGGCAAAGCCAGTTTTTAAAGACGTTTCCATGTTTTTATTATTATTATTATTTTGAAGAGATAAATATTTTCTATTTTAACCAGAAGTCAGCGTGTACGTTCACACGAGACAGTGGTTGCCTAGCACGTGATGAGTTTCTGGTTATGAGGGAAGGGTATCATATGCTGATTTTTTTATTGTTGGGCACTGTACTGCACTGCATTAGCTGGAATGGGCTATTTCCAGTCGTGAATTGATTAGAATAAACTTCCGCATAACTTTCTAGAATCACCTCCACTCCTAGAACAGTGTGTGGCAGAACACGCATCAGCAGTGGGGTTGAAAGTGAAGAAGTGGCTGACTAATTCTCAGTTTGAATTACGAGAAGAATCTTAATTTTTTTGAAGAAAATCTATCGAGAGGTTTAAAAATTATTCACTAACTTGTAAGTAGACCGAAATGTTTACAAAACCCCCAACGAGAGCGCTAATCAAATCCTTCTTTATAGCAATTGGCAGGAGCTATCTCCATGATCTTTCACACATGTTTTTAAAAAGATTGAAACTACTATGAGGAGAAATTGCATGTCAAAAGCGCTTCGTTTTCTTCAGATTACGGCTAAACATCAAGATTTTCCTTTTTTACCTTATTTCTAACAATAAAAACTTCATCCCAAAATATTTCGATAACGCTGTTACAGTTCCGTTTTAACTTCACGAACATCGAGGCCACTATTGGAGGAAAGAGCTCCCCTGAACGATTTTGTAAGAACAGTTCCCAGTGAGTAATATGGCGGCAAGTATAATACATGATAGCAAGAGAGGATAAAGGGGACAGAGAAGGCATCCCCCATACACACCCTATTCCATAGGTAATTCGTCTCGAGTTATTTTTAGAATCGGGATAAAGTTACCTCGCGCGTTGCGTGGATGTTTCGTGGAGGTTTCGCATGACTAAACGCCGTGCAAAACATGTCGGGCGAAAGGCAATGAAAGCGTAAATACATTTAGAGCATTTCTGAATATTGAAGCTCACCTGGGAAAAGGGAATCGCTGGAGTCTTTGACAAACCGTGAAATCAGTTTAACTCGAAGTTGTCGTAACCTGAGTACTTTAATAAAATGAGAAATTTCGCCGGTCTATTGAAACCGGTCGTTTGTACAATAAAGCAAGTAGGACGCCAAGTGTTATTTTTGTTGGATAATAAAAGACTAATAAAAGAATAAATATCAAACCAGAAATTGCTCTCTTCAAAATGTAAATTATAAATGATTATGAGAGAATATTCAGTGTGTTAAGGATTTCCCTCCTGTACTGTTAGCTCTATACAAGAGAGGAAGGGCGATTCTTTTTTAATTTCCATTTCGCTGACACCGCTTTAGCAGAAATCTCTCTTTAGTCGTTTTCGTCGACAAAACGAATAGCAATATCACTCTCCGAGTCTTCCACCATTTTGTTCTGCTTCAATTCGTGAAGGACGCGTGGCTCTGAGCGTGGGTCATCCACGCGGAACACATTCGCGCTATGTGATTGGCTGTTGTCTAATCCCCCTTGGGATCTGTGTGTCTTAAAAATAACTCGAGACGAATTACCTATGGAATAGGGTGTGTATGGGGGATGCCTTCTCTGTCCCCTTTATCCTCTCTTGACGATAGGTAATGGCGTCATTTCGTTGCTATGACAGCTCCGATGTCATTGCAACCCTGATCATGACAAATTTCCCTCTTTATCTAATACAACTGTGGTGGTAATTTTTTCCAAATTCTTGTTTGTGGCGACGTACGTAGTTTATGCTCAAACTTGGCAGGTATTAACTCTGAAAAACTGTATCGAGCCACTTTCATATGCCAGTACGGCCTTAAATGTTATGCATGGCCGTAGTTTCCTTTCGACTCTTTTGTAAAAATTTGGGCAACTTGCAAGAATTTTTTGGGCAAATGGATTACCGCCCCCCCTGGCAAAAAATTGCCCGTACGCCTATGGAAATGTGACACCTGTGATTCTGTTACAGTAATATGACTGAAAAACGGCATGGACCAACATAGAGAGGTGTTCGTCTTATAGAGGTGTCCGTTTAGAGAAAGTGGACTATAGTCTCACATTTTATTGCACTTGCTAATGACTGGTAAACTTGTGCCATTAACAGTTTTGGTCGCTATTTGAATATTAACCAAAAAACTTTTACTTACAACAACCATTGAAGGTGTGACAACTTGCCAGCACATTATCCACCACCTGGAAACTCGACGCCCTGTAGTTGCTTCGATATCTTCCGCTAATTTTTTGGCCCCTGATGAATAAAAAGATGATCTGTTTATCACTAGAATGTAAGTAGTATAGTAGGAACGATTAACTCCGTTTTTTGCCGAGGAATGTTTTTGATGCGTCTGATTGATGTATGATGTTATTTGCAGTTTGTATGTTTTTAGCGGTATGACATCGCGGTATCGTACTGAAGATGCCTTTGTATCTTAATTATATTCAGGTCAAAATTGAATAATTAGAGCTAGGAGACAAAGGAAATTGACAATCAACCTAGTTTAAAAAAATTTAACCTGAATATAATTTTGACCTGTAACATCTAGACTATAATATAAACAGCACCGCATAGGACTGAAACAAGTCGTTCACCCATATCGATCATCGTGCCGGAGCGGTTGGCTGACAGGGTCTGGTGCACTAAATCCCAATCTTCACTCCTGAATATTTACTTCCGTCTCAGTGGGTTCCAGTCCTCGCTCCGACTTATTCACTTCCGCTACGGTTCGAATGCCAGTTCACATTGCCACGAAAAGTGGCAGAAATTTATCCGATACGTGACATTCTTCTTTCAAAACTGGTGCAGAGCAGCTTCGTTTCGTTATAGAAATCGCGCCGAAATCTGCTCTTTATGTGTCAACAATAGCCCTAGCCGGTATAGTTTTCATATCGGCGCAAGAGCTATCCGACATACTGTGAAGATATACTGAGACGTAGCCTTCTGATGGTATAAGAACGACCTTTCTGAAAGAAGTGGGGAATTAAAGACGATTATATATGTTGCCTACCGTAGATCCAGCCAACGACCAGCAACTCAAATGTTACCAGAAACAACAATGATATTCCCGCAGAGAAAGAGTCAAACAAGTTGAACACGTATATGCCGCCCTGTAATTTAAAATAGTAATAATAATAATAATAATAATAATAATAATAATAATAATAATAATAATAATAATAATAATAATAATAATAATAACTCAAGCTCAACAAGAGATCTGAGTATCAAATCATTCAAGCTCCACCCAAAAGCTTTTGGTATATCCATTAAGCCAGCATCAAACATGATACTGAAGTAGGAGAATAAATTAGCTTTCAAATGAAAGCTGTGAACATTCCTTTCCTGCAATGTTGTTTGTAACTCTCTAGCGCACAATGCGTTCAAAGTCTGAGTATTCTCTCGATCAAATCTTTTAAGGTGACACTAATTGAAAGTTTCTTCCTGTCAAAAATTCTAGACGACTGAGTATCTCACCTGAGTGACACATGTCAGCCCCAAAGCAAACATAACCAAGCAAACGGCCAGCACAATTGCTTCTCTGTATCTCTGTAATTCATATTGGTCTATGATAGCAGCTGCAACTACTTCGACTTGCCCAAACTATATCATGAAAAGAAAGCCATGTTAAAGAAGGCCATTGACATAATGTAGGCACTTCCGTTTTGGCCATGTATCTCGAACAGACGCCGTTCCGTGCTAGGAAACTATCTGGGAGAGGCAATACGAATCTCTCTAAACCTGTTAGGCAGGCTATTTAAAGTTCTAAAGGAAGGAAGGGAATTCCGTGCGTCGCTATCAAATTATTCCAAATCTGCGCGCTCTGTCAGACAGTTGTACTAACTGACAATTACTTAACGTTAACCTTCTTTGTCAGCAAACCTGAACTTGTCTAGAGCATAGTGCAATTACACCCTTCAGCCCAGAGTTAGAGAAAAACCAGGGATAGCTAACAAACAGCTCCCTCTTCGAGGGACACCTATGGGACCAGCATGTGTCCATCTAACACAGATGTCCGTCCTATAGAAAGTCAACTGAAAGGATAAAGAAAGGCAGGAACCAACTCTAGGTGTCCGTTTTAGCGAGTTGTCCGTTAAATGCGAGTTGACTGTAATTTCTTTTAACTTTGCTCGTAATTCCGTTCACTAACCTGGCTGTCAAGACCCAAGGTTATAAGCATGAGAAAGAAGACAACAGACCAGAACTGTGGCGCGGGAAGTTGGCCAAGAGTTGCTGGATACACGATGAACACCAATCCGGGACCTTAAAAAGAAAGGAACGAATGACGATGTATCAAGCATCAGCACGTGATTAAAGTGTTTTGGCTAAAGGGCGTGACAGAACATTTACATGACGTAGATATTGTATTCTGATTGGAGAAGTGGTCACTACAAGATAAAAATTCTTTTCTTTTAATTCTCTTCTAAGTGCAGAATTAGGTTCCAAGGAGGAATGCCACAGTACTTAACGAAAATGAAATATTGTCGTGTAGTGCATTAGTTAATCTATTTTTCTGTTTCTGGATGTTTTCACGTTCCTAAAAATCAGAATATTTATCGTTGCTCAACCCTAATTATAACTCCACCATACCATTGGGATTTCTCCCCCTCCGTTAACTAAAACTCTCAATAGACAATTAAGTTATTTTTCTGAAAAGTAAGTAAGTTAAATTTGATCCAGATGATCGTCTGTGTGAGTGCATATAACTGCCATTCAAAGTGACTGAAGTTTCCACAGTCTGTGCGGAAGTCATCACCTCTTTGCACAGGAACTACGACTCGAGACAATGCTACTCTAACTATACCTTGAGAAGCTACTTGTGTTGGGCTGGTGTCCTGTATATGAGCCATATGTCCCACAATAGCAAACACCACAAAGCCTGCGAACACGCTGGTACTGCAGTTTACGAGCGAAATTACCAACCCGTCCCTAAAAATACAACAAACCAGAACATTATAACAAGGAGAAACAAACCTGAACTCAGAAGGTTTCTATGAAGACAACAAAAAAAGACGCGCAATTTTTCGCACTATTGTCAAACGGGCCATCTACAGTTTCAGTTCGACTGTTTTTAGGAAACAGTGTATAACTGAACCTTCTTTAGTTGGGAGGTACGGCGAGTGAAATTGTTCCAGAAACAGCCGAAGACGTTCCATTGAACCATGCTCCAACTACGTCGCGCAAAACTATACAGGCAGGCAACAGTACAGAGGAAGGCTTAAACAATGTTCCAATTTCACCTTACCCAATTTCCTTTACGCTTACTTCACTTTCTGTTCAAAATGTCGATCCGTGCCACGCTCGGTAAGAGGAAAAAGAGTGGTACCTGGCCTCGACGCATCGTAGATTGAACAAACCACTTCAGGTTGCGTGATCTCAATACTGGTCACTGATTGGCTACCACTCCATTAACCGACAGAGGCTTGGGGTTTTAACCCAGGGAGTTTATATATTCATGCGGGTGTAAGAGGTTCAACAAACCATGGCACTTACTTATAAATGTCATTTGTTCGTCTATTGTAGCTTGCAAATCCTATCAATACTCCAAAACCGATTGCTAGAGAGTAGAGAATTTGCGACGCTGCATCGATCCAGACCTGGTAAACAATAATTAAGCAAAGTTACTGACGTATTAGGAATTGTTAAGAAAAAGGGTACAGTCAACTCGCATTTGACCGACACCTCTATAGCACGGACACCTAGAGTTGATCCCCGCCTTTCGCTACTCCTTTTAGTTGGCAAAGTTGAAAAAAGTGCAGTGAACTGCAGTCCAAAACACTGAATTTTTCTCGACTTTGTTTTTAAGCTTCTTTACTTTTTTTGTCAGTCCAATTTAAATACAATGTTTAGCACTGTACTCATTAATCAGGCTTTGTTGCTTAATTTCATTTTCAAAATATCAGTTTATCTCTTGCTGCCCTTGAAGTCAAGTGTGCATGATACTTACATTCTTCCCCATCCTGTTTCCTTACTTCTGGGTATTTGTTTCGAACTCCCGATAACTCGAACTGTTTTCGATTTTCCTCGAAGGTTCGAGTTATCGAGAGTCGACTGTAGTTGTTAAGAACGGAACAAACCACTTTTTAGATTCATATTTTCAATGCACATGCCTTCATGCAATAGACAGCTAAGGGGGTCAGCTAACGCCATGCTTTATAATGCCAATAATTAAATGTACCGTAGGGTCCGCAAGTTTAGTCCACTCTGGTGTAATATAATACATGATCCCGTCAAGTGATCCAGGTAAGGTGATAGCTCGTATGAACAGGATAACCAAGAACGCGTAAGGTAGTGTGGCTGTGACGTAAACGACTTTCCCGGTTGTACGAATGCCTTTCCAGATACAGAAATAAACAAGAACCCAAGCCACAAACAGGCACACTGTAAGCTTGTAATTCAAGTGACCAGGCTGTTCAATTCCATCCGTCATTTCCAGAACATTGTGACTGTCACAGTAGAAATAAAAGAGCCAAAAAATTAGCAATGGTTGTCCGGAAGTCTGAGCATGGAAAGATGATCACTTTAGAAATATTCAATAAAGTGATGTAATTTGCGTAGATTCAATCCGCAATAAACAGATTCAGTACCCCCTGACTTAATTAAGTATTAAGGACAGTTTAACACCCATGGCTAGCCTTTATCATGGCGCTTTAGAAAGTTTTAGATTATTCTCCGAAGCCACGATCCGTATGTGGGGCATCAGTAGTATGTTATGAGGAAAATAATACCAAAATTTGAGCAAAGTGTTCTTTTTTCGTTGAAGTCACCCGTATCTAGTTTGTATTATAATTTTTGCAGACCGGGTTGTAAGGGTGGCCGGAAGAATTGCCCTAAAACGCCGTGATAATAATTCATGGCAGTTTTTAACGTGGGAAAGGAGAGAAGCGACCCTCGTACTTGCGCGATCACCCGCTCAATTATCTCGAGGGACAAACGAATCAACCAACGAATTTAGCCAGAAGGCTATTGGTCCCGGTCTCTCCATTGCTTAGCACCGAAGAATTGATTATATTTAGTTTCCATTTCTCTTTGGTTCAATGCTATTTTGTGACTTGCGCAATCTTTAGGGCGCCTTAATAATGTCAAAACGAGTCTATTTTCTTTAAAAAAGGATTTCTTCTGGGAGCAACTTGACAGATAGGTAATACACGGAACTTACATGAAGAACTCTTTACTGGCAGACACTTTTGTTGTGTTACCATAGTTACTTATGTTGAAGCCTGCTTTAAGCTGGTAACATCTCTCTGTATTCCAAGCGTGATGGCAGCCAACCCATGGTAAATCGGACGTGAACGAGTTATAAAGGTAATAAATGCTCCAAGCCAGGATAACATTGTAATAAACTGAGACCATGAACGATACCGTGATCATTGCAAAGCCAATACCTACAAGATAAGGGAGATGACAAGGTAAAGGATGTGGCCAGAGAACAGGAACAAGTCGTTCAAAACTTTACAGTGACACCGAACACTGGACCGGAGCGTTTGGCCGAGAGAGCGTGGTGCACTAATTCCAACTAAATCCCAATCCTCACTTCTGAATATTTAATTCTGTCTCATTGGGTTTCAGTCCTCGCTCCTACTCATTTACTTCCGCTACCTGTTCACAGTGCGACGAAGGGTGACAGAAACCTATCCGGTATGTGACGATCCACTTTCAAGATCACCGTCTTAAGTGTAAATAGAAATTTTATCCGATATGGCTTTCGTGTCGGCGCAAGATCGAGTAAACTTGCCCACAAGTCGAGCTCAAAGTTTTGCTCGAGCGCAAAGCGCGAGCAAGAAAAGTTTTATTTTTTCGGTGACAAAGTGAGCGAGAGACTACCGGAACCGGAAATGAGAAGCGAAGGACTTTGAGAAAGTCTAAAGATCAAGGTATCCGGCATAGTGTGTGTGAACATAGCCTTAGAGTGTATTATTTAGCCCACGTGACCATAGTGGACCAATCACAAGCCAATTCATAGCGATAGGACAAATTTCAATCACGATAAAAAGAAAACTCTTGAACATAAGAAATGGATGCGACGAATCGAAACTTACACCGAGGGACAATGTAACAGTTTTTGCAAGCATGACTTAAGCTACAAAGGGTGTCCTAGGATACATTTAAAGGGAACCTCCACTTCAACAAAAAGATAACTTTAAATCACAGGAAATAACTGTTACAGTCAAGTCAATCTAAAATATTTTTAAAGAAAGCGTTTGTATCCGAAAGAAATAACTTTTAGATTGGCCTATTTTTGTTTTCAAATTTCGCGGGCGCCGCCATCTTGAATAATTGTGACGTGTTACGGTTGCTCTGTCGTTCTGACACAAAGAGCTTTTGTTTAATAACAATAGAGCAACCGTAACACGTCACAATTATTCAAGATGGCGGCGCCCGCGAAATTTGAAAGTGAAAATAAGCGATTTTAAAATTCACTTTTCCTGATATAAACACTTTTTTTAAGGACAAATTTCGAACAAATTTGTTTATCAACATAATTTTATTCGATTTAAACTTATTCTGTAGTAAGAGTGGAGGTTCCCTTTAAGCTGTCGTGACATATCATTATGTGTTGTTTCCGTTTATTCTTCTTTAGTGGTGTTATTATGTTATATAGAGGATGAAAAAGTTTCGACATCGTCATGAGTTATTTGGTGAGAATAACACGCACCTGAAAAAAGCGGGCTTAGCTTTCTCCACACTTTAACTGGGCCTGCCTGAAGAATCTGACCAATACTGAGCTCCATAAAGAACAACGGAATACCACCCAAGAGAAGAAATGATATATATGGGATAAGGAATGCGCCTGAATAGAAACAGAAAGTTAGATCGTGTGTTAACCCCCATTTACACAAGCATGGTCAATATACAAGAGCAAGAAATTTGCTCTCAGTTACAAATTGGAAAACGTGGCAACGTTTCCTTGACAAGTCTCCCCATTCAAGCACTTGTCGAGGAAAAATCGTTAGCTATTTACATGGCCGAGAAAATTGGTTTGTATGAAAGGAACTTTAACAGCAAACAAAAAAACGAAACAGTCAACCAAGTTAAATCCAACTTGTGTTCCAAGCTTTCTTCATCCTCCATTAAAGCCTTACTAAAAAAAGAGCAACCTTTGCAACAGTCGAAGAAACACAATAACCAAACAATAATACCTCTTCTCTAAAATTTGCTGTTGTGTTCAGTTCACCTTTCGTGCATCAGTTCCAAAGCTCTGGTTAATCTCTCCAGGCTGAAGGGCGTTTCCCTTCTTGATGTACAAGTTGAACCGGTTGTGGTCTCAATTCGAACAAGTTAATTTTTCCCTGGGCTTGGAAATAATGAAATTTTCCCGCGTTGGCAATGGTTGCATGTTTCCGATTTCTAAGAACTGGTTTCATCTTCTCTTGCACTAAGCAACTCTCACATAGTTTCCGTTTTGAAAGATACCTAACTGTGAAAATTGGCTTAACGGTTTTCCAACTATGTTAACTTACCTCCACCGTTTTTGAAACACATATAAGGAAAGCGCCAGAAGTTGCCATAACCGACCGCAAATCCAACACAAGCAAAAGCGAATTCAATTTGTCTTCCCCAGTGCTCTCTTTCAGCAGGCTCTGGTCTAATCATTCCAACAAAGAATCACCAATAGCTACAATAGTTCGGTCACAGCCCTACCACGCAGGTTAAGAACCCTGCGTTGAAAATACAGCCTTGCTGAAAAAAAGCGTTTTTTAACAAAAAATGCGTTCGTTATTATTGCTTTCAATGGGAAAGTCTCCGCGGTAGTATCCAAGAATTAAACTTACCGTTCGAAAATTACTTGGTATTGAAGTTATCAAGAATCTTCAGATGCAAAGATAAGATAAGTCTCCTTGCTGGTAGAACTATTATGGTCATCGGGTAAATCTTCTATAGCAGTTTGTTTATGCCGGAATTACAAAACACGAAGCTTAGCAAACATCCTCACTACTGAGGAAGATCGTGTGACGAAACAATTACTTACCGCGCGCATTACCATGGTTTCAGTCTCTTCTCTCTCATCGTATTTTCCAGGTCCATGCTTACCGTACCCTACAATGGCAATCCAATCATAAATGATCATAAATTTACCGATTATTCCACGAGTGCACGTTGGATCTGAGATGGTAGACAGCCAGCTATAATCATCTCATATCCAACAAGCGCGAGTGGAATAATTGTTTTATTAAAAACGCGCACAAAATATCGGGAATTCTTATTTGTAAAAACAGCCGTTTTTCAGCCTGTTTTTAATTTTGAGCAGACGCGTACAGTTACCATATTTGGAGAGCATGGTATGATAGCTAAGCCAATCAGGGCTCTAGAATTGCATTATCCAATGATTCAGTTTTTAATAATACAGATAGGAGACACAATGAAACTTGATGAAGTATCAAGCTGCTCGTCAAATTTTTGTGTGTCTTGCACTGATGCCGTGCTCAAGATGTCCCTCCAACCAAGTCGAAAATAAAAACACGAAAGAAAAAAAAAACAACAAACAAGTAAGACTGCTGCTACAAACGATAATTTTGCCCATTTTTATTTATTTCTCGACGCGTTTCCTTGCGGAAGGTGACTTTCACGCGCGCGCTGGTATTCGCCAGAATCGCCAAATCTAGCGACTACTCCTTTTGTGGCGTAAAAACAATTAAAATAAAATTTACCAAAAAACATAAACATTCTTACTCTCGGCCTGAGGTATATTCTAAGAAAAAAGTACTATAATTACATTCAATGTTAGATTAATCTTAAATTAATTGAAAGACGCAGTGCCGTGGTAAATCAAGGACACGCCATACAGATCAAAGTCGTTGTATAGGGATCAAAGACGTTTTATAACGGACGTCAGGTCCCTTGTAAATGCCTTGAAAAGTAATTTGTATTGTTATGGACTTTGACTGAAAATTTGGGCAAAACCATCGCCCAAAAATGAAAAAGGGCAACTTCCGGTTGACGTGCGTCGCTCATAAACGTCGTTCCTTAAGCTCTCTATTGTATGGACTGTCCGCTGGGAAAAAAAAAAAATTGGCTGTTGGAAGGTTCGACTGTAAGTCAGCGTACGACACGGTCTGTGCAAAATTGACTAAAATAATGAACAACGACAATAAAGGGTGGGTTTGGCGATGGAAATTCACATAGATTTGTTGTTGTTGTTTTACATGGGAAGGTACAGTCATAAGTTAAACCTCTAAGGAAAAGCTTAGACGCGTGGTAACCAAAGTAACGAGGTCAAGGTAAAAGGGGAAATCGAGCACCTAATAATCATATCGAAATTCTAACAAACAAAAGTATTTTTGTTTGAAACGCGTTTTAGTCTGATCTCATCGCAGTTACTCAAAAATCGTTCTCGATTCACAATGTATAAGGCCTGTATAAGGCAATTCATTTTTGTTGAAGTTTCTGTTGACTTCTTGCCAGAAACAGCAATGATGGAGGTTACAAGCAATGTGCAATAACTTCCAAATTATCTTACACAGTTTTCAAGAATCAAATGCATGCATTACAAATTTGATTTTTAAGCTAAAAAAAATAAATCCTATATTTGTAAAGGAAAATCACAATCAGTTCTTTCAAATATGGAATTCTTAAAAGTGTACATTTGCTGACGCGACTAGATACTTTTTTGGTATGCCTATCAGTTAATAAACTATCACCGGTTTATACGAATTTAAAAGTTGTAAGAACAGGTGACACGCCTGACAAAGCAGCCGACATTTAGCGAGTCCACCGCCCGTTTTCCCGCGAAATGACTTTAGAGGAACGTACGGAGAAATTCCATACTGATGACGCGTCACTACCCAGATCTGGGAAATGCTCTGATTGGCTAAAAATTTGCTTCACCCAATCAGAAGCACTACCCAGATCTGGGTAGTAACACGTCATCAGTATGGAATTTCTCCGCGCGTTCCTCTGACGTTATTATTGGGGGCAAACTAGTGGTGGCGCAGTCAAATGTCAGCTGTTTTCTCTCTTTGAAAATTTTCAAGTTTTCAAATCAGTATTACGGAAAGATAGTATATGGGATGTTGGGTTCTCAACCTATGCTATTGAAGCAAAATGGTCAACAAAGATTCGCCTTTACTCTTCATACATCTGAAAAATCTAGCGATTATTCTTTGAAATCGACGTGAAAAGCGGGAGAACATCCCCAAAGCCGCTATTGACACGAGGCGACCTCGACAGCATCAGAGGGAACCACTGATTTTTATGCGTGAAAAATTCGCATATAGGAATGAGCAGTACATACGCAAAACTTATATCTTTACAGAATTTCCATAGCAAACCATAGTTGACTTGTAGACAAGACGCTTTCAAAGCGTATACTTGGGCTTTGGTATGTGCTTTGAGCCCTCCTTCATTTAGTTCAAGGAAAACATATCGGCCTTAATGGCCTTGGCACTTAAAATGTGCATAAGCTGTGAGCAAGCTTTCTAATCTAACTGTTTGTAGGTTAAAACACACTCGGCGTTCGTCACTTAACATGCTTAGCAAAGCTCGGTGTGGGCCCTTTGCAGAATACGGTCACATGGTACAAAAACACTTTTCTGGATAACAAACGACGCAGAGGGACAAGAAAAACAAAGAGATTACTTCATTAAAAAAGCTATTATCCTTCACTTTCAAGGTTCGATTGCATCGTTAGCCATTTAGCAAGGTGTTTTTTGTACCACGTAACCGTATTCCATATTCCATTCGAATCTAGGATCTTGCATTCACTCAGCGGCACGTGGTGTAAACTCATTAGCGATTGTCTTGTTCTCGGATTTTGGCTAAATGTCGTAGAATGGTTGAAGACTTGGTAAGTTAAGTGAATCAAAACTTCGCTCCATCAGACACAGCTCTGACGCATCAAGCTGGCTTATCATTAAAAAAGACGTACGTTAGACCAAGAGAGAGACGCTTTGCCTTCTTGCTGAGTTCTTAGGAAATTCATGCTCAAAATATCAATCTGATCAACAAAATATTAATAATAGCTCGTATAGATTAGCGACATCGCGTAACCCAAGATGTCTAACACTTGAGATGCGCAATATTTTTACCACTTTTTAGGCTATTAAAATCGGTAACATTTAAAAAAATTTCCCCTTTCGATTTTCGCTTAAAACGCTGGTGTTTTAAGATTTAAACAGCGGAGTGAACCACAACCACGTTTTTCTGCTGTTTGGATTTGTTTTCCGTCACGTCCTCGGCTTGCCTTCTACTTCCGTTTCCGCTTTTGATGGAACAGGTTCTAACTGAAGAAGTTTTCTTGAGGCTGTTGTCCCAAGTAACGGTTCTTCCAGAAGTGCTCCTCCTACTACTGGATCTGTATGAGGATAATCTGCTCCAGATCGGCGGTTGCCGCACCTTGCAGAGCAGTCGATGCCCAATATGGCGAATGGTTCGGATCATTTCGTTATTCCGACATGCATACACAAGCGGATTGAGCGCGCTGTTGCTATAGTGACAGAACTTGACGAACTGAAGGACGCGGTCGGTTCCCAGTGAGGGAGGGAGATATTGCGGATAGTATGTGCCAATCACCGTGACGACAAACAGCGGTAACCAGGCAACCATAAATAATCCGGTGATAACAGCAAGAGTTACCGACAAGCGGAGATCCTTCTTGAAAGCCTTCCTTTCCGATCTATGCTTAGCGATTGGTTTGCAGCGCGCAAAGCAGTATATTGATAAATAGGCAACACAAATTATGCTAAAGGGGACAAAAAAGCAGGTGGTGGTCATAAGAAGCGTATATTCCTCTCTCCAACGGTTATACTGAAGTGGCTGCAGAGTCGCCACAATAGCCGCAAAAGTCCACGGAATTATTATCAAGACGTAGAATACTTTGATTGACAGTGTTCTGTGGCGTAATGGTCTGGCGATTGCGTGACATCTCTCGATGCTGAGAGAGGTGAGTTGAAGTATTGAAGCAGTGCCGATAAAGATATCAAACGTTATGTAAAACTGATAGACGGTGAAGCTAATGGGAAGGTGATTGTGGAGAGATATGGTGATATTGAGCCAACACGGTATTGATACAAAACCCACGAGGATATCGCTTGCAGCCAACCCCATTACCAACTTGTTAGTGGCCGTTCGAAGCCTCTTGTTTACAGTAAACGCAGTCAGCACCAGGCCATTTCCTGATATGATGGAGGTAAGTAGAATGACATATAGAGTAATCACTACTGCCAGCTCGTTCCACGAAATTTTATCCAAATACATAGTGACGTCGTCCATTTTTGTCTGGTTTGGTTGACTCATTACTCTTTCGGCAGCCGGGCAATTCAGTTGTCAATCAAGACTGTATTTAATCCTGTAAAAAAAATAACAGAAAGATATAACGGTGAGGAATTGTAAAAACATCTATAATCATGTTGCTAACACGGGGAACGGGAAGAGGGAAACGATCACGGGGAACGGGAAAATGGAAAATGGGAACAAAACCTAACCTGCACACTAGCCCTATCAATAACTCCATTTCTACTTATTCTCTGCTTCGTTCCCATATTTCATTTTCCAGTTCCCCGCTCCCCACTCCCCGCTCCCCGTTCCCCGTTATACATCCCTAGACGGGCTTCAAACAAGAAATCGTATACATTGGGAATTCTTGTTACTTTATAGGC